CGCAGGCATTTTTAGGGGAGCTCGTATTTCTTCCCTCCCCACAAACGCCTGCTCAACAGAGGACAACATTCCTTTCCCAAGCTTAGCCAATCACGTTGTACTTTCCAAATTCTGGAAAGTTGACCTTGACCGCGGGGTAACCCGATAATCACGCGATCTGCATGAAACTTTAAGAAACCTTCATGACCTCTAATAAATGTTAGTCTCAGAGCGGCAAAAGTAAGATTTACTCAGTCAGATTTTAGAATTCTCTGTGCACTGCATAACCTTAGCGAACGAAAGAAAAGAAGGAAAAAGGTAACTCTAGGGTCACGTTCTGGGTCACGTTTTTTCACTATCACGAGCTTATGAGTCATGTTTAGCCTGTCAACACTTTATTTAAAAACCGTTGATTGGTCACTTACCATGCGAATGTAACAATGGGAAAGGAATGTTGTCCTCTGTTGAGCAGGCGTTTGTGGGGAGGGAAGAAATACGAGCTCCCCTAAAAATGCCTGCGTGGGAGGCTACCCTCGACCGAACCTGAATGGCCGCCAAAACTTTTAACACGATTCAGTAGCTGAGGGATTGAGCTACACAGTGATATGCAGGAGAGTCTGTAAGTGTGAGCCACTTTTGAGATTTAATCCACTAAATTTGGCTAAAATCGTATGTTTCGCTAAGTGGGTCAAAGGGGCTAAGTGTGTTTCCTCAGATTTTCTAAACGAAAAGGTGTTGCTGATTCTGACCTGTATTATTTTAAAGATAAAGGATCAATTAAAATAACTAGTAAATTGGAAGCTTTGGGTCGCACTCTTTTATCCGGAGCAATCGTTGAATTTTGACAAAATTTGCATATTTCACAAGCATCTCCGGTCCTCATGTGGCGCCGAAAGAAAATTCGTTAAAAAAAATTTACAGAAGCGAATTTCTCCAATCTAGTTTCATATTTGTTATATACTTATTAAAAGAAGTCTACAGAAAAATTATGAGCGAAATCCATTTTGTGAGCAAAATTCGATATGAGGATCTTACAGAGACTGGCTCTTAAATGACTTAAATTAGAACAGTGAAAAAACTTATAAAGTGACTCCTTTCGATGGTCAGTGATATGGTCGAATCGCTTCGATCAACGCAAATAGCCTTGTTGATTCGCAACGCCTTCTGGCTTTCATAAGGGGGCGGGAGTGGAGGCGAGGTACAAAAAAAATTCGAGCTAGGGAAAATCGTATGGAACAAGTGCTGAGAACATCGTTTCTTGGTACCAGACCTCGTGTCTTCGCTTCCCCGGGTGATCGTTTTTCTGCACAGACGACCGAAAGCCGAAGTTATAACTGGGCCTACCCTATGGGCAGCCCAGTAACAAGAATGGCCGAAAGGCGGTTTTAACTGGGCTGCTAAGGGGCGATTTTTTCAGAGGAGAAGGGGTGGTTGTACACACTCATGCCACCATAAGGCCTTGTCGCCGACCATTGCGTGACGTATAGGGCGTTTTCCATTTACCAAAAACTTTGAGAAACCTCCATGAAGAGGTCCATCGAGTGAAGAAGGTGTTGCATTTTCTTTCATGCTCTCGTCATTCAAATTCAAGATGGTGACACAGATATCGCCGAGAATAGCCTGGAACTCGTGAAAACTCTTAAAGGGAACGTGCAATTTCCACCGGAAAGTATCGAACGGGTAACCGGACTATATTTTCAAAATCCGCTTATTCCCGGGAATTTTTCATTGCAAACGGAAAACGTGTTTTTCATTAACATCCCAACCGGAATTACCGGAATTTCCGGAATTTCTTGGTAAATGAAAGGTGCTTAGAGTCTCATGTGAGAGTGAAACATAAACTCATTTGAACATTGTACCCTTTTGGAAGACGTTCGTAACAAGAAAAATGAGTACCTGGTCGGGGCTGTATAGTAGTAACTTTTCAAATTCCACCATTATGAACAAAAACTTGTAATAGTTGACACTACAGCTGCCCCGCTCTGTATATTGTCGGTCAATAGTATTCTTGCTCGTTATGTAGCTCTTTGAGATATACCGATTCATAATGAAGATTTTCACCCATATTCCATACAATGGGTGAGATAAATACAGGAAACGAAAGGTTTCATGCACTGATTCAGTGCGATTTACACAGCTTTTGATCAAAACATTCTCCGTTTCGGGATGTAGTTATTCTAAACCATAAGAAAAGATTTAATTAGAGGTTGGAATTGTAATATATTTTCACCCGGAACACCCTCACACAAAGCCAAATAAGCCTAAATGCCTAAGATATGGGAGAATCGGGCCGAGGTTTTGTGAGTCGGTGCACCAGGAGGGAATGCAGGTCGAGAGATATATTTTTGGAGGATACACCAATGTATCATGGGATAAGTGAGCGAGTGACGCCAGTCGTAGAAGATTATCAATTTAATGTTATTTCACCACAACACACCTACAAAAAGTAAATCCATCGAGCAATATTTTTTTCGTATTCTTGCAATTCTTCTGTTCAGTTTTAGTGAGAAATTTGGCTATTTCGTCTTCGTCAAGTAGTTTTAGGCCTGGGACTAAGGGGTTTACTTGTGGAAAATGACTTATTATTCCATAGAAACCAAGGCGAAAAGTTGGGTAACAAAACGATATAAAATAGATAGGAAATGGAAAGAAAGAAGGCGGGAAAGAAAGATCGAAATAGATGTTGCAAAAACCGTCCAAATTTTTTCTTAAGCGCATGCACAAAAACCAAAAATAAAACTTAACTCGCAGGAAAATATGCAAAGGGTTAAAGGGGCGCTAATTCGAGGAAGGCGGAGGGGGTTTTTTTGAAGGGGGCGCTTATTCAAGCGGTGTCGGTTACTAAAGGAGGTAAAGCATTCCATGTTCTTGTTAGAGTATAGTGAACTGTATGAAGTTCATATAGAATGTTCAGTCTCGTAGCACTACGACAAATGATCGAACAGAGAGAGAATCGGATTAATTCTAAAGTAAAAATTTAAGTGTTACAAATAACCCTTAGACCCCACTGAGCGATAGACTCAGTAAAAGGAATTAGGGGACCATGCGAGGCAGGCAAGATAAGAAATCTTTTAAAATCGATGGGATTCGAACCCACGACCTCTAAACTAGATGAGGCCTGAGGAAGCAAGTCGTCGGTAATTAAGGTGGTGGTGCCTTTTTCTTGTATACCTGCTTACCTTAAAAAAGTTGCATTATATGAATGGCTTCGCTGTAAGTACTACGACAATGTCGCTATTAGCACTTACTTCTTTTTCTTTTCTTTCTCAGCCAACTACCGCTACCGGTATCGATACGATTCAAAAGCGTTTCTGTTTTCACTGGTGAACAAGCCAGGATGGGCACCTGTCAAATTGCCTCAAACCGGAAAATATGCTTCATCTTTTCGTTCTATAGGCTCTGAAAATTACTATGGGCCTATGTTCGGAGCTGGAAATGACATTTTCATTTCCAGCTACGCATCATCCAATAGCCTTTCTTACAGCGACCTTGGCCATACTTACAGCCCACCGAGCGGATACAGCTACCGCAGCAGGTTCGCACGAACATTCCTGGCAGGAACTTACAGGTTCACACCAGACGAAGTAGAAGTTTTTTACGAAACAACCAAAATGCAGTGAGCTGCATCAGCCTTGACATTTCGCTGGCGGGGCTTGTTTTCCTGTATTGCGCATAACTAAAATTAAAAATTCATAACTAAATTAATCGCAATTATATCCTGTCCTTGCTAAAAAGGCTATCTTTAACTATAAGGCAATTGGTTGCTGCTACGAAATAAAGCTGGAAAACTGATAGTTAAATAAAAGTGCCCCATGATATATTATGTTGAATAATATGATTATTCGGTATGTCACGGCTCTAGGGTTTAGTGTAAAATCCGGTTTTTTTTTGTGAACGCTTAAGGAGATGCGTTTTTAATAATCTAAGACGTCACCGATTAAGCTCTCTTATAGTTATGTTACTTTTGCCCTTAAGGGAAAAAAGGAAGAATTTAGAAGAGTTTCAAACACAAACAAGAGAGGCAGGATTGCCTAGAAAAAAAAGGTTTTCTGAGATCTGAATGACCACCTATTGCCGCACTGATTATGCACAGACTGACAGGTTTTGCATGTTTGAGACGATGTGCTACTTAGCTATGACACACTTGCTGCTTTTGTAATGAATTTCGGGACACAGATTTTTAAGTAAACCTTTTTTGCATGTTTGAGACGATGCGTTAAATATCGCTATAATTAACTTGCTTTTAATTTTGGTTTTAGTAAAAAGGGCATTATGAACAAACAAACAACAATAGCAACAACCGAAGGTGTAAGGTTACATGATAGCCACTAAGCAATACCTTTATCATTGTTATTAGGGACTGGTCAAAAAGTATAGGGGGCGGGGGGGCGGTGGGCCGTAGCATTTGGAAATGTGGTTGATAAAAAACACATGACACACCCCCTCCCTTCGGCACAAAAATGACTGACCCACCCCTAAAGCAAGGTTGGAAATTGCATGACCCACCCCCTAGTTAAAACATAGATGTTTTGTTTCCTCTTAATAACCCAATAAAACCTTGTTCTGTGTTTGACAAGATTTGTTGATACACTGCTACAACCAATATCGAAATCACAGAAATCATACCTTTCACTGAAAAGACAAATGTGAAAAACCGAACATTTCTTGTTTCGATGGACGTTATGAGTCTTGACACAAATATACAGCAAGACAAGGGTATATTGAAATTGTCTGTCACAAAGCATATGAAAGACAACCCGTTCCTACACATTACTTGCTGGAAATTCTTAGATTAATCCTTAAAAAAAATTTCTTCCACTTCAATGGAAAGCACTACCTACAAAACCATGGAACTGCAGTGGGCACAAAGACAGCAGTTTTGATTCCTTTGCCGATAATTTCATGACATATATGAAACAACAACTCTAAGCAAACCTGTCTTTAGAACAACAGTTTGGAAATGCTACATACACGATATCTTTTCCCTATGGGACATGAGTAAACCAGACATCGGAGCCTTCACTGAACAAGCAAACTTACATCACCCAACTATTGAATTCACGGCCGAAACATTTGATATTGAGACTGCGTTTTTAGACACGGTTGTATACAAAGGCACAAGATTCAAGGAAAAATCCATCCTTGATGCAAAGACACATTTTAAACAAACGGAAACCTTCTTGCACACACATTTCACCCCATGTCACCCTCCAAATGTTAATATCTCCTCAGAAACAACTTTGAGGAAAATAATTCAAATTAAAAAAAAAAAGCCTGATGAACGGAGGCTACCCACAATCTTTGATAGAAAACCTACTATCAGAAACAAAATTCACAAAAGGGAGTCTAAACTCCTAAAGGAGGAAAAAGAAATATTGCCATTCGTGACACAATACCAGCCCTCAGTGTCTACTATAAAGGAAGCTTAAACGAAAAAATGGAATCTAATACAAAACCAACTATAACTTCAATAAATTTTTAAAGAACCACCAATCATTTCCTTACAAAAAAGGAAAATCATTAAAGCACATGCTCGTTAGAGCCAAAAAAAAAAAGGTTAACAGAGGGTTCCATGCTCGTATAGATGTGCTGCCTGTCACCCTTTGTATTTTATCGCACAACAGGTTTGTGAGTATTTTAGCAATAATTCCAGCTGGCTGTGTTTCAGTATTTAACAAGTGTAGTCAACTGTCTCGTTAGTAGTTAGTGCCTATCTGTGTAATAAAATAGGGTGATCCACCCCCTAAGGGTAGCTGAAAATTGCACGACCCACCCCTGGCACAAGGCTCAAAACCTCATGACCCACCCCCCTCTGCTCCGGCCCCCCCCCCCCCCCCCTATACTTTTTGACCAGTCCCTTAGTAACTGCGCTTTCTCGGAAAAGAAACCAAATAAATGTTAAATGTAGTTTTGAGGCACTAAGGTCTGCTTTATTTTGACTTGTATGATTTTGTAGACATATCGTATAAGCAAATTTAATGTTCTTTTCAGTCTATTGTGTTACCATCTAAAAAAAGACTTTTATTGTATTTCAGTAATAAAATAACATTGGTGTACCAGGGTTCTCTAGTTTACATTATTGCCATTAAATTCACAATTTATCGTAACGATGTAATGAACCTGCGATCTAATCACTCAGAATAGACGCAAACGCATTAAGCGTATTATTAACAATTATTCCTCGAGCCCGAGTGGGCTCTGAGTCAATAGCCCATGAGGCCGAAGGCCGAATGGGATATTGTCTCAGAGGCCATGAGGGCGAGAGGAATAATTGTTTTAGTAAAATCCAACTAGTTAGTCAAAAATATCGAGAACGAGAATAAAAAAAAATTTAACTAGTTAAAGCTAGACTTTAATCCTTTTTTGCCGCTAAAAAGCCCGCGCTTTTTGCTACTAGTGGGCTATTACATATAGCCTAGTAGTAGCTCAACCAATCAGAACGCAGCATTGATAATAGATCACTAGTTGGATTTTACAAATTCGATATATTTATGGATCTAATTCTTTGTATGTTTTAAAAGACATAGAAAGAAAATCAAGGCCTCGTTTCCGGCTTTTTCTCTTCTCTATTTGAACATGGATAAAGCCCTCGAGAATTCAACTTCATTAAAAGTCGCCTACAATTGACGAATCGAGCGATTCTAAATAGACGCGATAAAGTTCTCTGAAGTTTGAAAGGGTGCAAAATTCCTTTTTTTAGTGATGTTTTCACTGCCGCCGTCGTCGTCGTCGTTGCCTAAGGCCCATTATAAGTAGACAAGACGACATAATGCTACAGCACTGAATTCCAAGCGTGCCCATCCCCCGGGCATTTGTCATCTTGTCGACCCGGGGGTGGGGCATTTGTCAATTCTTGTTAATATCGTTCCTTCTTCAATATTTCATTTAAAAATATTTAAGATATTTCCTTAAGGAATATTTTTAACACATATGCTTTAAATGTGCTTTTCGCTCTATCACCACCCTAGGTATATACCGCTTCACAAACCTCCCTTAATTCAGTTGACAGGGTTGGAATCTCTGTTGACTCTCTTGCAGTTTTGTGTGATTATGCGACGATTAGTACGTAGACGGAACGGTTCCATCGTGATACGAAATTACTCTGTTTAGCTCGTCCGTTTTTTTTATCATTGACTATCTTAAATACCTTTGAAAATAAGAAAGGTATTATTAAAATTCTAGTTTATAAATCTGTCATTGATATTATTCAGATCGATGTGATCTTTTTTGCATTATAACCAGTGGCTAGAAGCGACTTCAGATTTTTACAGATTCCCATGAATATGGCATTTGCAGCTTATTTACAGGAAAATGAAGTTTTGGTATTGTCCTGGGGTGGGCATTTGCACACTTTTTTAAGCCTCTGTGTGTGTGTGTGTTTTTTTTTTTGAACCGCCCGGCCCCACTTTGGGGCATTTGCAGGTCTTCCGAACAAAAATGACAAAAACCCGACAAATGCCCGGGGGAGATGGGCCCGCTTGGAATTGACTGAGCTATAGCAAGAGCTGGCCATAGCAAGTACATAAGACGACATAGAAAATAGACGTCGACTGTTTTTTTCAACCGTTGTTTTAAGCTTGAACAATATCGGTACATTAAATTTACCATATATGAAGTACTTGCTTGCCGTTCAAGAAAAGTGCCACTGACCACCCCACCAATAATACGACTGCGGGCTTCGCATTTGTCATGGCGGCGGAATGGAGTCCAACCAGAGATTTTACCTTTTTCTGATTTCTTTTCTTCGCCGCAAACAATTTCCTCAATAGTTTGATTGGATTGTTTCGTCTTACCTTGTTTCGTCTTACCTGGAAAAAGCGGAAATGAATTTTTGCTTTCTCAGAATTCGAGAGATGATTTTCATTGGTTGAACACTGGAAAATTTTGTTGGCTACGTCATGGTTATTCCCCTACAAGATCAAGCAAGTAAGCATTTATATTTTGGGAAGAGTTTTAAATTTTGTCGCAATCGTCGTTGATACGAGGAAATGAAAAGGTTATATGATGATAGTAATGTCTTAGCAAAGTTAAATATTAGATGATAAAATGTCTTCTCCAGGTCACGGGAAAGGCAAAAATAAACGAAAATCGAAGGGTCGAGGTTCTGGTGGCGGACGAGGACGAGGAAGAGGACAAGAGCCGTTGTCTACTCCAGGAAGAAGCGAAGGTGCATCAAAACCTTGTGATGAAAGGGAAGAAATTGCTCACCAGTTTGCTGAAGGAGAGGAAAAACCAGCGGCAAGTGCAAGTTCTCCTGCGTCAAAAGCAGAAGAAACACTTGGGGCTTGTTCATCTGTTTCAGAAACAAAGAATCCATCGCGACCTTCAGCGGAACAAAAGGCAGATGTAAGAGATCTTTCTGCAAAAGAGCCTGTTGTCTCATCAGATAAAAGCATACCGACATCTGAAGCAACACAGGGAAAATCAAGGCAACAGCAGCCCAAACAATCTAAGGGAAAGTCACCCATATCCTCTTCTCCGCCAGACACTAAAGGTATTATAAAATACATGCCCTCGGTCATGATTTACTTTGCTAGTTGAGTGTCCTACATTTTGGTATTTTGGACGAGTGGTCATAAGGAGGTTTAGTGTCAGTATATTATATGGCTAATCTTCAGAATACCCCGCCACTGAAATATTCCACAACAACTCTTGCTAGCATAATATGGTCCGTGGTCGACTCCGTGGTCCACAGTGTTAACTAAGCCAGTTTAAAATAAAGCGGCCATTCTACCAAATAGCGCTGCACACTGATGACGTCACAAAAACGTGACCCCTATCGAGACAAATATGGGCCATTTTTGCAAAAGCTCGCAAGAGCGCTGTATGCAAACACACAGTTTGCTATCAGTTGTGCTTTCCCTTTTAGCATTTTTAGGAGCATTCCAGTTTCGAAATATGACAAAGATCCATGAGAATATAATGTAGAACAAATGAAAACATAGCTTAAGTACAAAGGATTGAAACAGAGCAGAAAGTGAAAGGACTTTTAAATGCCGTGTTTCAATACCTTATTGCAGCGGGTAAATATTTTCAAAGAACAAGATACCCGGCAGTCTGATATTCACGTCCAATTATTTTTCAAGAATTTTCATTGAATTCTTTTAAGAAAATTTGATATTTGTTTAGAAATTTTGATTTCTGTGTGCCAAAGTAGAAACAGTCGTAGTAATATTTCAGACTGCTGGGCTAGTGTAATAATAACCTGACAACCGTCCCCGCGATTGAAGATTCAAATATGCCCAAGTTTGGAGAATTTGTCCACTACAAGACCAAACCTGTTTTCAGAGTTGCTTGGCATTTGCGAACAAACAGCAAATGCTCTGGGGAGGTTTCGATGATAATTTTTCTGGATATCCTCTGATACACCTGTAACTGACCCAGTGCGTCACGCCGGTGAAGTGTTGAAAACATTGAGATTTCACTATATGCCCAAGGTCGACGATTGAGTCTGGCTTCAAACCCAAGGCAATGTTTGAAATCACTTGAGATTTCTAAAGAAACATTTTATGTTTTCAGAAGAATTAAATCTCCATCAGAATTCGTGAAAAAGGATTAAATTTCAGACTGCCCAGTATCTAAAAACCATTTCCTGGCAGCCTGGTCACTCCATAGGACATGGCGTACTTCACTTTCTTTCTGGATTTCTCGTATTTATTTAGCAACTCAGACCACTTTTTGAGGGATCCTTGAGTCCCTCTTACATTCTTCCCAGCTGTAACGCTTGCTGTTTACCATTTCCCGATAAAAATATGCCAAAAAAAGAACATTGTTTTGACTCAATACTCAGTAAAAGCGCATACAAAGCCTTTGAGAGAGAAGCAAAGTTTGTCTGAGTCATGCAGGGGGTCTCATCTGATGTAAACTATTTTTAGAATCTGTGCGCAGTGCTATTTACCATACGAACATATGAACCATGGTAGCAGTACAGTGTACATTTACACACCTAAGGTGCATTCCATTTGGATGTTCCGGATCAGGATCATCATCCAAGTTCACTCAGATCATAGCACATCAAAGGAACCAATTAATTCAACCTGGGAAAGGACTGATCGTTCATTTGATGTACCATGATCCAATAGATCTCAGATCACTGATCCTGATCCAGATTATCCCAAAGGAATGCACTCTTAGTTAATTTCAAATTACCCCCCAGAGGACTATGGACTGCGGTAGCAGTAAGTTTACACACTTACGCAATTCAAGTTCTCCAATTTCACCAATTTCTTTTTGACTGACTGTGGACCATGGTAGCAGTACATTTAACACTTTTTTCACATTTTTTGCTATTAAAATTAATATATTATCATGACCTAAATTATTTATTCAAAAGACTAATAATATTTAAGTTTCAATATTGATACTTTTAGAATTTACAGCTATTCAGTTAAATTTGTTTTAGAAAATATTGACCTACTCTCTAAAAAGATATGTTTACAGTCCTAATGGTTGTGCATTCCACAGTTTAGGGAAGTTAGTAAGTTTTTGTGCGAGGTCTAGGTTGTTCTAGCAGCTACTAAGATGCGGACCGCAAATTCCATGAGTGCATTTGTTAGCTAAGTCTGTCCTCTAGAAATGCTAGGTGAAAGGTTATTGAGTGATTTAAAAGCGAACGAAAGAAGTTAAACAACAATACAAAAACTAGCAAGAAGCCAATGAGGGTCAAATAAAACAGGCATGCGTTCAAATTTACGAGTCTGAGTAATGATTGTGGCATTGATACTGATCAATACAAACACTGATACGTTGATGAATCAGTGTCCTATACATAAACAGTCTTTGAATTTAACAGTCAGGTTTCACAGGGATCACACTCTGACATTGCCATAAAATGGCATCCATTGCTCAAACTTCAATATTATACTTTGAAGGGATAAAAAAACAGTGTTAGCAAAGCCTCCCTTTGGCTCAGATCTGATAAAACTCTGTTCACACGTAATATAATTGATATTCAAGCATTATTGATCACTTTTCAGTCAATTCTACCACACTGCACCTGCATTCTTGCGTATAAACATACATGTATTACCAGATTCGTTGGGGTGCAGGCAAGCATTTCATATTCTGCCCTCCCCTCCTCAACCCTCTTTTTCAATTTCATTCCACCTTTCTCGACAAACTCATTTGGAAGTGCTTGCTACGTGTATGCAGGCTAAATTCTTTGTTGACCCATGGTTATACAATCTTCTTTTAGATAAAGCTGGACTACCACAGGCCCAAGCAGCTGTAGGAGCCAGTGCTTCTGCAACTGACCCAGACGTGACTAAATTAGCAATCAAGTTGGGATCTGGATTAAACACTGGAGGTAGGTAATGGAAGTAATACTTTTTCATCAACTGTCATGGAAAAACATACAAAAAAAAAATGAAGGTAGTCAGTAAAAGCAGGCAAGAGTTATTTCAGACAGGCTTTACCAGAACATAAACTTATACATTATTAGAGTTCTTGTTATATTTGTTATTTATAATGTAGATTTTACATCTAAGAACTCCATTGCATGACTGAGACCTATTATCAGACAAATTACTCAACTAATGTACAGTCAAACCTCCACATGGGACCATCCAGGGCTCAAAATAATTTTGGGAGAGTCTCTGGATACGATGACTGGCCAAATCATTTTAGATCGGTCACGTATCTTTTTTTCTGGCCGGTCAAATTTATAAGAATCTTATAAAAAATAAAAATAATTCTTAAAACAGGAACCCATGAACAGGAACCCAATCATTGCTTAGGGCTTATAGCACTTTAAAAGCACTCATTGTCAACGATAAAAATAAATTACAGTGGTAATGAAAATAAGCTTATGTGTATTCAGAGGTACACTGTCTGTAACATGTTAAATATCATTATCATACAATGAAATTTGTCTGGTGCCTTCAAATATACAGTGTACTGATTTTTAGTGTAGGTATCACTGTGTGAGATCTTTATCCTAAAACTCGGCTAGTAATCCATGTTACGCCCATTACAAGGGAAGCAAAATTTGTGTTCATTGAGAAAATTAACTAAAAAGTTAAAATATTGTTCATTTTGTGTGACTGGTAGGGCGTGAAGCCCGCTGTCTGTTTCAATGCGTGAGTTGTAAACGTTCGGTTCTAGTTGCATTTCAGCCAGAATTTCAGATCAAAGTTCCGCAATACACAGTGACTTGTACTTACTGATAACAACTTAAAGAACTGAACTGCATGGAAATTTTAATTTATTTCATTTTCAATACCATCGAATGTGACCGGTCAACATGACCGGTAAGACGAAAGGTTGACCAGTCAACTCCCCAATCAGTCCAGACATTGTCCGTTGGCTGGCCGTTATTTCAAGCTCTGCCACCTCTAAATCACCTCCCATAAGCAAACAACTTCCTATCCAAAACTCCAAAACTTTCCCAGTCAGTTGGAATCTCTTGTAAACAACCCCTTTCTGTAAGCATCCACAAGCACTTTTTGGGGCTAACGGTGTAATAATTTTTCTATTCTTTAAACCTCTTCTAAGTGAACACTTGTCCTGATCTCTGTGTTCGCTGTTTGTACTACTGTATGCTACTTAAATAACTAAGATTCTTAGCAAAAACATGGAACTATACATGTCAATATAACTTTAGAATTACATGCAACAATCTACCTTCCATAAAATAGATGTGTTCAGAAATTTTCTTGCGAGAGACCCCTGAGGTTCTTTTCTCATACAGACTGTAAGCGACCACTAAGTCTTTGTAACCACAACGGTCGTTACAGGAGGTTGGACTGTATTTGAAGCAAAAGTAAAAGGGATGTTAAAAAAATGGAGCAGTAATTTCCTTTACTGACCATTGTCAATATTTATTTATGGATTATTAACAATGGTTAGTTTGCAATAACTACATGTATGCTGTAGCTGTTTGCACTTTTATTTGAATTAATCCCTCATGATCTATCTTCTCTCATGCTGAAGAAGACCACTTATGCTTACAGTGTACACGACTTGTTCAATACATGTAGTTTGACATATGTTTCTAATTTTGCTCAGAACACACAGCTCGCCAAATGCAGCAAAATGGTAACCTACACCTTCCAAAAAGACCTGGCTATGGTACTGTGGGCAGACTGATAAAGTTAAGAGCCAATTTTTTCCGCATGAACATTTCACCAAGGCTGTCAGATCTTTATCACTATGATGTTGAAATAACACCAGAGAAGTGCCCTCGGGTAGTGAAAAGAGATGTTGTCAATGAGATTATCATGAAGTATCAAAGTACTGTGTTTCAAGGCCACAAGCCAGCATTTGATGGAGAGAAGAACCTCTACAGTAGGATAAAGCTTCTTACTCCAGTGAGTGAATCGATTTTTGAATCTACTGATTTTCTCTACTCTGTCTCAGGGGTTTTAATAAATTAAAAACTGAAGTACAGCCAGCAGGTTTGAATAGACTGTATAAAAAAGGGACATGTAGTCCCCTTATCTTCAAAGGTGAGTTTTGGGGTTGGCTCCTCAGAAAATTAATTTGAAATTTTTTTAAGCCCTAAAATGTGATTTTCAGTGTTCTGTTCACTAAATTGAGTAAAGTAGGATATGGGAAGATTTCCTATCAACAGCAGTGATTTCTTTATAAATGTTTAATGCTGATCAGTTATGATTTACAAAATACTGGCAGTTTGTATGCTGATACATTTCCTGGAAAACAATGAATATGAACAGAATCACTGTGAGTATGATTAGTAGCTCTCTGCACTTCATGCAAATGTTGTATATTAATTTTGTCAAAAAATAAACAGACAGTACAGTTTCTTTTTTTTTAGTTTTACGACTGCTTTAATTAAATTTAAGTTTTCTCACACTCAGAATCTTTGTTTAATTTTATACTTCATTCTCAGCTTCAGTTAGGGGGAGCAGAGCATAGTGGCCGACAGGTTTCGCCGGTTATCAGTGCTTATTGAAATCCCTGCTGTCTTATGTTCCCTTAGTATACACTGTATCATTAATGTAACTTTTGTGTACCACACCATGGTAATAGTTAATAATTGTTGATTAATTTTACTCATTCACACTTTTCTACAAAATTTTGTCTTTTTGCCCAGGCTGAACTTGATGTAACTCTGCCTGGCGCAGATGGTGGAAGGGACAGAGTATTCAAGGTTGGTGTAAAGGCTTTATAGGTACAACAGCGACAAGGAGGGGCTCCAGACATTGCTCTACCAGAAGCTTAATAAAAAGTGTTGACTTCATGTTTGAGAACTAATTGTCAAGGCCATTAAAAGAGTATACAGTATTTACAGCTAAAAGTGATACAGACTAGAGAGCTTTAGATTCGAGGACGTCTAGGACGACTGCGAGGATGACATTTAATTTTAAGTTTTCTTACCTATTCTCGTGTCTCGCCCAGACGACGATCGAATAGTATCCCATGATGCACCTCGATTCATGTTATATTATCACTGCGTACGTGACACATCATGATCAGTAATCTTCAGCACGCGCGAAGTGAACATCGATGGCAGTGCTCGATGTGGATGGTTTCCAAACATGTTTCGGTTCAGCAGCTTCTGCTTTTGAGATTATCGAGTTGGCTTATATTCACTGTGCTTTAAAGGAGAATTTCAGCGTTGTTTTGACTGAGAAGGGTTTTACATGTATTTCACTGATCTGTCGAGAACTACTTGTGCCGCGCTCGGTCGCACTGTAAACACAAATTATAAGACTCGCAATTGATAAGCTTCGCAAGGTTCACTAGGAGAACCCAGGCCAGAGGAGAACCAAAACTATGACTGATCTATAAAGTGGTTCCAACAAAACATCAGCTACGCTGTGAAGCTAATTACCAAAGGAGAATTTATTACAGCATCGCGCTCAAAGGAGCTGAAGTTTACAATGGCAGTTACAAATAAAATTTAACCTATCGATGCGACAAACAATTCGCTGAAGCACAGTCTACCCGGTACTGAGTCAAGCAATCTTCAAGGAAATTTCCTGGCCAGAATACTGATCTGTTCTTTTGAATAAATAAAGTTTCTGATGTTTCTTTTTCAAATTCTGAGCAGGCTTCAGTTTACGTTGTGCCAGCTTGCATGCTGCGTGGTACCTTTCTTTGGGTTCTTTTCACACTGAAACAGACCGTTATACACCTCTCCTTCTTCGAATTGAAATAATTATGGTCAAATTCCTTTTAAAAATAACCTCTTTGAAAATACAAAGTGATTGCTTTGGCATAAAGCGCTCTCAAAAGCGCCCAACAGATTGTAGCTTTCATCAGGCTTTACACATATATTATGACACATGGCATTGAAATGTGATAAAAGATTCAAAATTTCAGCCATCTTTGGTCGACAAAAAAGTCTTCAAAATGTGGGTACTTCTGGGTACTTCTTGGCCTGTACAATATTCAGGACTTCATTTTGCTGGCGTGAGGCCCACATTTGGAAGATTTCAACATATATTCCAAAAAATCTCGAATATTCATGACCTGGTTGTGGGTCACTGAACACTTTGTGATGGGAAGACTAATTGAAACCGTGAAAATAAATGTTTCTAAGTGGAAACTTCGCTCTTAAGCCATTGCAAATCGGAGAAATCATGTCAAAATAATAACGAAATAATGTAATTTTTCTACTTTTACTGGAAATCGAGTGAGAAGAAAGCCGACGAGAAAATGACCTTATTTCACGATGGAATCTGCTATGACTGCGATATTGCGTGATGCTTCTGGAAAAATGCATCATGGGATACTATTCGATCCTCCTCTGTGTCTCGCCCATTCTCTAAAATACCCCGGACACCCCGTAAAGCATCATTGTACTTTTTGTCACCACAAAAGTTAGTTTGCTTAATTCCGTTGAAGGAGGTGTAGCCCTCTCCCGATCACTAAATGATAAAATTCCTAACATTTGATAACTTGTTTTCACCACCATGGCATTCTCGCTAAAACTCATGGTAGAATGACGACGGTTACCACGTTTTCCCGCCAAAATGAAGCTGTTTCACGCAAGCGCACCACTTAGTATTGGGAAAATCTCATACTCATAGTCGTCCTCATCTCAGAATCTAAAGGTCTCTATAAAATTAAGTTTACAATGCAGGAGACCCACTCTTACTGACACGATAGTTATTAAAATTCTAGAAGCATTTAAATTCCCGTAAGTCTTTATTGACTTATTATTGAAGAAAACTTAGGTTTTACAATTTGAATAAAGAAGTCTAGGTAATTGGAGTCCAGGAAATGAATTGTAGAGGTTTGACCTTCAATGATCTGTATTGTGAAACAGTAGTGATGATCACTACAGGTGCCTTCATTTGTCTTTTCCAGGTTAAGATCCAGTTTGCAGCATCAGTCAGTATTGAATCTTTAAGAAAATTCCTTATGGGACAACAGAACGGTAAATCAGCCCAAGATGCTGTGCAGGCACTGGACATTGTTATGCGAGAAATGCCTTCACACCATTTTACACCTGTCGGTCGATCATTCTTTCCTCTTGATGGATATGGTTCAAAATACCTAGGGGAGGGGTGTGAAGTGCAGTTTGGCTTTTACCAGAGTATGAGACCCTCCCAGTGGAAGGTGATGCTGGTGAACATTGATGGTAAGATCTTAGACTAATACCCTGCACTTATAAGTACTTGGATGCTAGTTGCACTTACAACATATATTGAGTCCTTAAATATATTTAGGAAAAGAATTATTATAATTAAGCAATTGATATTAGCCTGAAAAAGCTGCATAGACTTTGAGACACCACCAACAGTTTCTCCACAAAATTGACATCTGCAGAACAAGCATAGAAATTCCATACTGATGACATGTACTAGCTACCCAGTGGTCAGGTTCCATAATGTGTTATATTAATTTTTACTAATAATTAAATCAAGTTAAACAGCTCCAGACAATAGACTTGTTTACTTTTTCCCGATAGCAATGCTTATTTTAGAGCATTGACTGACTATTAATTTTGAAAAACTTTTGATATTACTTGATAAAAGGGGTAATTTCTTGCTCTTTACAAGTACATTGCATCTTTGCATTTCAGTTTCTGCCAAGGGCTTTTATAAGAGTCAAGGTGTGGTTGACTTCCTTCGTGAAACCCTTCCACCATCACAACATCAACTTGAAGACCCTAGGTGTCAGATTGACAGATCGAAGTTTGAGAAGGCTATACGTGGTAATGTGGAGGATCTTGGATTATAGGGATTGTCTTATTGTTCATTAGAAATGTGTCCAAATGTGGTTTAAAAGATGGTACTATGGAAGAGGGTGCAAAGAAAGTCAGTTTTGTAGCCTGCCATTTGGGCAAGCTGTAGCTAGCATGTACTAGCCCACAAGTCATTTCAACTAGCCCCAAAACCCTTTTTGATTTGCAGGATTGATTACAATCCTTCTATAATTTGAATTTCCCAAAAAAACATCACTTGCCCGTTGGGCAAGTTAAGAACAAAAGTCACTAGCCCGATAGCAAAATCCACTAGCCCCAGGTTATCAGACACTACTTTCTTTGTATGCTGATGTAACCTTGATTTTTTCTATCTTGCAACCGGCTTAAAAGAACAAATGCACAGTTATTGAATGGGTTTAGTCAAACCATTTAAACTGGCTATCATCAACAGCTGAACTTTTAGATTGTTCAATGAAAAAGAAACTCTGAAATTCTTCTTATTCTAACGATTTAAAGCACGCACCTAATACAGCTGCTACAACCCCTCACTCATCCCACTTTGATGCTTTGTAGTTAATTAAAATTCCGTCCAAATTATAAGTACAGTTGAACCTTTACCAATTAGCCTTTGGCCAGAAAAACAAGGAGGAGGTCTGGGCCAACCATGCCCTTCCTGTACATCTGCCAGTGAGAATGACCTCCTCATTCTTGGCCTAGACGTCCACAGTGACTCTTATTTTAACTCCCCTGGTATAACTACCTTGGACTCAAAGACGGTCGTTTATGGAGGGGTTCACCTGTAATAATACAGTGGGATTTTAAGGAAAAGTAGGAGTATATCCTGGGATTTCTTTAGAGCTTAAATTAATAAGTGTATAACTTACAACCTAGGAATGTGCGTGCACGGTTTTCATTATTTATTTATTTTTTTAAGTAGAAGGGTACCCTAGGTTGAGTTAAGGCAGGAAAAGTTAAAAAGTTTGAGACATGACTTTTCCATTTTGCTTGGAGGCAGGTACTATGCTCATAATACACCGTGAAAGGTTTGAACCCTGGAGTCATTTCAAAAGTAGGTTGAGTTTGATCGTCCGGGTGAAGTAGTACACTGTTTCCGGCTTTTTATGCAACCCTGTCATGAATATTTTCTTGAACAACTCTTTGTACACTCATCCAAAGATCGTTGCACCCGCTTTTTCCTGATAGGTTTACGGGTGGAAACCACGTATTTAAAAAGAAAGTACACAGTATGGGGAGTGTCGAGAGAGTCTGCAGACGGGCTACAATTTGATGTTGATGATGAAACATCTGGCCGCCGCACAAAAACAACTGTTGCAGCATATTTCAAGGATAGGTATAAGATGCAGCTGAGGTATGCTTCTTTTCATCTTACATCTTCTTTTCCCAGCAGAGATTTTTGTAAAAAACAGTATTCTCAGTTGTCTCTTGCTACTGAAACTGAATTAACCTGTGCCTAATCTCACACAGATTTCGGTTCACTGGTCTTACCATGCCCATGTGTACATCTGAAAAGATAACCTTGTTATTTAACAATTAATGAATGAGGCTGAGTATCTTATGAAGAATTATGGAGATCGAGGGGGGTGTTATCCGTCCAAACAAACCAACACCGACCGTTTTGCACAGTTTGTAACGTGCAAATATGCCACCTATTTAGATTCCTAAGCGCCTTACATACTTATTTTGTATTATTTATTACCTTAGATTCCCGTTATTTCCGACCCTACCTGTAATTCAGTTCTCACTGCAAAAGGTAGCAATAAACCAATTTATTTAAATATTTATTTATTTAAGGCCGTAGGCCGAGGCGGATAACACCCTCCGAGATCTTCATAATTCTTCATTTGATACGAAATTGTTTTATTATTCATTCAAAATAATTCCTAGTTTAAAAACGTAGCTAAAACATGCTTACCCCCATCGATGTTAAGTTCATCTTTGATAGTGCACGTTTAGGGTTGTTCAGCTCCGCAAATATTCTCTAAATAGCAGATGTCGCCGTTCAAGTTGTCTTCTTGTTGTTCTGGCCATTTCTTACTCTTAAAACGAGTGAAATGTCCGCCATTTTTGTTTTCGCAACCAAAACAACTCAACCTCGTCCCCAGGTCATCTCGGATAATGGTGCATTAACCTACAAGAAAGCTGCACTTTTAACGTCATCGGTTGATTAATCGCAAAATTCTTCCAAATTTGGTCATCAGTAGCTGGTTATGCTGAATTATGCGTGTGCTTAGGAAATATTTTGAATGAATAATAAGGAACTTAACTCTTATGTTAATTACGGGAAATTAATGCGACTTAAAATAACACGAAGTGGAGGAAAATAACCTTCAAATAAAGGAAGTTAACGCGAAAGAGAGGGTAGCATTTTAAAATGAAGGAAACTAACGCGACCTGCACAAAGAAACAAAACTTGCTAAGAAAAAACAAAACCATGGTACTTTCTCGAAACGTAGGGGGTCAAGCGAAGACATCTCGCCTCTTCGAGCCTTCTTCACAGAAATCACTAATACTAACGAATCTCCTGCCTTAAATTATACGCACCATTAGTTAAAGAATACGAATCTTCAAAGACACCTTGCGATTCGTACCATTGGTACAAATGATATGCTTGCCCCTCAGTCGATTGATTAGCTATGTGCTATTAGCGGCAGAAATACGAAATGGCACAAAGGGGAACTGGATCTTATGAACACTTAAAAGCGGGTGGCACAAAAACGATTCGTTGATTGGTATTTTGGCACTTATGGTAAAGAAGTCAGTAGACTTGTCCACTCCTTCTTTAAGCGTCACCCAGGAGCAAAAAACGTCACCTCAACATTCCCCGTTCTTTAAGCCAACTACGCGAAACAATTTCTATTCCACTAAATGTTAAAATTTATACGCCAACACTTATAAAGCTAGAAAAGACCAAATAGTAAAATATGCCTAGCTGGTGCGCGTGACACACATTGGGACAAAGTGTTGTGTGGTGATAAATGCGGGCTGGCAGGGAAACAAGGAAACGTTGCTGTGAAATGATCCAAAATCTATTTCGTCTTGAAAGTCTTAATGGGATGCTTTTTGGAGTATTTCACATTGATTAGTCAGTCCTTTTTTACTTTGTTTACCTACCAGTCTGCGCAGATGCAATCGTTGCACACTGGTTACAAAGCGATCGTGGAACAAAGTGACTGTGAAGTCATCTTTTGTTTTCAAGGAAGTTGACAATATTGGTATTACATTGTCAGGTATTCCCACCTGCCCTGCTTGCAAGTTGGCCAAAATAAAGATCGGTACCTACCGATGGAAGTTTGCACCATTATTCCTTGCCAGAAGCGGCACTTATCCGAACAACAGACAGCAAATATGATTAGAAGCACAGCAAAACCTGCACCTGAACGAAGACAGAACATTGAATATTGGGTAGGTTGTTTATGGGACGGGAGGAGGGGAGGATGGATGTAGGGTGGTGGTAGACCAACCTGTTCACTAAAACTAGCTTACATGTACAGTGTACTTTGTAGTAAACCATGTTTAATTCTGAGTGTATGTTCTAAGTGTAAACTATGTGCAATTCTAATAGGCACAGGAAATGGTAAAAACCAGTCAGAAGTACTTAAGGGAAGAGTTTCAGACTTCTGTAGATCCTGAAATGGTCAGGGTTGATGGCCGAGTGTTACCACCTCCCAAAATCAAACTTGGAACACAAGATCAAGCATTGGTTCCCCGCGATGGTTCATGGGACATGCGTGATAGGGCTCTTCATCAAGGAGCAGACATTAAGACATGGGCAATGGCTTGTTTTGCACCTCCCCAAAGATGTAACGATAATCAACTGAGGAACTTTTGTAGGCAGATGGCTACTGTTTCTACCAGGGAGGGAATGAAAATGACAGAACCGATTGTGGTCAGATACGCACGGATTAGAGAGGTAAGATGTGTAGTACTTTGAGAGAGGAGAAGTGATGACGTCACGAAAATTGAAATTGTGAAATTATCGGATAGGTTGAAATATCCAGAAAGAACAAGGTGAATAAAGCTCCCTTGCCAAAAATCATCCTGTTGGAGCTGTTGGTGGGGAGAAAGAAGCACCTGTATGCTCGGATGATTCAATGCAAATCCTTTTAAAAATTGAATTGGATTGAATTCAAAATACGACCCATGCCGTTATCGGAAGGCTTTATACAACAGTATAACAATGAATAACCGATCCAAACTACAATCTTCTTTGTTGAAGGTTGAAGCTCTGTTTTCCAACTGGATGGTAGAGTTCCCAGGACTTCAACTTATCATGGCCGTTCTACCAGGCAAAGAAAAAGATCTCTATGCTGAAATCAAGCGAGTTGGAGACAGTGTCGTCGGAGTTCCAACACAGTGCGTACAGTTAAAACTTGTTCAGCAAGCCAAGGCTCAAGTGTGCGCCAACATCTCACTGAAGATCAACTCCAAACTAGGTGGGATCAACCAGGTTATTGATCCCTCGGTAAAGTCGCTGGTGTTCAGGGAACCCACTATTGTCTTTGGCGCTGATGTGACTCACCCCTCCCCTACTGAGAATGGCATTCCATCAATCGCTGCAGTGGTAGCGAGCATGGATGCTAATGCCACCAAATATCAGGCTCGAGTGCGCGCACAGAGGCATGAGAAGGGGCGTGGAGCGCAGGAAATCATCAATGACTTAGCCGTGATTGTAAAAGAGCTTTTGATTGAGTTCTACAAAGCTAATGGCAAGCTCAAGCCTTCGAAAATCATTTTTTATCGGGATGGAGTCAGCGAAGGCCAGTTTGATCAGGTCCTTGCCCACGAAGTGCGCGCTGTTCAAGAGGCTTGCATGAAGCTTGAGAAAGAGTATCGTCCCCGGATCACGTTTATTGTGGTCCAAAAGCGACACCACACCAGGCTGTTTTGTGAAAACAGCAGAGATGAAACTGGCAAAGCTAGGAACGTACCTCCGGGAACAACAGTGGACAGTGGAATAACCCATCCATATGAGTTTGATTTCTATTTATGCAGTCACTTTGGTATTCAGGTACCTATTCATTACCGAAACTGTGCTATTTTACTGCATATTGGTTTTTGGGAATGGGTAGGGAGGGGTTAGGGGCAGGTTTTGTCAAAACATTTGTCAACGTGTTACCTCGTCTGTAGCCCTTTTTTTGTCTCATGAAAAAATATTTTCAGTGAGTACATTTGAGCTTGATGGCCGGAATTCCTTCAGATAAGCGTCGAAAACCTGAAATTTACATTGGGATCCAGCTGTTCAACGAACCAAGTAAATTTTGTTACCATCTAATTAGAAAAAAATGATGACATGTGCCCTTAATCTTGCCCTATACAACAAGCACATGCTTACAAGTTTAGACTGGAGCAATACCCTGCCCTCAGAGAAACTGTTTTCTCTGTGTTCCGTGTTAAAATCTGTAGCTTATCCTAGCGTTAAGACCATGAAATACCTTGAAAAACTTTTCAATTCTCTTGAACTGACAGGTTTTGGCAAAAAAAAAAGTTTTAGATGTATTTCAATGTAGATTGCGGGCTAAGACAGCCAGTAGACCTAGTAATTTGTTTGTTTCATTTGAAGGAAATACATCTTTTTCGTGCTTGAGCCACATGTATAAGCCTTTTTTGCTCTGTTCAGGTAGAGCAACGTTTAAATACTAGCTGAACGTTGTTTAAGTAACCTACCCCAGCAGCTTAATAGTTTGTAACATCATGTTTTCGTTTGTTTTACAGGGAACAAGCCGACCTACACACTATCACGTGTTGTATGATGACAATGGTTTTGACGCTGACAGTCTTCAGCAACTCACTTATCAGCTCTGTCACGTCTATGCACGGTGCACTAAGAGTGTGTCTATGCCAGCCCCTGCGTATTACGCCCATCTTGCAGCTTTCCATGCTCGGGTCCACGTGACCAATGGTGGAAGTGGCAGGTGAGTTCCCCAAAATATGCTCATGATAACTTTTATGTTCTCCATAGAAATGTTAGAAAAAGTAAAATAATGTTCATCATCCTGTGAGCGTGAGATAAAGTAGCCTTCTAGCAAGCTCTCCTATTTGGGCAAGCGAAGCGCACCGCGCGGTGCCGCGTCTTCTCTCGTCTTTCGCGCGTCTACTTTTTACGATATCCCCAAATGGAGAGCTTGCTAGCAGGCTACAGACAAAGAAATTCTGATCCCAGCGTGTTAAAAGTGGTACCCCCGAGGGACAGGGGGGAGAAGGGGATTTGGACAGAACAAGGCAGTGAGGCACTGAACATGGGACCGCCATTTTACGTGGTCATCCGAGCCACACGAAGGTCTAGCCTGTTGCAGTGCGAAGGGAGTACCTTCATTTCTCGATTATTTTAAGACCCTGAGTATTGGTCCGGCCCCAGGAATCGAACCCGCGACCTCCCGCTCTGCAGTCAACACGCTCTACCCACTGAGCTAACACTGCCGCGGTTAAGAAAAATGTAATTTATGTGTGCAGAGTTATTGTGTTACTTATTTTCTGTCATGGTCGTGATGGTTTGCTAAAGGCCCCATTACAGTCAGTATGAAACGCGAGAGAATAGAGCCAGTGGAAGACGGGAAAGCATGGCAAAATTACGGCAGCTTTCAGTAAAAACAAGGGAGCTGAAATAAGCAAAGATTTTCAGGTGTTGAGCAACACACGTCAACCGGAAGTTTTGCATTCTTGTGGAGTGGTTTGGCCCAGATTTTCGGGCAAGCCGTGTATATCAGGTTAAAGACACGTAGCAATACAAGTTTGGCAGCGTCGAGGCGGTCGTCACTTGTTTCCATCCGCCAAACTGACATTTTCCTCTCAGTGGCTCTCACAAGACATTTCACTTTTCATAAAAGTCTAAGTCTCTTCAATTTTTTAGGAAAAAAAAAATTCAGGATGGCACGAGTAGGATTAGATCTTGGAGCATCGGCTCTGCAGTGGATTACTTTAACCCCTACACCACCGAGGATTTGCAGTCAATGAATGGTTTGATTTGAATATATACCTAATTGCAATAACGTTGTCTTAGAAAAATGAAAAAAGGAAAAAGCCAAATAGGAATTAATTAGGCTAATAAGCCTAACAAATTCATATGCGGCATTCGCACATGGACGTCGTATTTGCCTGTTGGAATTTCCTATTGTTTTAAAGCTGAAAAACAATCAAAAAAATTCCAGCGGAGAAATGCAGCAGCTGCAAATGAATCCACCCTGAGAATGTGGCTTAATTAGCCTAATTAATTCCTATTTGGCTTTTTCCTTTTTCCATTTTTCTACGCCAACGTTATTGAAATCAGGTCTTTGTGTACGAATCATTAGTCTGTCAATGTCAGTCTGGCGGATGGAAATAGGTGTTGACCCGTCAAGGCATATGAAAAGGGAAAAGGTTACACTTCGGGTTGACTTACATCGCCCAAAAACATCTTTCCTCAACCCTCTGCAACCTGGAAATAAAACGTACACTTGGGCAAGAACATGATTTGCTCTCTTGTTAATAAAATATTATTTTGTCCTTACTTAAATGCTATCTTTTCTCCATTTTAAAAGTGTTGATTTAGAGAAGTGTTCCAAGGCGATCCAAGTCAGTGATAAAATGAAGGGTGTGATGTATTTCACCTAAAAATGTGTACAGCAAACACTGGAACAGGTGACGAAAGGCCATTTTGGTCATGCAGACTCGAAGGTGGAATCTTGTCATTTCAAAGGCAGTAAATGGTAGTCTCTAAGTACTATCGTTAGTTACCTTAAGCTTCCAGGATGGAGAACAAAGGCTGAAATAGAGGTCATCAGTGACCTTTTTTTTTTCAGTTGTAGTTTGCCAACATTGTGTCCTAATGTTATTGTTTGAGGGCAACTGCGAAAAATACTATAAAATTCTTCCAGGCGCTATTTTGGTTGATGTTTTACTGTTGTTTTAAGACCAAGATTTGTTGTTATGTAGTAACTTGCAATCTGGTGTCCTTATTCCCTTTTTGTTTGGGAGACGAGGTAAAAAAAAAAAAAACCGCCTGATCGTAGGCTAGTTATGTAGTAGATAAAATTGTTGAGGCAAAGCACTCGAAAAGTTAATATTTAAGCTAGGAAGAGGTTGATATAAAGTAGAGTTCTAGTGACCTGTGCGGTATGATCAATATTTAAAGATAAAGTCTACGAAATTTTGTATTATTTATATTTTATTATGTTTACAAAAGTAGATAATGATAGTGTCAGAATAGACTTTATTCACGATACTCGCCATCTTTGCACGCGCTTTTGGATGATCGTTTAAAAGCAATGTCACGTCGCATTTCAGGGGACGAACAAGTGATCACGGTCGAGTTTCTTTATTCTCTCAAAACGAGACGACGATTTGATAGTCAAGCAAAGTGTACAGGTCGAATTTCCTCAAGTTTTACGTCAATATTGCTTGCTGTGAGGACATGTACGGTCGCTACTGCATCCAAACAGTGTCAATGATCACTTACACCAGTCCTATAATTTTCCATTATCGTTTTTAAAATAAAAAGTTCTTCATTTTCTGTGGTCTAGAAAAAACAAACACGTCCGCGATTTTTTGCATTGGCAAATTTTATCAGCTGTTTGCCCCTTGAGAAACCACTTGACATCGCTTTTATCCCACCAGTCCGTAAGTGCGTGCAAAGAGGGTATCGTGAATAAGGTCTATAATTATTAATAACTGAAATTTATCGGAAGGGAATTGTGAAGTATGACGTAGCAGTGAATAGGTGGAGGTTATTACTTGGCCCTCAACACAAGGAAAGAAATTTAGTATTTTCAAGCGGCCATGTAATGTTGAATTTATTATAGAAACACCAATAAAAATGTAATACCAAACCATTTCTCTGTAATATATCTATCACGTAGACTTAGTAACGGCGATCTTTTCAACTGTGAAGATTACATGTTCAGTTTTAAGTGTGGGGATATCCTGTTTTTGTACGAAAGTTCACCTGATATTTCATTAGTGGTTACCGACCATTTGACTTTTGAAGGGGAGGGGGTGGGGACTGGATGATAAAGTTTGTGAATAATCCCCTCGACTTCGTCTTGGGGATTATTCAACAATATTAACTTCGCCTTCGGCGAATAATTGTTAAATATATATATTTTTCGGAGCCCACAATTATGATCAACTTTTTTCCTAATTTTTTGGGTTGCAAATATAAGATGTTTACATCGATGCGAGAATGTTTTTTGAAGTTTGTTTGCAAGCTTATTTTTTTTTTCTCTCTTTTTTTCAAGTCATTCAGTCATACTCAGTCCTCACTACCCACCCCATCAGAAACAACATGGTCGGTTCTTAAGATCAGCATAAGTCAAAGATAGTGCGAATTAGTTCAAGATCAAAGCCTTTTAAGTAGCTGATCCGTTATTAATTAAAAAATAATTCAAAACGATGTTCTATAGCCAGGGTAACCTCCTAGAATAAAGTGCTTTTATCGATGAGCACCTTGGAGAATTAGAACCAGTAATATATTGCAACATTTAATAGCTTAACTCATAAAAGCTTGCGTTCTTTAGAAATGCAAAATAAAGTCTTCATAAATAACAACTGAGTTACACCCAGGTGTAATAATCAACCACACACTCTCTCTCCCTCTTCCTCTCATGACCTTTTCTCTTGATTTTGTATCAATATTGTTTGGAGAAAATTAATATTGGCCACTATTTGGACGTCAAGGGGTAAGTATGTAGCCTGCGAAAACATCCGTTTCTCCTCGCTCTTCGTCGCTTGGGACGTTTCGCGCGGAGGAACGTCTGCGACTCAGTGGCAAAAATTCCATACTGATGACGCAAATCAATGTTTACATAATAAATCGGGTAGTCATGGGGTTCCAAATACAAATTTGTACAATTTTACGTGTCTTCTGGTCGATTTTGGTAAATTTTTGTGTTCATCTGCCAACGAGCTCCAGCAAAACTCAAATGCTTCTTCTAGAGAAGAGTATATTCTATAAATATTGACTGTTTTGCTAGAGATTCTTCGCGTTTACATTTGACCTCTGTAGCCTTTTGTCTTTTGTCTGTCATTCGTAAACAAAAGCTAAAACAATGTAACTACTCCTTCGACCAATCAGCGCTTCTGACCGGATTCTGGACAGATTTTACGTCATCAGTATGGAATTTCTGTCGCTGAGTCGCAGACGTTCCTCCTCGCGAAACGTCCCCTGCGGCGAAGAGCGAGGAGAAACGGATGTTTTCGCAGGCTAGTAAGTATGTTTTACAATGTGGTGACGCTATATTGCTACTCGACGTCCGCCTCCTCGGAAAGCGGTACGTTTGAATCAAAATGGCGGCTGATTGGAGTAAGCGGTCAATCTTGACAATCGCACGGAAAAAAGAATAGGGGAATGGAAACATTTCATTCTAACTATTGGGGCTGTTAGTAAAATACTGAATTGTGACCATTAAAATGAAAGCTACTAAGCAGTACTTTCCGGTGGTGCTGTTTATTGTGCTACACATGCAAAGCGGTTCCAACTTTTGGGTCTGTGGATGAAATCGTCGTGTGTGAGTGGCCCTTCAGATGAAAGCTACCGAGTATTACTTCTCTGAATGCTGTTTACTTTGTTGCACTAGATGCTTCCGACTTTTGGGTTTGTGGATGAAATCCTTAAGTGTGACCATTGAAATGAAAGCTACCAAGCAATACTTTCCTGTGGTACTGTTTATTATGCTGTACGAGGTGGTCCTAACTTTTGAGTTTGTGAATGAAATCCTAAGTGGGACCATTCAAATGAAAACTACTGAGTGTTACTTTCCAGTGGTGGTGTTTGTTATGCCAAACAGAGTGGTTCTAACTTAAGTCTGTGGATAAAATCCTAAAGTGTGACCATTCAAATGAAAGCTACTGAGTAGTACTTTTCTGTGGTACTGTTTATTATACTGTACAAGGTGGTTCTAACTTTTGAGTCTGTGGATGAAATCCTATGGTGTGACCATTCAAATGAAAGCTACTGAGTAGTGCTTTTCTGTGGTACTGTTTATTATACTGTACAAGGTGGTTCTAACTTTTGAGTCTGTGGATAAAATCCTAAAGTGTGACCATTCAAATGAAAGCTACTGAGTAGTGCTTTTCTGTGGTACTGTTTATTATACTGTACAAGGTGGTTCTAACTTTTGAGTCTGTGGATAAAAGCCTAAAGTGTGACCATTCAAATGAAAGCTACTGAGTAGTGCTTTTCTGTGGTACTGTTTATCATACTGTACAAGGTGGTTCTAACTTTTGAGTCTGTGGATAAAATCCTAAAGTGTGACCATTCAAATGAAAGCTACTGAGTAGTACTTTTCTGTGGTACTGTTTATTATGCTGATTTAAGTCGATCTGATACAGTTGATCATGCTGAACAGACTGTAGTCCTTGATATTAAACGTCTGTTTTAAAGGTCCATGCCCTGCTCATATTTGTGTCCAAAGCAAAACACGCCAAAAAAAATTTAACAATTCCAGACTTCGTTTTTTCATACGCATTTAACCCACTCAACGCCTATCGTTCACATGTCGAGTATACAGTGGGAAGAAGTTTTGAGATTGGGTTCATCTCTATGAGCATAACTTCCCAGCTCCAATATTTGGGCGTTTCCTGAGAAATGAAAACAGTCCATATTGGCACAATAATTAAACCTCACAGCACTCAATACAGCCTCACTTTTCGATTCCAAATTGATAAGATAACTGTAAGAAGTACCAACACCTATTCGTGCATAAATTCGTGACTTCGTGTCTGACCACAAACACCCTATTAGGAAATGTTCGGCGCGAGCCGAAGGAGTGCTTAATAGTGGTCGAGCGTATTCGGAAGGCTTTATCGAGGCTATAAATAATCGCCCTAAAATCCATGCGGACAATTCCCCAGAAATGTTCTAAAAGGTTCCAAAAAGGGAGGGCGAAGGAAATTCTAAAAATCTCAAAGTTTTATCGAAAACATACACGTCAAAACTTAAACAGATAATTTCTAGTTTAAAGATCCTTGTAAGTTCAAACAAGCTGCCTTAACAGTCATTGTGGATGACGTAAGTCCAGCTTGACTAGGCTGCAACCAAGAATCGGTAGGATACAGCAGACACAAATTTACTGGAAAAAAACTGACATTTTTCCGGTGACGGGGGATGAAGGAGAGTAACAGCGACGCTCGTACACCTATATTTTGTCTGTTTATGCGACAGAATTAGTCTGCTGGCCATCTAACGTGTGTATTCATAATCCCAAAATTAGTAAAATGGATAGGCTACCTCCGAGTTCCAAAAGCCCTCACTTTCAAAGTGAGGCCAAGTGCACAACCTTTCTTGTGAAAATGAGTTTTAATTTCCGTCATGAGAATGAAAACTCATTTCCAAATCTCGGGTTGAGCAATTAACCTCGCTTTGATACAGAGGCCCGGGGGAACCCGGAAATGAGCTATTAATACTGACTGTTAATATTCCAAATTTCTGGCGTGTGACAAAAAGCCTAGGAAGCGAATCGACCATTGTTCAGATGGTCTTAAACTTACCATTAGTAAGCACTTATTCACTGTCATTGACTGAAAATAGAAAATTAACTTTTCCTCGACACTTTCGAACTTTAGGGATGGACGATTAGAAACCTGAAAGGGTGGGAGGTGGGGGTTGAAAAATTTACGTAAAAAAATATCATCATCCGAAACAGACAGACTACAATACATACAAGCTAAGAAAAAAATCATGCAAACATGGCGAACCCCTCCAAAAAATTTCTTCTCCATTCCCATATGGGCGTTAATAAAAAAACGGCAGTGTGAACATTCGTCGCAGGGTTGGAAAAACAGATGAGTTTGTTCTCTGCGTTTTCACTTTTCATGTAATCTGAAGGATTCGTTGAAGCACATATTTTACAGTTAAGCTCGCGGTTGCCAAGACCGCATGACAAAGTACAAATTAGTTTCAAGTTTGTTTGCCAAAATGTCGCCTTTGAATAGACAACCTGTAATATCATCAGTCCGCCTCTGTTCGTCACGGTGACGCACACATGATGAAACCGAGAATTTTCCTTTCTTATGCAAAAAAATTCTGAAAACTATTGAAACGTGACTGGCAGACCACGATTCGGTCATGCGTCAATTATGTACAGAATTGGAGTCACACAGTATATACGTTCATATAGTCACGCAGTACTTAGGTTCAATGATGGATGACTAACCCAATAGTTTTAATCATATTCAATTTCTTTTTATTTTCCTTTACTGTCATTTATTTTTTTGTATCGCTTTAAAATGAATATTGTAAATCAGCGGATTAGCACTTTTAAAAGAGCTATAACAAATGTATGTACTGAAGTACTCCAGTTTATACATTAAAGCAGGCCTGTAATATGCGATTAATGTTGATCATATCTTGTCCACTTAACAGCTTCATGTTCAAGATCTGGCACTTAGGAGGACATCGCCCGCAATTCATGATTAGCCCTTCGAAAGTGAAAGATCTTACTCGACTGATTTCATCACTACATCAGCACTTGATGATGGGAAACTGATACAGACAACTTCGGTTTCAAAAAAGACCAGCTGTGCACTTCGCGCAGTTCGGTTCGGCGAATTAAACAATATCGTAATTCTATTTTCGTATCCACTGATCGGAAAGAACCTCGGTTTGTGTTCGGTTCATTTTGTGTTGTTCTCGCTGTTCTTGTGTTCATCATCGTTTGCTCTATTTTGTTTCGGGTTTTTTTTTACGTTCTTTTCAATTAATCTTTGCATACATTTTTAAAACATTTCAGTTTTGGTCTGGAGTCTCATGTAGACAAAAACGGCCGAAAAGAGAGGAAATAAATGGTTATATTGGCGTTAAATTTAAAAAATTGCCATATCGAAATCATTAACACATAGAGGGTCAATGACCCCGCTGTAGAAATATTACGTCGATCAATATTTTCATTGTCATGATCCTTCAATAATTATACTGACATTCCGATCGAAATATCTAGACCCACGCAATGACACGTAAATCGCGCGTGACAGAAAAGTCAGCGTCTTACGTGCTCAAGTCCACTAAAGTAAATACGCAGTGCTTGTACGGTAGCTCCTAAACTTTTTAAATCTGTCGTGGGAAAGTATCTCTCAAACCCTATAAATTGGTCAGTATATCATACAATACTTCGCTGTTGATACCAGTTCAAGATCAAAGATATGGCGAACCTTCACAAGTCCAAAAGCGAAAATTGTCTCTTGCAGCTTAAAGTGATGTTGAAGAAACCCGCGGATTCAGCTACACCCGCTAAGAAATGCCGCATTTTGAACAAGATATTCTCGGATCCAGTGAGAAAAAAGAGCTACGATCTTCAGGCACTTACTCTGTCCTCGTTACCGCTATTACCGAAATTTGTCAACAACAATTATGACAATATCAAACTGCTCACATATGAGGGGGATCTGTGGCTGCGAGAAATGTCACGGTTAAAGAAACCAAGCTGGCGAAAAAGACGTTGTGTTTTGCTGGAGGACAAGCTGCACTGTTATGAAACCAAAAAAGGTGTTCTTACCTACTCCGGACTAATTCTTAGAATATCCGAGATTGTTACGTTATCGATTGAAGAATCAGACTGCATAAAAATTTGTGACATTGATGGAAGAACGCGTTTATTTCGTTGCAATTCTGAGGATGAAAGAAACGAGTGGATGACTGCTTTGCTTTCGGCGAAAGCAATCAATTTGGTTAAGTACCACTGAGCAGTCAGTAGAAGCTGTTATGGCAGCCTGTTGGCGCATCTGTACAAACCCACAAAGAAAAAGGCTGATGACCATTCATGTACATAGACCTAAGAAGAAATTCTAAAGAGATATTAAAATGGTGAATAAAAAAAAACAAAAACAAAAGAGGCCTCTCCACAAGTCGTCAGTCTGTAATGGACGCTCGCAGTAGTCAGAAGAATGTTTTTATAGGGGTGGCATGATCTTAAGCTCCGAGTCAAGAGTAGTGTTGCACAAGAGCCTTACCATGTCGAGAGGAAATTAGACTATAATTGTTTACTACGATTTAAATTAAAGAAAGAAAATCTACCAGCTTGTAAATAATATACAGTACGTAAATTTGAAATAAATCAGTAAGACAGATTCTAGCTTTCATTATTTCTACTCCTCAAACTTAGAGTTTCTCCAATAAAGATCTTATCTTGATGACATTGAATAACTGCTTTTGGATATTGTTCGGATTATCTTGTGACATCCCACTTACAATGATCAAAGTTTTTATACAGAATGCCCAGGGCCTTGACACAAAACTTCCTTGGACATTTTATAAGTTTACTTTTTATTTTCTAATTTTATTTACAAAATTAAAATAATTACAAGATTAAAATAATTTAACAACTAGGTTGAGAATGTAGTAAAAAAACTGTTCGCTCGAGTTTTCGTATTCTCAGCGGTGAACTGGGACTAACATAAAGTCGAGGCTTATGCAACGTAAACCGTTTCACCAGCAAATATTTTGACGATATGCCACCTGAAGGCTCAACAAGTAGTCTCTCTGAGCAACTTTCACTCTACCCAAAGAATGCGAGCATAGTGTTTTGCGTACGATAGTGAATTAATATGCATCTGGTTAAATACTAGTTATAATAGCTACCTTAAGATTCTGAGGTTTTCTCAATACAAAGTAGCGAGCACGCGTGAACGAGCATCATTTTGGCGGAGAAAACGCGACAGCCGTCATGACGTCAGATTCTGTGCTCGGGAGAGGGCTTAAATTCAGCCATCAATAAAAAAAGCTAAAAAATAACCATGCTAACTTTTCCAATGGAAAAGTAAAATGACGGGAAAATGACGTCAAATCTCGCCCTCACAGGCGCCCTCGAGTATCTTATTTACTAAAATAAAATATTGACTTATATTTTACTAGTTTTCAAGTCCATATGATTTAAATTCTCTTCGTTAAAAGCACATCTGAGATGTTAAAGTCCATAGTACATTATATTGATACGATACTTTGTATCAGTTTGAGATAAAACTTCGCTATATTAAAAACTCATTAAATAAAACACATATCATTCCACATATAAAACGATAGATTTCTTTTGTGGATTACGGTCAGTTTAACAGACCTTTATTAATTTGATGCCTTGATATACGAGACTATCTTTCTGTATTGAGGAGAATGTGTCCTCAAGCAAAGTACATGCCTTTAAGAATATCTGGATGAACTTGAACCGCTTTTGCCAAAATCTGTGGGCTTCTGCTATCACCATGACCACCGCTAGAGCTTGAGCCGTTGTCAGGACTACGACAGGAAGAGAAAAACGAGTTACAAGGGGTCTCTCCGAATAAGTGCAAAGAGGCAACCCACTTTTCGTAGACAGGACAGCCCAAGCAACAACAACGAAAAATTTTGATCACTGCAGAATTGCTACAAGGGGAAATACACTATAGGCGTTTACATCCCTTGTAAATTTAAGTTTCAAAAATATATACATAAAATAACTCAATAAACCGTAGCTGTGCTGTACGGTTCGATTTTCAGACTTCACTTGATTCTTTTCAGCTTGATAATAATTAATAATATAAGGCGAGCATGCTGATATTGCAGGTATATTGCTGATATCAAATTAAATGATGACTATACGAATTTCATACATTAGAAGCGCGGAATGAAGAAATAAATGCAAAGAAGATTATCGCAGTTAACAACGCACCTTATGCAGTTGCCAAAAGAAAGCCTGAAAAAACTAAACCCTGACCTCTGCGATACCGCGATGTAGCGCTCTCACAGATTGAGGTACAATGAGGGACATAAATGTTGAGACACTTCTATAAAATGGCCCCTTTTTGAACAGTGGACATACCTTTCCCCTCCCTCAGTGTATCACCACCCCCTCCCCCCAAAACTAACGTTGTATTTTAGACCCTCAAGTCTTTCTTTTCCTACAAACAACACTGAATCGGGGGTGAGGGGGATTAACGGCGTTTAAATAGAATGAAAAAGTAACAGAATGAAATCATTGATAAAAGCGCCCATTTTAGGCAAATGTGTCAACTTTGTCCCTGATTGTACCAAGCCAGTTGGGAGCTGTCTTGAAAATAGTACGTAATGTACAGTAAAAACCCACAAGTAAGAACGTAAGATTTAAGAACCTGTTAGGCTAAAATTTGCAATTTAGACCCTTTCTATATAAAAACCTCTTTAGCCTAAAATTTGGAGAAAGGTTCTTATATAAATGTTGTTTGATTGAGGTCATTGAGAAAATGTTTATAATATTGTGTTTTACAGCACAATCATGTATATAAAGTTGTTTTGACTCAAGAAATTAAAATTCATGTGAGAATAGATCTCTATTATGGTCATATTAAATTAGGTATGCAAATTTAAGGGTGCTGATCACTAAAATCTTCTTAGCAACGACATAATTTTTTGCAAGAAATTAAGAACCTGTTAAGAACCTAGATAGCCTAAATTTATGTTAACCACCATTTATGTAAGAACCTGTTTAGGCTAACCCTGCAAAATGTAGGTTCTTGCTCGTGGGTTTTTACTGTACCCGGGGAAGGTGAAGATGAAATGAATTAGATTTGTTGTTACGTTGATTCGTTCATCTCCTCGAAGACAGCGATGCATAAAGTACGGGAGCAATCTTTTCACCAAACTTGCGCCCAGTCCCTTACCTTTCTCGTTCCCTTTCTGTCAGGTGGAACCTTGCTCTGAACGCCACCAGATGCGCATAATACGCTGGTGCCGGTATCGACACAGCGCGCGTGCACCTCACATAGGTGTGACACAGTTGGTAGGTCAGGGATTGAATCTCGTCGGCTTTGAAGTTGTTGTCGTCCCACAGCACATGGTAGTGAGATGGCCTACTGGTTCCCTAATAAGATCACGGTGTACGGACTGTTAGCATCTATAGAACACTTATTTCCATCCGTCAAATTGACATTGACAGATTAATGATTCGCACACAAAGTAAGGGTTAGGGTTGTTGTTATATATGTTCAAATCAAACATTTCATTGTCAGTAAATCCTCGGTGGTGTCGGAGTTAAAGTGACGCACTGCAGAGCCGATGCTCCGAGACTGAATACTACTCGTGCCATCCTGAATTTTTTTTCCTTAAAAATTGAAGAGACTTAGACTTTTATGAACAGAAATTTCAAGAGACAGAGAAATTTCATGTAAGAAAAGTGAAATGTCTTGTGAGAGCCACTGAGAGGAAAATGTCAGTTTGGCGGATGGAAACAAGTGACGACATCAATGATCGCCATGTTCTAAAACCCGGGACCCCGGAACACCCCCAAAACCTTCTGAGCTAAATTCCGTGCTAAAGGCATTAGTTAGTGCCTCTAACCATAAATACAAGGCTGCTGTAGAGTTATGTAAAAGATTTCAAATAAATAGAATCAGGGAGAACTAACCATAATACGTTTTTGGATCAGTTTAGGTTTCTGAGAAACTGCCCAACTACCCCTCCCCTAAGCCAACATTTTGCCCTAAGTGAGAAGTAAGTGTTCATGTTAACTTAGGGAAGGGGTAGGAGGGCAGTTTCCCAGAAACCAACTTTCAATCCATGTGCATCCTTACCATCCCTTGCAACAAAAGACAGGAAACAGGAACAAAACTGGAACATTATTTTTGGAATTCAATTGATGCGGAAAACGTTTAAGCTGTTTTAAAAAAACAGCAAATAGCGTGACAAAGAGACTTATTGAAAATAAATCTACCCCACTAGTTTGCAAAGTACTATCTTACCTGGATACCCGCGTGGCTGCAGAGGTAGAAATCAAACTCGGTTGGGTGTGTTATGCCGGTGTCAACGGTGGTTCCAGGAGGAACGTTGCCACTTGCACCACACTGAAGAATGAAAAACAAGAAAACGCGGAGACTTCAAATCAATCAACCTCAAAGAAAGAGTGACACGTACAAGCCGAACAAAACGCTTTATTGTTTATTGTTTATTGTTTTGTTTGCCAAAAATTATACAAATCAAATAACGGACAACGTTGCACGTGACGATCTCGTGCGTCTGAACTATTTATAATATAACACATTTCCTCGAATAAGCGCCCACGCTCTAATCAGCGCCCACCCCATTGTCCAAAATATCAAATAAGCGCCTCCTTCCCTCCCCCATACGTTTTTTCATGGTAGGGTACAAGGAAAACCTGTTTCTATTGTCACTTTATTTATATCTCTGTGTGTAAACCGCGTGGAACTAAGGTACGCTTGATGATTACCAACAGGTGAACTTAATAAGCGCCCCCCTCGAATAAGTTCCCTCCTTCCAATAGGCACCCATCCTTTTAGCCGAAATTGTAAATAAGGCGCTTAATCGAGGAAATACGATATGACCGTTTAAAATGTAGGTTTGATGTTCATAGCATGATTTGTGACGAAGATGCAACATCAACACCTCATGCGCAAAATAATTGTGTTGTTTAATCCTGTGTTAAGGCAGCTTTGAAAAATAGTAAAAGATACGTGGACAATAGATGCTTCTGTTTTCCGTTTGTCCTTTTTTTCAGACCTGAGTTCATTTGTTTGACACCCTCCTACCTTGTCTTGCCCATCCTGACAAAACAACCTTGTATGATGTCGCTTTTGCACTACAATAAATGTGATCCCAGGCTGGTACCCGACCTCCAGTTTGATACAAGCTTCACGGATTGCTTTCAGTTCATGACTTAGGACCTGGTGAAAAAACGCGCCAGTAAAGAAATGATCATTGTGACCTAGTAGAAGGCACCTACCCCTAAGTTTAGGTAGAGGTCTGCCGCCGCTGGCCTTCAATTCTGGATCCCGTTTAAGACTGACAATAAAAGATAATTTTGCTACCCTGTTTAAGAAAAGAGACCTTGGATGTTTACTATTTACACAAACCACCCTGGTGGAAATCTTGTGCATAAACATAAACTATAAAATTTGACGTGGTGGGAGAGAGACCTACTACAATGTATATCGAACAGATTAAAAAGGGTAAAAGAATTGCATCGTCTCAAATCACAGCCCATGTTTTTCGAGGCCCCCCAAAACGGAATGTCGCGAACCATTTGCTTTTCTGACCAGAACTTCCGGATTTTTCATGATCCGATTCAGTTTCTTTGTACAGAGAGTTTTGCTATTAACTTAATTTATTAATTTTCTACTATTGATTTGTCCAGACACATCCGTTAACTCCTTGAAATAACACTGCTTCGCGGTGGTAGGTTTATAGCGAAAACTCTCGAGAAAGATCTATTTCAAATGACGAGTCCGGCTAACCAGTTCTGACTTTTGGTAAGCAACCATATTTTTTTTAGTACTTTTACTTAAATAAGGTTTCTGCTAGCTTTGGTGCTGTCGCGTGCGTCGGGATGCTTCAGACGTTCGGCCAAAGGCGGAAGCCGCGAAAAAAGACTTGACCGAATCCGGAAACCGCGCAGGAAATTTCTGGCACCCAGGGAAGACAACGACAGAAAAGGAAAATAAGGCTTATTAGAGCCGGGATTATTAGGCTCACATCTTTCACAGGCAACGGTTAATGGCTTGAAACCTTTTCAAAACATATTTTCGCAGCTATTTCCATAAATATACGAGTGTGTCTAGTTACTTGTCAAAGGGGAATTTATTAAGAGTCGAACGGACTCACCTGTCTAAACTGTCCTTCACTGACTCCGTCTCGGTAGAAAATAATCCTCATCGGCTTGTGCTTTGTTGAACGATAAAACTGAATCAGTAGTTCGCGAACCATAGCTGCCAGTTCTGCAATGATTTCCTGGAATTAAGAAAATACAAAGAAATCAGAACGTGGAAAGAAAAGAACCCCCAACTAGATAAAGGCAGCAAAGTCCAAGTTTAAGAAAACGACAGTACCAGACTACGCAGCTTTCCGTTCACTTTCCTATTTTCGGGGAAGATTTCAATAGGTTGTGAAAAACCAACAATACTTTAAAGAAATCCCATCTTACAGTCTGCTCCCTATCATATACAGTCGACTCCCGATAACTCCAACCCTCGCTGACTCGAACCTCGTGCTAACTCGAACCAAAATCGATTTCCCCTTGATTTCCGTCATACATTCACTGTAATTTCACCCTCGGTAACTCGAACCCTCGATAACTCGAACTCCCGCTAACTCGAACCAATTTTCGTTTCCCCTTAGGTCATTTTCTATAAAATTTTGCCCTTGATAACTCGAACCATGTTTTGTAGCCCTTAAAAAGTCGGGAAAAAAAGCCGTCTACGGGCGTCCGAAACATAGAATTTTGGATTTCCTCTTGACGTGTTGTAGGAGTGTAGTTTACTAGTGGAGGCTAATGTTGATTGTCACAGGCTAACGTGAAGCAGCTTTTCTTTCCAAAACAGTAAAACGCATACTCTATTTAGGCTATGTTTTGTTACGTTATACGTTCTGATTTATAATTTAGAAGTATCTTTTAATTTTCACGTGACATTTCTACAATCAAATGTGATTAAAATGTTCACTGTGCAGTAAAAACTGTTTTTTACCTTATTCTCGGCTATTTTCTTCGTCCTCCCGATAACTCGAACCTTTTTTCGATTTCCCTTGAAGGTTCGACTTATCGGGAGTCGACTGTATCAGTTTTACGCCAAACTCTTTGAGCCCAAATATTCACATAGAAATTCTCCAGACTGATCTCATTACATTACTTAAATTAACTGAGAGAAGTTCTTAAAAGATCAAGGCATTTCCCCTTTGGCAATCATTTTATTAAACCCTGGTTGTGTTTGAATATTGTAAGGGTTAACCTGTCATTCTAAGACGACTGAGGGACACGTGTGTAACTGTCCTACAATACAGCCTATAGTTTTGAAGTTCTTTACTTACTGCATACATACCTGTCGGTGTGTTTGTACGCGCACTGAAGCATAATAGCGACTGGGATGAGCATCCATGCTACCAACAACCTAAGACGTCAAAAAAGCTACCTCAGTTTAAATCATTTACGCTTTATTTTTCATTTACATTTTAAGAAAAGCAAAATTCCTCTTACAGCAGCGATGGATGGTCGCTTCTCGTCGCCAGCGGCTGGGTGAGTTACATCTGCTCCAAGGAAAATCACAGGCTCGCGAAACAACGGAAGTCTGTTAAAACGAAATCAATAAATTATTTATAAGCTCTGCAAAAATCACAAAACTTAACAAAGGGCATTCCGGTTTGGAATGAATAATAGAGTTTCGATTCTCGACTCCATTCTTTATTCATGCGAGGATCGGGAATGGAGTATCAAGTTACTTTTAAACGGTACTGTAACAAATTCCAATTCAATCCGAAATTCTAGACGAAGAACCGGACAGTGGATGTGTCTCCACTCCACCTTTTTTCTATTTATAAATTTCTCTAGCCTTAGAAAGCAACCGAAATTAGCTCGAAATTTATCGATGCCGCCACTGATTTCCCCGCGAAATGACATTTTAAGGAACGAGTGCAGAAATCCCATACTGATGACGTGTAACTACTCAGATATGGGTAAGGCTTCTGATTGGCCGCGCCATGGAGAGAAATTTGCCTCAACTAATCAGAGGCACTATCAAGACCTAGGCAATGACACGTCATCAAAATGGAATTTCTGCGCTCTTTCCTCAGACGTCATTTCGCGGGGAAGCCAAAGATGGCGTCGCGAAATGACGGCTGTTTTCTCAGGCTAATGTTTGTTAATGTTTGTTAATCAATCAATTAATTAATTTATACTACTACATGAGAAATTTCTGCAATTTGATTGGTTTAGAGCAGTGGTATTTCAGCTTAATTTGAAATACCTACATGTGAAAATTACAAACCTTCTAAGGGTAGTAGTATAAACAATATTATTAATAGCATGATTTGTACGTGATATTTGGCATAAGTACCACTCGTGATATTTCAAAATTGTCTACAATTTCACTCGCCTAACGGCTCGTGAAATTACGTATAACAATTTTGAAATATTACTCGTGGTATTTATGCCAAATATCACTACAAATCATGCTATTACCTATACTAATTAATTACTTTATCTATTAAGCGTTTTTGTACCACTGGGAAAAGACGCTACATAAATGCATTATTATTATTATTCATTCAAAAAACCATACCGTACATCCGGAGCCAGAATGTTGTTTATTCCACCGAGTTTTGCGTTTATTTTAAGACACAGGTTAGAGAGAGTAGGAGGTTGACATTTTGTCACATTCTTGGCTTGTACACACTGTGTTGCAATACCCAGTGCTGTATCACCTACTCGCTTTACTTCCGCTGTGAGAAGGATAAAAAAGGAAAAGAATGGGGACGATATTAAGGCATTCGCAATTTAAATGTCATAACATGTTACACCGAGACACGGTAGGCAGATTTAGCGAGGCAACGCGACTTCACTGTTTAACTGGGCTGGCTCGGCTCATGCCTTGCGTCCTCTTAATGTTTCTCGTTGCGTTTATGTGAGGAGGAGGGCTATGTCGAGATATTGGCTCAAACAGCCAGGATCACGACAAGCCAGGCCAGCCCCCTTCTCAGATAAACACGAGGACAATTTTATAAGGACGCAAGTTATGAGCCGAGCTAGGCCCTTGGAGCGGGCCAGTCGTGCTAGCCGGGCTGAACAGGCTCTTAGAACTTAAGTTTCGTCATGGGCCAGAATTGGTTTTGTGCAAAACCTAAGATTTCCTGGTTGATCAAAAACAGAGGAATGTTGCCGGGGTGTTATACCGCGCACTGGAATGTCTTCTTTAATTTTAAAGAAACAATGCGTATTTTTGCAAGACTGATCATAACTTACCGTAAACAGGTGTTTTACCAGGCAAAACAAGAATGATAAGCTGCAGATTACTGAACGATGAAATTAAACGTTGGAACATAGGCTCAACCTATGCAAAATAAGAGAACAGCACAATTGAATGAAGTTAAGATCACCGAGTAAACGAGACTGTCGGAGAAGGAATCAAACAGAACCTAGACAAAGAAACAAAAAACATCGAAAAGAAAAACGACAACGTGTGGTTTCATTTGACTTTAGCCTGTTTCGGATTTACACTTTGTTAACTAATAACAGGGTTCGCAAATACGCCAAATTTGGCGTAATTTACGCCAAAATTGTTCAGATGACTCCACTGAGGTTACGGAGGGAGTCACTTCAGAAATTTTCGGTAACAAACAGGGAGCCACTTTGACTCCAGAAATTTTCGGTAACAAACACGGTTTTGTCCTTACCTTTTTCGCAACAAATACAATTTACGTTAATTGTGAACGTTGTAAACCTTAATTAAATCATCGAAATTAAAGAATTATACTGCACGACAAAACAGGAAGAGGGTAAATTACGATCAAAGTTTCCTCGATGACCGCCATCATGGATTTGAGCTTTCCAGGTCAGCGGACCATCACAGCTAGTTCGTGTATCCCTCACGATAGTGTATACATGCCAGGACCACGTGCCGGAAAGTCTGAAAATGGCTTTTTTCGTTGTGATACCTGACTCCAAATATTACAAAATGACTCCAAAATTTGTAAAGCAGAAGTCACACCGACTCCACTCATCAATAAAATTTGCAAACCCTGTAATAATCAACACACACATGTAATAACAAACGACGGGAAAGAAACAAACAAACAAACAGACAGACAGACAAACAAAAACAGCGGAATCTAATTGCTTACCTCGTCAGCTCTCCTGGCGTATCTACAAAAGCAAGGCCCCGATCTGATCGGCATTCCAGTTTCGCCAGAAATCTTCATCAGCTGATTGGAGAAGTGCCGCAGAGCTCTTTCGTTACAGTCTTGAGGATTCGCAAAGCAGACGATCGCCCAATTTTTTATCTCAATGCCATGAAAGAGCTGTTTTCCTCGCATATCCCATGTACCTGGGAGTTGAAATAAAAACTAACGGTCAGCACAATTTTCAAGCAAAGACCCTGTCGACGGTGACCTACGAGTAGTGTCGCGGTGCAAAATGTCAAAACCATACTGTTTCAAAATGCAGTTTTGAAAGCACTTCAATGTCTAGAAAGCAGCTTTTGGACAATAAAAACCTAAAATCCTACATGTAACTAAACTAACATTGTACTTTAGAGGAGTGACATTTGAAAGTTCCAACAACCTGTGCCCAACCCCCTCCCCCCTCCCCCTCCAACAAAGTGGGAGACAATTTCCAGATCGGAACAGGGGAGAAAACCTACAAAAACAGCGCTTCAATTAATTCGTATTGTACACACGCTCTTACGACAAACATCTCATGATTGATCCCTCTTACCTTTTACAGGAGATACCTTTGGCCTGTCCTAAAGAAAATAAAAGGAAAGCAAGTTAATACTTAACTTTGCTAAGAAAGTAATACTCAACAGAACCCTAGCACCGGACCAGGCTCCGCATTGGCGTGGTGTGGGCGAAAAAGAAATCGGCAAGCGAAGCGAGCCGAGAGGTAGTCTGGAAACAGGTTCCGCAATCCTTTCCCCTCCCCACGCCACCGCTGGGCTCGCTTCCCTCGTCGATATTTTTCCTATTTGGCCCCGTTTTTTGACTTTTTCCTCTACAGCGGAGCCAAACGGGGAAGTGACAGGGTCTGTTCACACGGAATCCTTCTCTAAAGCGGTGCAACATGGCCCTTCGCCGATTTTGTACCAAAAGGAAACGGTCTTGGTGTCTTTACCACCAATCAGAAGCTCAACTCACATCAGGGTAGTGACGCGTTATAAGTATGGAATTTCTGCGCTCGTTCCTCCGACATCATTCCGCGGAGAAACCGTTGGTGGTGTCGCTAAATGTTGGCTGTTTTTTCTGGCTTATCAAAAATCCGGCGTAAAGGATAGCACATGTGTGAACAAAGGTTTATCCTTAAGAATATACGAGTCCTGCCCAGTGTAAAGACTGTAAAAAGAACTGGAAGCGATGCAAAAATACACCCTTGGATTGTGATTATTAAAACTACAAGTACTTACTCTTCCACCATATTGCAGTTTTGGAGCATCTAAAACTCGTCCTTGAAGTTCAACCATTTTGTCACTAATTGAAATTCCGAAGTCGCTGGCATAAGGATCATTGCTGAAGTCAGCTCTTCTGACCTAGACACCAACCGGACGAATAAAACAAAGTTTAAACATATAGATCAAGGGTAGCCTAGTCTCTAAGTGTCTCTCTTGCCCCGTTGTCCGCGCGAAGTCTAAGAAAGGGTCGGTGACGTCACAGCTCGCGGAAGAGTTCAGGATTGATTGAGCCGAGAACACCTGGGGACTTGGCTGGACCAAGAGGTATTTTAAGCATTATAATTGCCGAAAAACACATTCTTTTGCACAAACACATGTTAGGATATTACTGTGGACAAAAGTCTAAGTTGTGACCATTCAAATGAAACCTCTTAAGTAGTGCATTCACATGAATAAAATTTTTATTTAGTCTCTCTTAAAGCTGAATTTGCCGTTTATCGTAAACTTGACTTAAAATCTCTTTATTCTACACGGGATAGGAGGTACGGAAAGCAATCGCCTTTGCCTTTATATCAACTGCATAGAAGGGAGATTTATCCCGGCAGTGGATAGCACTATTCATCTTCTGAACAACTTTTGTGAACTTAAAGGGACTGTGTCACGCTTGTCTTGTTCATTTCGTTTATAATAATGCCAATTGCACATCCTTATTCGCTTTGGAACTTTTGAAATAACTTGCGAATGACAAACTCACAGCTTATCAAACGTTGCAAACGACAAAAATGCACTTTAGAAAACTGTTAGGCCAACAAGTCTTTAAAAATGTCAATTGCAGTACGTTTCAATCCTCTTCTAGTTTGTCCATCCGTGCGCCCTTTCTTCCGAGTTATCTATACCTTCTCAACATTTATGTTTCGAGCAGTTGTTAAAATGTTCACTCAATATATAGCTGCGGTTTCTACAGAATGAATTTTGAGAAATTTCATTCACAATTCTTTTAAATCAACTGCTCACCAAGTTCACAATCTCTTGCTCTCTATCCGGGGCTTTCCTCGCTGTAGCTCGGATCATTCTCGCTGTCTGCTGATCAGATAGTCTCTTTATGCACCGCTGACCAGCCACAAGGTTACAAACTTCCATGGGGAGGTAGGTGTGTTTTTGTTCTTGTCCAACTTGAAGACACGGCAGATGCGGGTACCTGTAAATGTATGAGATTATTTAACTTTACTGTGAGGCAGCGTGACCGAGTGGATTTGCTGGGATACTTATCATTTACATGGGAAAACTGGAAATTCCGGAAATTCTGGATTCGATTTCAAAACCACTGAGTGTGATATTTATTGAAGAATAAACATCATTTAGAAAGAATAATTCTATCTTTACAGTAATTCATTTAATCCCTTTAAATTATCCCTTTTTTTTCAAAGTGCACTTCGATTAAACTTTTCAGTTGTTGTTGCTGTTGTTCTTGATAGACTTAGGTTTTTACGAAAGTAAACATGGCTTGCTCAATGTAGAGCATTCGGATTGAATATTCAGAATTAGAAACCTCCTCTATATAATCCTATAGCCAAATGAACAAACAAAAAGGTTGCTACAGCCGTCGAAGTTGTTACTCCCTTTACAACAGCTGTCTCTAAAAAAACTTAAATTTGTTGGGAACGCAATAAAGAAGTCTCAGTTTTTGCTCTCCCTTCGTGATCAGTGCGGTCTCGCAGTTATTTTAGAGAAGATATTACAAGTAAGAACGATGCGAAGACAGAAGAAAAAACACTTACTGCAGTTGTCTCGAGTGTTTCTCTTGAAAGTACCTCGCCACGGTAATCTCACGTTGTTGCCCTGTTTCCATTTGTTTGAGAGGAAACTTCAGAGAATGAGCGGGCTGTTTTGTGACATTAATTACGCGGTATTTTCTCCTCATAGTTCCACAGTGCGTAATCTCTACTTTCAAACCTGCAGGCAAGGCAAAACATAGGACAGGAGACATAGAAAATTGCAGCTTTTCCAGCGGAGTTTTATAACATTAGATTTTTCCAGAAACTCTCGGTGTTTAAAGCCAGGGCCTTACCCTGTACCTTCTGTGTTTAAAGGAGCAGTGTCAAGAAATTAATCATACAAAATTCAAACATTGGCACTGCACGCCAACTTGAGTGAAACATGACGATGACCGCTGAAAATCATTAGAAAAAGGTAAAACAACACTGAAAATACAAAGGCAGGGATAGACAAACTTTAAAGAAGATTTAAACGGATTGGAATCAGTCAAGCTTTTGAAAACTTGTTAGCCTAACAGTTTTTCAAAATTCATTTTTGTTGTTTGTAACGTTTGATTTAACGCTTGACAGACAAACTTGCTTGCCGCGAAGTTTTGATTTTGTTTCCTTAACGCTGAGTTTCGTAACGGAGTAAGGGCGCTTTATAGCCACAACTGAACTCGAGAGCCGTGACACGGCCATTTTACATAAAAAAACTCAAATACTCAAAACATGACCAGCACATCATCATTATTTTTTGAAACACCAGATGACTTTTACCTCCCGATGTTACACTAGTTTTCCAGTTATAGCGCACATTTTCTTTCTTCAAACTGGTCAGTATACTTTCTGAGGTTTAATAATTATGTTCAGGCTAAACAAGGGGTGAGTCCGTTAATGGGCAAAATACCGTGACTTTTTTACGACAAACAGTTAAACACAAAATTTCCCCTAGAAATTATTTGTACCAAAAAGGACACTGTTTGGTCAATGACTTTTTAAGACATAAAGGTTCTTAACAGAACCGGTGTGGCTCTGAAAAGAACCGGTTGTTGTTTTGAAACTGTGGTGATATCATGATCTTCGCACCCCTTCTTGAACTCATTCTCCAGCAGTTCTTCAGCATCTCATTTTCATTCAGCTTTCATCACCCACACACACTTTAATCTTCAGTTCCATCTACTGTGTTTAAGTTCCTGAAGTATTTGGCGCCGGGTCTAAAGTACAGGTCACATTCCACAGGTCAAGAGTACAGGTCACTGCTCCATCAAAAGCTTACCAAACCACAAAGATTCCCATCGATTTAGTAGGGCATTTTGTTCAGAGATTAGGGCTAGAAGACACTTTTAATGCTGTTCATTTATCTGTGTTATGGTGACCTGTCCTCTGACAAGTGCAAAAGTGACCTGTATTTTAGGCCCGCCTACCACACTATTGTATTAACATTACTGGCCCAACGGAGCGTTTTCACCAGAGGTCACGGCAGCTGTGTTAGTGTCCCAAACCAGCCCTGTAGGATTTGAACTCTTTCCTTATGTAAACGCTTTCTTTTGGTCCAATGAATAATATTTGCATAGATGCTGGCCACGTGAGTGAAAACGCTCTGTAGGCCATTTTCACGATGACGACTTTAACTACCAGAGAATTCATGTCCAATTTGCTTTCTTCTTTAAATTATTTTTGCCATTCCTGCTGAGGTTTAATTGCATGCAGGAAAACAACAATTGTAGTACTACAGTTGGTAGTTGTAGTACAATGACATCATCATGCAATTGTCTTATTAAAATGTTTTTCATGCATGTTTTGCTTTTGTGTTTTTGAATAAGTGCACTTAAGATGACTTATGTTGGTACACATGTAAAGGGCATGAGTAACGTTCCAATACAGGTGCCCATGTGCTGTATTTTAGGGTTCAGTAAATGTTTCCATATTGATTGCACTTATCTACAACAAAGAATTCCAAATTAAATTAAAGCGTTAACAAAAGGACGCTATGCCCTTCATTGTTCTAGAAATAAAATTTGCCCATATTGTATGTTGTTGATCCTTAAATTCTTTATGAGGGTCACATATTACTGTCACTATTGAGTGATTAAGTTAATTAGTTTACCTTTAATCTCTCTGGATAATTTAACTGTTTCCGAATCTGAGAGTGGTTTTCCCTGCTGAAGTTCTTGTTGTGGTTTGCGAAGGACCTCACACATGAACTCCACTACTGGCTGGCATTTGTAAAATGCAGTGGCTGACACTGCAAAAAAAATATATATATATAGGATTGTCTTTAGTATGATTTTAAGTAATGTGAGAGATTCATAGTCGTTTCGTACCCAAGTTGATTCATACCGAGTTTGTTTTTAATTACTTACGATTACTTAATAGGTTAACAAAACACCCATAATTTTTAGTATAATTTAATTCCTCCATTCCTCTTAGCAATAATAAATCACTACAACAGCCAAATGAGATTAGGGTGGCTAGGTAGACTGGGATAGCCTGTTCGAGACGTTCAGATAGTAGAGCGCGGCGGTAAGTGGTGAGTTAAGTAGTACACTGGGAGGGGGAGAGTGAGTTCTCTCCCTCCTTCTCCCTCTAGTCTCTCCTTGTTTTTGTTTTCTTCGTGAATTTTTCTCCCGCGCTCTACTATCTGAATGCCTGGAACAGGCTAAGACTGGGATGACTATGGTGACTAGGATGATTGATGACTATGGTGACTGGGATGACTAGGATGACTTAATTGTGACTGTAGCCGGAGTATCAGGCCTTCCTTGGTGGTTATATAAGGAGGAGAAGAGTTTAGAGGGCAGAGGGGGGAGGTGAAGAAAGAGAGGAAGGCCCAACACAAAACTATTCAATGAATTGCGTGACAAATCCCAAAACCGGATGCAGAAGTGACTGGACAATACAAAATAGCACCATAATAATACTATTTAATTTCCAGTGTTCTCCTAAGGATTTTGGGAAGTCCAGGGGGTCTTCTGACTGAGATTTTTAACAGTGTTTGTATGAAGCCAGCTATAGCCAGAATAAAATTTCATGAAGACTTGGGAATTTAATTTTAGTTCTCCACTTGGTTAGCAAGTAACTGTTATTCTTCTGTTTTTTTCTGAGCCCCCTAAATGGCTGCTGCTTTCTCATAATCAAAGTCTTCTTCTGATTTTCAGCGTTTGGAATTAATAGATTTCAGAAGAGTTGGTATCGTTTTAGGTGACTGAACTTCTTCCACCAGATTTTCATCACTTTTCTGTCTCTTTTCCACAGTAAAAAAAGAAATCAATTTGTTTTGACAAGCTTTTCCTTTTTGTTTCACGTGTCTTGGGTTGACTGAGTTTTCCACTGTGATTTGTGACACTGCATAAAATGTACGAGCAGGAATTTCAGTTCTTACTCCATTTAAGCTCCTTGAAGGGTCCTTTTGTTTCTCAGACAATTTCAAGATGGCAGCAGTTTGACGAAATGAATGCATCACAGGTTTATTCATCCAACGGAACAAATCACTCTTACAATCAATTAATTATGAGAAAACAAACAAATGAAAACACCATAGAAAGTGTTTCATTAACTTTATTGAGTGATTTTGTCTCCGAAGTACCTACAATCTTGGATAGAACAACTGGAACAGCAAACCCCCATTCCCCCCTTAATCAAGGATGAAGCCGCGCAAAAGCCAAAACGTGCCACTTTCCCATCCCTGATTTGGGGAGGGAGCGTGGAGAGGGGGGTATAAATTTCTTATTTACTTTGTCCAAGATTGTAGTTCTAGATGTGAACATAAGCTTCCTTTGGGATTAAGTTTTGGATTTTAAGCCAGGCAGCAACGATTTTCCAGTGAATTAAGCCAAGTGGCCCACCTAGCCTTAAGTACCTAGGGAGAACACTGATTTCAAGTGTTATATTAATCATACTAACCATCAATGTTTAACATCATCTTCCACTGTGATGGCCTGACGCTTTGATGAAATCCAAACCATACTTCCCGTCCACTCTCTAGAGGATGGTAATAACCATCTGGGGGAGAGTAAAATGATCTTCCTATTGATGTGTACTTCATGGATGGCAAGTGTCGCAGCACAACATCAAGGGCTTGAATGGTGTCAAATGGAATCTGATTATGTTTTCCTTCTAGGGCTTGCTCCAGTGCGAATAAACTGACTTGAGCAACCCATTTGACTGTGACCTACAGAACATGAGTTAAACGATAATGTGTTAAGATCCTGCACTATAGAGGACCAACCCTTTACAATGTATGTATAAAAGGAATTTTAGAAGAAGTCATAATCCATCATCAAAAGACAATTTCTCCTAAATGTTATAGTGTTATTCAATCACTGCAGCTCAGGTTTTTTTGGCTAGAGCTGGAGAAAAGGGCATAGGATTCCACATCGTTTACAAAGAGGAAATAGTGAACTACTGCTATAAAGTTGAACCCCACAAAGGGAAGGTACATTTTTTCTAGGGGAGAGAAGGGCTGGGGCCTCAGAGGTGAGGGTCATCAGTGAAAGTGAGCACCAAAAGAAGAGGGCTATACCTCTTTGTAAGTTATTTAAGGGGAGAGTCACCCATCTTTTCCAGAACTTTTTAAATGAGGATTTTTGCGCTGTTGCTTTTCATTTTTCTATTCACCTTCTTTGATTTAATTTGGTGATTTATTATTATAGGTACCTCCATATTCAAACTTCAGCTATAAAACGTAAATATCCCATACTGATTGTTCGCATTTTCTTGTTTCAGTGTCTACACATTCAATATCCAGATATATTCATATATTCAAACATTTTGGTTCAAAAGTGAAATGCCCTGAGATTTCTACAGCATGGAACAGGACTTGTAGTAGAGAGGGGAGGGTCATACATGTAACTTTTGTCAGTCACCAAAAGGGGTTGGGGATCTGGAGGTTTTTAAATTTAACACAAGGGAGGGCCAACTTTTCTTTTGGAAAAAAAGACCAAAATCCCCCAGCCGTCCCCATCCAAGAAAAGACGTACCTTCCCTAAATGGACACACACGTCCTCCCTGGAGAAAACCCTCACATTTTCTCTTATTCAACTGGCTAAATATGGTGGCACTCCATTTCCATTTAACTGCTTGTTGTTTTAAAAAACATAACATTCTTATTCAATGAATATGGGACCATGGTGTCAAGGTGCTATAGTTTTAAGTAGCTGGGTATTCTGTGATAAAAAATTGCTTTGCAAACAATTTTTTCTCTGCTTTCCCATGTGTCTGCTTAAGGTGGCCATGACAGTTCTATAAAAATCCTTACTTTGAAAGTTTTGTCCTTGCTGTTCTCAGTGGGAAGTGTCACCACAAAATCAACCTAAAAATAACAGGGATAGAGGAATATGGTAAACAGAGACAATTGTAAACACTTCATTCAGCAAGGGGACGTGTGAACTGAACTTCCTGCGAATCCTATACTGGAACATAAATCGAGAAATAAACGCACTTAACACCAGTAATGATTAATAAAATCAATACCAAATTGATAACAAAATCATTTACTCAGTTGCTAAATGTGCATGAGAGTCGGTGGTGAGTCAATGAATTTCACAACGACCGGTGTGACTGATTGAACAACCGTTGATTTCAAATTACTAAACGATCTTCTTGATCATCGCCTTCATGATCATACGTTTCACACAAAGCAACCAATGTGAAGAGTACGTTGTATATAGTGTACGTTAATTCTTGCCGATCATGTTCTATCATAAAAAGATTTAAGCGTCGTGAACACTGTGAGATCACAAAGACACGCGAACTGTAACCACTTACTGGTTTCCTGCCGATCGGAAGTGCTTTGCTGCTGTAAAGATTCTTTCTGCCATCAAAAACAGGCCTTTGTCCTCCAAAGACTCTATGATACGTGCTTACCATAGCTTCCACAACATCTCGATTGACTCTTCGCGGACATTTATCAGGTGAAATGGACAAATCGTAGTGATGGATGTCTCCCTTAGGAAGACGAACTTGAAAAAAGTTTGTTCTCAAGGCGATTGCTCTTCCTAACGATCCAACGTTCGGTCTCTTAGGAGGGGCAAAATCTCCACCGACGCGATTTGCTAAAAGATAGATGTGATGCAAAGAATATGTTGAAAAAATTGAAACACAACAAATTAAACAAAGAATTTAATAGTCATCGAAGCGGAATCGAAATAAAACGAAAGAAACCTGGGTTGTTTGATGCCGCTGAAGATCCAATTTGAGTATCCATAATTATTTTGCCAATAAAACGTACATTCTGTTTTGAAAGACGTTATAAAACACGTGAAACGAATTTCGTAACATCAGAACAGCGATGACATGTTCGTTTCTGTTAGAAATGGCGTCTACGCCATCTTGTTCCTGCAGATTTTCAGTTTCACTCTCATCACCAGGGCCCACCGGCTCTGATTCAAAATGGCGGGTGGCTGTTCTATGATCTCACACAACGTATCTCAAGCGTGGTGGTACACTGGTATTAAACCAAAGACATACACAAAAGATAGCCCGCATTGCAGCCAGCCCACGTATTATTTACACCATTATTTACAGTGCCTGCAATGGGGGCTATTGCAGTTAAGAGCGATAGCACCGACCCACCGCGGGGGAGGTACTTTAGGAATTTCGGGATGGGGATGTGCCGCTGGAACCCTTAACTTGTACCGGAGATAGTTCAGCTGAATTTTGCTACCCTATACTAGAGTAGACTCCCCAAATCCCCACTATCCTAGAGTAGCTGTTTCCCTAGTCTAGATAAAATCTTCAACTAACTGATCAGTTTCCTGAAAAATGATATCCTATTCTAGACCCAAACTCTCTGATTTATGTACCCTATCCCAGAGTAAACTGCTTCAAAACCATACCCTTCACAGCGGCACATACCTTTATAGCCCATATATGGCAGAACCCCCCCGCCCCCAGGCGACTACATTCTTTTAGGGGAGCTCGTAATTTCTCTCCCCTACGAACGAAATAGGAGAACCCCTAAAAACGCCTGCATGGGAGGCTAGCTGGGATTGAGAACTAGGCGGATTTTAAGACTCCTTAGAGAAAAGACGGACTACAAGTAGTCTAGACAGTAAGGAAATTTAACAAAGGCGTTTTGAGCCACTCACGTCGACCGTAAGTAAGGTCTTTTCGCTTTTGATATGCCTTGACGCTACTAAATTTGTACTGCAAAGTGTCTTTACTCTTATATAGACGATTTGCCCGATAATTTGGGCGAAAGCATAACCCAAGAATGCAAGAAGTACACTCATTTCCGGTTGACGTGCACCGCTCAGAAACGTCTTTGCTTCAGCTCTTTGGTATTTAAAAACGAAGAAAACAACAGGTCAACACTAACCATTCAACAATGGTTTGCAATCACTTTATTTTTTTTTATCTTACATCTGATGACAGAATCCAGCCTGTAAAGACGGGAACACTCTAACTCGGTATCGAGTCTTATTTTATCCCTGAGTTTTTAAAATTAACTCTTTTACACATATTAAACATAAGCAGAAATCCCGCAAAAAGTACTAAACTTCCTCTTTATTATAACGCTGTCTGCATCGCCTACTTGATTGAATTTAAAGGTGAATTAAATCACTACTCCCAAAAAGTGGGTTTTAATCGGTTGGTTTCTTTGAAAAGTAGAAAGGAAAAGAAAATATAGGTCAAAGAATAACGAAAGCAACAACAAGGATTTTTCTGCAGGTTCCTCGTTCACTTAAATCTCTTTAAATTGCATAATATGTAGAAAGTTTTCCAGTTATTACATAATTTTCTCCAAAAGTTGGCGCGAGGCAAAAGAAGTGGTCAGACAAAACCACATAGATATATTCAATTTCTGCTCAGTGCTATATAATACTGCAGAAACATCACTTCACTGTTAACCCATTACTAACGCTATTTTTTGTTTTATCTACACGTCCTGTTAATTCTTCTTACCCTCTGACCGTGATATTGGCGCAATACTATCAAATTAATGGATAAAAACATAAAGAGAAACACCAGCGAATTTTGCGTTATCTGAACAACTGCTATCCTCTGTGTGAGCAAGTAAACAAACAGAAGAAAAAACAAAACAAAAAAGAGGAGAAGAAGAAACGCGCAAGAAAAAAAGGAATAAAATACGGAACCAAATCGCCCAAAAAGTATGAATGGCTTCATTAAAAAACTAAACGCTTACGTTTTTGTGAATTTCAACCACATTTATACGAGGTATATATGATGTATTGCTGTTACAGCGTTTTGTTTGCCATGAACAGAACAAAAGGGAAAAAATGCTGATTACCTCCTCAAGAGGAATATCAACGAAGGAAAAAAAGGCCGCAAGTATAAAAATTCCTGCACCAGGTTAAGTTATCTGCGTCTTGTGCCATTTTACATACAAATATTGCGCACAAGATCAAATGGGAAGAATAGCTTAACCTCCCGAAAATGTTTCAAGGATTTCTTCAGTTCTTATCTAATATGAGCGGACTGCAGGGGGAACTGTAGCACAGTCTTTCTGATCCAAAGTTTCGTCAATAACCGGTCGATAGTTCAATGTGACCTGCGAGGGTAAAATAAATGGGTACAAATAGATCAGTAACAGTTCGATGTGGACAGAGGCACAATCAAAAGGAAAGCTACCCAACACATTCGCACCCCCTCCCCCCGAACCGCCAGTAACCACCCGTACTATCCCTTGCATCGCTTGTCACCTTATCAGTTTTTAACGGTCAAGGACAAATTTATCATGTAACTTGTGCAGGAGGTGGGGGTGGGGGTGTAAGGGGGGAGAGGAGAGATTAATTTCATACCATACCTGAATGACCACGATTCAGTCAAGGAGGTCGGAGAAACAGACACAAAACCATGTGAAGTTACCCCGAAAATTCCGATGACAATCTCATCGCACGATTCTAAAAGCTTTCCCACAAACCTTTTCCCAAAGAAATGAGGCCTGGTCGCTCTATGTAGCCAGGCCGTGACCAGAAAGTGACTCGACTACTTTCAAAACGCGTTTTTCGAAATAATTCCCAAGGACGAATAGGCTTAAAAGAAAACGAGTGTTATGCTATACAGGTAAAATTCTTTGGGTGCGTTCCTTTTGGATGATCCAGATCAGGTTCCGTGATCTTAGATCACTTGCATCACGGTACATCAAATGAACAGATGAATCCTTTGCCAGCGTGGATTCTTCGGTTCCTTTGATGCGCTATGATCCGACTAATCTCGAATAACTGATCCCGATCCGGATCATCCAAATGAAACGCACCCTTTATATAAGAAAAAAAGGTTTAATATTATTATACCTTTCCTGTGTTGTGGTCAGTCCAAACTAATGTGTGTTTTCTCCAGTGCTGGTCAAATGGACGCTTCGTTTGACCATCAAGTGGCTTGGAATAATCATACTCATCAATACGTTCCTGAAAGCGATAACCAGTTTTTTAGCCTCTATTTAATTCAGACCTTTCCTTTATTTTAAAGGACTTTTCATACCTGTTTGCGCGAATTCACTGATTAAAAATTTCACCAGTGACGTTATGACAAGTGACCAATAGGAGACTGAGGGTTTTAGTATGACGTAACCTGAGAAGCTCTAGAAAGACGCCCGTATTTGTTTTTTCCCGCGTGAATTAATTTTACAGTATGATTCAAATCCACTCAGGCGAAACAAGTCAACCTCGCGACTTCGTCGCTCGCTTTGTCGCGACCTCATTGAAGCTCGCTTCAAGAAATTATAAGAGGTCGACTTGTAGCAAGGCTAACCTTTTGTAAACAGGTTGGATGATTTGGTGTCGGATCTAGGCAGGTTTACACGCGATGATGTGCCGGTCCCAATTTGAATCGAATAGCAAAGAAGAAAAAAAAAAAAAACGCAAACCCGAAAGACATGTCGCCTCTGAGTACTCTCTCCATTTTGAGTAGCGAGCAAAGCGAGCCGCGGGAAAACACGCGAGCCCATGGCAAAGCATCTCCTTCCGACTGCCGTTCGCGCGTGGCTTATCCCCACATCCCTTAAACGGAGAGCTTGCTCACACGAGGCAGACATGAAAAACGGAGACTTAAGCATACCTTGAAATCCTCACGAGCATGCGCACCACGGCTTTCCTTGCGGGCCTCAGCGCTGTACATAGTCTGCTTGCAGTTGATAAGAAGGTTCTGCAGTTCAAGCGCTTCCACTAGATCTGAATTCCAAACCATGCCTCGATCATACAGCTGCAAGAAAATGAAGAAATTTAACCCGTGAAAGGACTAACAATTCCTTTAAAATGAATATTGGGTAGTAATGCGCAGAAGACACTGCTTCCCCTGGTATCCCCACTGAGTGGAAGCGACAGGTATACAATAGTTGCCATAGCCTGAGTATCAGGCGTTTCTGGGGGAAAAGAGGAAAGATGGAAGCGAAAAAGGGAGAGAGCTCTTTAGGAAGACCTGATACTCAGGCTATAATTGCCAATAACTGATTGCCTACGTGGCAGGCTCAAAGAAAATAAGAGAGAGGCAATCCCCCTTTTCTTTTGACTTCCCTCCCGCTCCCCTTTCGACGCCTACCACCCAGGCTAATCAAGTGAGTAAAACTGGATTACCTTAAGATCCTCAGTTTGATTGTAGATGTCATCAATTTTCTTGCAACCTTCACTTAGCACTGAGCCAGTTCTGAACACAGCAGCGTGCTCTTGCATGGTCTGAAAACAACAAAACAATAAAGTGATCTAAGGCCGAGGCCATCATTCCGATTTCAAGTTGCCAGAAATAGGCAATTAGCAGGGGAGGAAAAAGCCACTTGCGCATTTCCCCTAGTGCACATCATCTGCCCCCCCCCCAAAAAAGATTGCATAACCTTTGTTATTCATTTCTCCTGAGTATTATAGCTGTCCCAAGAGGAATTGAAAACAATGCTTATACAAAATTGGGGCAAATAAGGTGCATTACGTGGCGAGTAGGCTCTTTTCGAGTTCCCCCGGGCCTCTGTATCAAAACAAGGTTAAGTGTTCAGCCTTTGAAATGGAATTGATTTTCATCCTCATGCAATGAAAACTCATTTTAACAATAAAGGTTTTGGACTTGGCCTGATTTTCAGTGAGGGTTTTTGGATCTTGGAAGTGGCCTATTGAGTCACCACAAATGTGGCTAAATGAAATTTAGCAAAGTTAAACATCCCACAGTACTGGTCAGTGGTCTCCCCACTAATCCATTGTGGGGCAGTCTTTGGGCATTTACAGGGCCTCAGAATTTTTACAGCGCTTTTGCTGAGGTCAAATCATTTTCCTCATATTGCAGTTCACATAGAATCGTTTAAGCTGTTTTGCTCCCATCCGTCCTTCCCTCAGGATAAGTCATGGCAAGTATCTACAAAACTTTCTGCTGAGATCCTCAATGTAATGGCACCTGGTGGTTGCCGCTCACAGGGTTGTCATGGTTACATTCAGCACTCCCTTAAAGCTCCCTTACTTTGTTCAGGCGACCTCTCTACACCTATCTATTGGTGACATCACGATACAAACCATTAACAACTCGCATAACAATCAGTATTTAACTTTTTACCTTCTGCATATTGAGCCTCAACTCTGAAGTCATAGTACCACCATTTGCATAACGGATTTTGTCTAAATTGGACACTGATTCTTCACCCGCATTCTAAAAGAAATAAACAAAAATAAATAATCATGACTCACTCACCACAGGCGCAGTTTTTAATGCCCTACTGCAATGTTATCTAAGCTGACTTGATAAGTTTTTGTAACACTTGAGGAGTACATACTCCTCTCTTGATATGCTCTCTATAATCCTAGTGCAGACCTTCAGATTCAAAGATGAATATGACTACAAGGACGAGATTATTAACTTAAAAGTTTTTTGCATAATGCTGTCAACAAAATATTCACCCCCGAAAGCTTTATTTTTCTTTTTTTCGGCAAAAACGTTAGCACGATTATTTCCATTGAAGTAAGGCCCTCTCCCAATCACAAAATGATAAACTTTTAACTTTACATGTATTTCATAACTTGATTCCGTCACTGCGATATTTCATTTGAGCCTGTATTAGAATGATGACAGCTACCACATTTTCCCACCAAAATGAAGCTAATCTCCGCCTGTGCCCTATACCGAGTACTAATAAAATCTCGTACTTGAAGTGGTCGTCCTCTTAGAATCTACAGCTCTCTATTATTGACTTACAATGCACTCGGCTACTTTTCTTCCCCTTCCCTCAGTAAGAAGTGAGGGGAGGGTTAGGTGAATCGTATGAACATTCCTAGGACACAAAGAATAGCTGCACAGCTATTGGGGGGAGGGGGTGTCTTTTCTTCCTTTATGAGTGTTTTGTTTCTTTTTTTCAAAATTGCTATCAGATACTGCGTATGTGTTTAAGTACTTACTGCAGGGAGATCAGGAAGTGCTTCAGAAGGCTTGTGGAACTTTGTAATGAAGTTAGCACATGCTCTTCCAAACACCACCAAGTCCAGCAGAGAGTTCGCTCCAAGTCTGTTGGCTCCATGAACTGATGCGCATGCAGACTCCCCGGCTGCCCACAATCCTGGCACTACTTCGTCTTTGCCATCCTTGACTGACAGTGCCTACAAGAAGGTCAAAATAATTCTCATACTCAGAAACAAGGTCATGTCTTTTATAGGGATGTCCTATTTGAAAGGGGGAGGGGAGGGCAAAGCTGCCAATTTGTCTCATCTTGGAACACCTGAGTCAGCAGTCTGGTGCTCTGCTGCAATAGCATCTGATAAAGAATTGCCAGTGAGGATTATTGGTAAAACGCTTGCAGATTGTGGTGGAAGGGTTTTTTGAATTTTCCTTTCACCTGATTAGCATTCAGGTGAGGGCTTTTTTAAAAGGGCCACCGTAAGGTGTCCTCAAATCGTACTCCACAGCTGGGGACCCAGGATTTTGGCACTGCCTTACGGATGGACTTAACCAGAGGTCTAGCATTGTCTGTGGTATATGCTAATGACATCTGAGCACCACTAGTAAGGTACAGTAGTTTATGGATTTAAGTCTCAAGAGTCCACAACATCAATTTTCTCCTAACAATGTCGATACTGATACATAATCAATATAAGAGGTTGTGAAAATTATAAATGTGATCACTTAAGAAACAATGCTTTGATCTTTTGTCAAATTCTCTCACCAAATGTTTCAAGGAAATGCATGGAGATCAGTCTGGAGAATTTGTATCTGGATTTTTGGGACTTAAAGGATTAATACAATACCTGTCCCATGTAGTTTGTAGGAATACCCCCCATGTTGTAATGCACTGTGGGTATCACAGGTATAGGGTCTCGGGTTACATCTACACCAGCAAAAATCATGGCTGTTTCAGAGATGCCAGGAAGACGTGTCTTGAGAGTCTCTGCCGGCAGATGTGAGAGCTGCAGGTACACATGATCCTTATCAGGACCAACTCCCCTAAAACAAATAGTTTTAAAAAAGACATTATATTCATTGAAAATTGTACCTAAGCCTTTTTGTGATAACAAAACAACATGTATACTAGAGGGAAAATGTAATTTGTGATTACACCGTATTATCATAAATTACTATTTTGCCAGCACGTATCAGAGGTCTGGGGAGGGTGTTAGTGCGCAGTGAGTCATGGGATTCGAGTTTGTAATTCGTGGTCGTTAGGAGGGTGAGGCATTCTACGGTCAGCCTTCACCATGTTAGGTTGCTTTTCTCTCTTTTATTTTATTCGTGTGTTTATTGATGTTTATAGTTTAGGCACTAGCATACCCTAAAACCCCATGGGTTGCACCACTGCCTTGGTCGGGGGTACATGTTCCCCGTGTTTTTTCCACCTGCTGGTTTTTTGGGGTTTTCGTGTCCGGCTTTGGTGCTTCTGTTCTTTCGTTTATAGATATTACTTGATATTTGTACATATCTGCATATATGTTGAATAAACGGCACGGTGGCTTGGCTGGCCCACGCGCCCATATATGAACATTGTTGCCTTGTGTGTACCGGTTGAGTAGTGGAGGCAAAATCAATTAGATACATACATATCAACATCATTGTCTAGAAAATAACAGGTTACCACACTTACAGCCTACAGACAGGCCACCTACAACATTATTATTCTAATTTTTTGTGGCAGTTTTGGTCGGAATCAAGGCTAGTGTTCAAGCAGCTTCTGGCACCTTACCTACATTCTAGGGTAATAGGAAATCTTACATTACCTTACTCTTTTTTCATGACACAAGTAAACATGAGTAAATCCTTTAGTGGAAATTCTTAGATGTTCAAGATGGAAAGAAATACTAACCTTCCCTCCCTGATTTCAATTGTCATTGATCGTGACACAACATCTCTGGAAGCAAGATCTTTGGCCGTTGGTGCATACCTCTCCATGAATCTCTCACCCTGATGAACCAAATACTTTTTTAATTCACCAGTTTATTATTGTAAGAGTGTGGCCAATACAATGTAGTACTTATGCACTAATTGAACTCCACATTTAATATTCCAGCTGCCCGTTACTATTCTACAAAAATACAAGAAAAACCAGTCCTAGTTTTTTTACCTCACTGTTGATTAAATATCCTCCTTCACCTCTGCTTCCTTCAGTAATGAGGCATCCAGCTCCGTAAATTCCTACGTTTATTTAAGCAGAATAACATTTTAATCTTTTCTTAAGCTTTCATTATGACTGTAAGTTTGCTGACATTCTTTTAATCAAATTTTCCCACTAAAACTGTTTTCGACAACAATAAACACTATTGATACTTCATAATGGCGATGAAGCAGGGACTGGGTGAAATCTTCTCAAACTGAATTATGATTAAAACATCATCTTGAGAATGAAGTACAGAAGATTAAAATGCACCTAGAATATTTTTATTGGGAAATTTTAGTTGTACCTGTCGGATGAAACTGCACAAATTCCATATCTTCGTTTGGCAGCCCGGCTCTTGCGACCATGGCCGTTCCATCCCCAGTACAGGTATGTGCCGATGTACAAGAGAAATAGGCACGACCATAACCACTGAAAAGACAAGAAGAGAATTGATGCAATTGAGAGGATAGAAAAACGTACAGGAACTAAGAATTGTTTTAATGTGGCTAAATATAACTTAGGTAAAGTTAACCTTGAATCAATGCTAGCCAGCAGTTTACTTACTTTTGTTACACAGAGTGGCATTTTCCCCTTACTGGGGCCATCTTGTGACTCTTATCATAGTCACTTGCTTGCAATTCTAGTAATGCCACTTTTGCAGCATCACTTGCTTGCCATTTTAGTGCTATTTTTCTCCCTACCCTCCCGTCTTCTTTATGTGAGGGATTGACATGTATTAGTCTGTAAGTATACAATTCCACTGAACAGTTCAGTGTGATGGTGCCTGTTGCCTGGTGGGGGCAACTTAACGGGTTGCCATGGATGCCTCCTTCCTTATGCTAGAGCACTACCTGCGCTCCACCAACCTTGTAAGCAACAATGTCCAAGTTCATCTATTGGTGATGGGTTCAATGAATTCACCTACAGCTGAACACTTAAATCACAAAGACTTTCTTGTCTTACCCTGTTGCTATGACAGTGTTCTTAGCCTTGAATCGGTGAAGCGATCCATCTTCAAGACACAAGGCAATCACACCAACACAAGTTCCTTTGTCCATCAGCAGGTCCAGTGCAAAGTATTCCACAAAGTATTCTGTGTTGTAACTTAATGACTAAGACAAGGAAAAGAGAACTTTAATTTGAAGCACGGGAAGTTTCTGCTACTCTTAAGAACGTGGAAATAGCCCAAACAAACATTGTGTGCAGTTTTTGCTAGGAAATTCAAGAAATGAGAGCTTTTAAGCCTTAAAGAAACAAGAAAACAGAGAGCCTGTTAATATGCCTTATGCTTGCACTTTACCTTTTAACATGCTGAAGTATGGTAATAAACTAACCTGTCCATACAGAGTATGAAGAAGAGAGTGACCTGTTCTGTCGGCAACAGCACAGCACCTGTGAGCCTGGCCTCCTTTACCGTAATCATAACTCTGTCCACCAAATGCTCGCTGATATATTTGGCCCTTTTCTGTGCGACTAAATGGCATTCCATAATTTTCAAGCTGTATAAAATCAACATGAAAAGGCCTATTTTTAGTTACAGTATAAGGTGCAATCAATTTCTTCAGACAATGCTATTACTTAGAAACCTAATCTTGTTGTTCAAATAGAAATTGCCACACATTGATCACTAAAAGTATTTCTTTCAACCTATAAAACAGCCGCAATAACAACTGAGCTAAACTTGTTTAGTAGTGGATTTGTTGCTAGCCAAACTGTTAGAAATAAAGGAAAATGGTGTTCACTTCACCCCCAGTGATCCATCCATGATCCAAACAAAAGGTAAATTTTGGACAAACCTCTATCTGCAAGGCTTTCGACCTTGCTTCATGACGAAATAAACAAATGGCAAGTCTTACTACTGAATACATGTCTTTTGAGTGTGACAGTGCCAAAAGCAAATGCCACTCAACTGCATGATTACCATTGCTACCTTTTGCAGCAGGTTCAATGTTACCTGGCTATACAATTTGGCCATACAACCAGAGTAAAAATACATGCATTGTAATTGCCTTAGATCTAGAATACTAAACAAGCTGAAGTGATGATTTCAAACCTCAATAACTGCCTTGGGAGCTTCCTCTGTCATATAATGAATGGCATCTTGATCTCCAAGCCAATCACTGCCCTTCACAGTGTCATACCTTTAACAATCAGCCAGTAAAGACAAACGTTTTTGGGTGGAAAGTATAAACAGCAAATTCAAAACAGTCACCTAGTACATACAGTTAAGACCACTCTACCAAACCAATTCTGATAAAATAATAATATTGTAATAATTATGGTTGCTTTATATTCCAAGAAAACCTATATGTTAGCATCAAGACTTGATGCTAACATATAGGTTAACTTACTTGGCCAACTTAGTTGGCCAAGGAAATGGATGTCCATTATTCAGCTGATTATGTTCAGTCTTCGGTTAACACTTTTTATTCAAATTTTTGTTACATTATCCCTAGAGTGGCTTACTGAAGCGTTAAGGTGGCTCCGTAATTAATACTAGAGCATTTTGCTGTGACAAATTTTCCGTCATAACTTTCTGGTTTTTAACGCGATGGCCACGAAACTTTGCAAAGAACAACAGATATCATTGGGCAATAATACACAATATTCCAATTTCATTGATGGTAAATATTTCTTGAGAAATTAGCGCTTAAAAGGACCCTACTGTTCAAAGAAAATTGCGTCTAGTAAAAAATTTTGCTGATATTTTTTACTGAAATTTCTGGTATTGGCTTTAATTGATATAATAAATTTAATAAGCCAGAGGAATTTCAGAAAAATCGTTGGAGCAGAAGTCCGTAACTAAAAGTCGCTCAAAATTCAGCTGTGAAATTGTTTTGGAATTTCAAAAATAAATTACTATCAGGAAGAAGGAGTCACCACTTTGAATTTTCAGGACTAGTAAATTCAACGTTTGCTAATTCTTAAAACAAAAGCCGATTGCCTATCGTGCTATTCTTTAAAAGGTACTTTTCAGTTTTAGAAGCACTATAAATTGCTCCAAACTTTGCTCTGACGTCGAATGACTTGTTCTTCGACATTTTTAAAATACCCCTTGGCAGTAATGGCTCAAACTCCAGCTGCATACATTTTGAATGCTTATATAATCAAGAATCTGGAACTTACTTCCTCTACAGCACAGTAACAGCTACTTACATGTGCCAACGCCAATTATCTGGTTCCATGTTTCCCAGTGCTGCATTAATTCCTCCCTGTGGAAAAAACACAAAAACAATAATGTTAGAATATAATGTATTAAGAATACAAGCATTTCATCCCCGCTGAAAACGCAAATTTAATTTACAGACTTATCCCTCTAAGTCCCAAGAGCTGGGTTTTCACTAAGAATTCTAGTAGCATGAGAAAGGTGTAACATTACAGATGAATAGTTTGAGAGAGGCTCCATGTCGGAATAAAAAATAGTCATAGGCTACAGAACATTTGCCGAAGAATTTTATGCAGTTAACGGGAATTCTCTGATCTTCGATGCCTAATGAACAATTTGCAAGAGTGATCAATGTCAATTTTTCTAATAATAATATTGAAGTACAAAAAAGAGAAAAGGTTACGAGAAATAAACAAATGAACAACAAAGGTAAATGCTTTGGTCTTTTATCAAATTCTCTCAATTTATTATTTAAGGAGATTTATAGAGATCAGTCTGGAGAATTTGCATGTGGATATTGAGACTTAAAGGGTTAATCAGCTAAAAAAAATAAATGTCTTATACATAAATTTTACATACCTGTGCTGCGACCGTATGGGACCTTGTAGGAAACAGTTTAGTGATACAAGCTGTCTTGAAACCTTCATGAGCAAGACCAAATGCTGCACGCAATCCAGCGCCACCTGCTCCAACAACCACGGCATCATAGCTGTGATCAATCACAGGGTATTCTCTTGACAACTAGAGACAAAGAAAACATAAAGTGTAATGGTCCAGTATTCTTGCATGTCAAAACCAACAACTACTGAAATAACCTACATAAAAAAAAATCAATCAATTTTTCAAGCCTTCAACACTTATTTGCAGTGAAACTGTGTTCCTTGGACTTTCAATTTTGAGTCTTCACAACCTATTACAAGAAGAGCTTCAGAGATAGCCCTGAGTCAACTCAGACACACATTAAATTTTGAAGTGAAACAAAAATTGGCTTACAAAATGTAGCTTTGAGAGTATTGAGGCCCTCAGTCACGCAATTCCACAAATTTCACACGGGAAAAAGTCATTTTGTTTAAAATCTACAACACCAAGAACAATCATATGAAATGACAAAGTTTTAATAAGAAGGTTTTTTGAGTCATCAAGTTGCAAAAAACAGCTTCCGAGAGGTCCATGCCAGACTGCACGTCCAATAATACACCCAAAGGTATTGCATAACAACAACGTCAGGTAACGCATTTTTCGGACATAGTTTACCATGTATTTAGAATGGGGTAAGAAAAAAGAAAAAAGCAAAAAGCAACATCTAACCTGACTCTTCGATGTTCCATCTTGAGATCGTCTTCCCTCGACTTTAAAGTGGAAAGCCCGACTCCCAGTAGTTCTCAAGGCGCTCCTCGCTAACCCAGACAACTACAAACACAAAGATATTTACGTAATTATTAAGGGCAAAAGTAAACTAAGATCAAATAACTTCAGAAATTTAGCTTACTCTTAAAGAAGTCAGTAAATTTTTGCTCTTTAGTCCTGATAGCATGGTTTTTTTGCCAGTATTTTAGACGCAAAAACTACAGTGTACGTCTAAAAAAATCGACCCTAACCAAGATTACATGAAGACCCCCGAAGAATATTACAGCATACTATGATGACAATGACCGCTGACCAATTCTCGGACGTATGATTGTAGGTACTTCATGTATGGGGACATATATTGTACCGACTTTACCTACCAACTTACACCTTCACTCTTTCTGCTTGGTTCCTTGTTGCCTTGTAGCTTTGTTCTCTGTTACCTTGTTGCTCTGTTTCCTTGTTAATGCCCGCTGACCAATTCTCGGACGGAGTCTGCTGAACTATGCAGGGCGCAGGCTGCGTTTGAAAATGTAGAACCGTAACGTGGATGCCCCAAAAAAGAAAAAAATGACAACTTCTTTATCAGAAGCCGGGGCTTCTGCCACGTAATGAGTTAGCCCTCATATTATATTTGACACATTTCGATGCCTATTTATCTAGTTTGTGTTCCTCTTAAATACATTGATAAGACTTTTTCGGCTATCCACAGTAATTTTAGATGTCTAGAAATGTATTCTAAGCGGTGCTGTAAAATTTGCATCTGTTAGGTCATCCTAGGGGTACTTGAGTCAAATTACAAGGGCTTATTAATAAGTATTATTTTTTCGTAAATCAAGTTAGATCCATTGGATTTTTGAGTCCGAAAATTCTAGGTTTCCTTTTCTCTACGAAACATGGCCTATTTTGGGAAGTAAAATGTGAAAAACAAACTTCAGAAAATCGTAGGGAATTTCAAAAGTAGGTTGAGTTTGATCGTCCTCGGGGTAAACGTAGTCCTGAACAGGACTGTTGTTGTTGACAGTGACTGACGTTTCGAGGACAGACAAGGAGCAGTATACAAGATCAAATGCTGCGACTGCCAGGCTTCTTATATTGGTGAAACCGGCAGAAACCTAAGCACATGACTGACTGAACACAAACGAGCGACGAGGAATGGTGACGTCAACAATCACATTGCTGATCACCATTTAAAGACGAAATATCAAAATGACTGGGACTCTGCGACATGTATAACGTATTCTACAGACTACTATCAACGTTTTACCTTAGAAAGCTGGTTTACTAACTTAGAACAAACGCCACTGAATCGTGGCCAACAGTTACCAGCGCCGTACAAACGACTTATTGACGAGATCAAGCAAAACTAACTACGAGAGAACAACTGGAGAACTGACAATTTGACTAACAATATACGGCTGTTTAACTGTGACAATAGACGGATCGAAACGCACCAATTACTGATTACGAGTCTTCATAGCCAATAACATCACGGCTTAACTGACAGACGACCAAAAACATCGCGACGTAATTGACCAATCAGATCAATAACCGGAGTATAATACCTTCAACTGACGTGATACAACTCACTTTGACTCTGAAGATGACTACCGCACAGGTTGTCGAAACGTCAGTCACTGTCAACAACAACAGTCCCATTCAGGACTACGTTCACCCGGACGATCAAACTTGGTCTACTTTTGAAATCACTCACGGCCGGGTTCAAACCTTTCACCGTAGGGAATTTATTAGACAAGCTTCGAAAATTGTGCATGAGTGGTACGATAGAAATTTTTAGCCGTCCTCAAGTAACAGAAATTTCTAGGCAATATTTGCTTCTTCGAACATATATTTCACAGAAAACAGTCGTTGGGTGCCCCTTTCGCATCTCAGTTTGGCGTTCTGCTCTCGCGACTCCCCCAAACTGAGAGTTTACTCGAGGGCTACCCTGAACTGCGCATGGTTGGCCTTCGTTGAAAGTCCAATGTTTGTAGCTTATAAATCCTTGGGTCTTTAGCCAGTGGCATTGCGGCTGAGAAAGCCTAGAAGGAAAGAGAATGGAGGGAGGGTTTAGGTAATTAAATCGACTTCGTACAGCAGCCGATCAAGTATTCGGCTCCTGCTTCGTATTATTAAAATTTATGAAGCCGTCCTCTGCCTCCGGATTGGACATTCAATGATTAGCTCAGACATTTCCCGGAAATAGTGTTGAATTCGGAGAATTGAGACGCGATTCAATTCAATATTGATTCATTCGTATGATAAGATAAGCCCGGACCAAAATATATCACTGGCTGATCGTTCACTGGATTATCGTTTAAAATATTACCGTGCTTAGAACGTTTCGCCTGTTCGTTTCTGCTACATCTGTATGTTAAGAATTTCTGCATAAATTAAGGGCTTTAAATTTTAATTCGAAGTCACGCCATTGTCTAAAGCTTCATTTCCGATAGAGCGAAACGAGGACAGCGAAGATGGCGTCCGCTCATAGAGAATTTACGATGTATGTTCAAGACATACCACCGGATTTAGATCAGCTATTGAAATATGTGGCCAGTGAATTGGAAAAGGAAGAACTAGAGTCAGTGGTAAAGTCAATCAAGAACACCTTCAAGGGAAAGTTCGAAGAGCAGCAAGATGAGGATTTGTATTCATGTTTTCTTCTATTTGCCAGCCAAGGGCTTTTGTCTGGCAAAAATTTGACGCTGTTGGAGAGGTTTGTAGCTTCTAAGATATCGAAAAGTAAGGAGATCAAGCAAAGGATCGAACAGTTTAAAGCAAAGAGCCAAGAGGTAAGCTTTTATAAGTACGCCAGAATACTAGGACATGATCACGAGGAAGCTGAACTGTAAAAACTTTTCGATCAATCGCGAACAGTAGCTAGCAGTCTAAAGGGGGCGGCTATATGCAGGCTTTGAATGGTCGGACATAGCCTTCTTCCAGGGGTTCGATCAGATAATAGAGTGCGGGGTTCAGAATGTGAGGAGCGAGTTAAATCGTACGTGGGGAAAACGATGGAAAAAAACGACGGGAAACTTTTTCCTCGCAAACTGATTTCTTCGCGCGCGCATTACTATCTAAACGCCCGGAACAGGCTAAATAACCGGGCACTTTTGGCAATGATCTTTGGCAATTAGGATAGCTATTTCTTTCGTAGCTCTATTACGGTCAGCGAGGCTGAATCTGATCACGATTTATGCTTGCAGAATGTTTGCCGACGTAGTCCAGACCTTTTTACACACGAAGATTTCGGTAGCCTTCACCGCGTACGTTGTCCTCGCTGTATAACGAATTAATTTCTCTAATTAAAGAATTGTCGGAAAGTCTATTAGGCGACGAGACTGAATAGCAATATGACTAATTTCACTACAAAATTTTACCAAATTTAGCCAGGAGGAAAGTTGGACATAAAATCACAAAAACTGTTTGTTATGTTTTATACCATTCTTTGGCCGATTTGAATTGATTTTACTTGATTTAGGTCATTGACACAGTCACACTTCATTTTCTGGCGTTGTTGGGGACAGATTGTTGTCGATAACGTTTAGTCATGGACAAAGTTACTCGAAATAAATGAAAGGCATGTTTAAGTGCAATTTTTCAGTTTCAATACTGACAAACCTCCGTTGGTGCTCTTAGGTTTACTACTCAATCAAGCATTACCCGGGCTCCTTAATAACTATCGGTTGTCAACCTTGCATCTGAAGATTGCTAAGCAAGAGGCGTTGCCAAGGCTTGTTATTCTTAGATAGAAGCCGAGCATTATTATATCTACGAAATATTATTAGTCCATGGAACAAAGCCTGTGGATGAGTTTCTAGTTGAGACATATTCTTAGGGAAAAGTTGAAGAAAAACACTTTTATAGATAGTCAAACTTAGTTGAAACGTCGCCATTTAGTTGTTACAGCAGGAAGTGAGTGGTGCGCGTCTTCAGCATCTTGGCCGAGTTTAGATCATTTTTTGGCACTGTGCAAATAACTGACAGAGAAATAAAGTCTTTTAATATCTATCTCATTATTGTAAAACATTTGCGGTACTCTTCAGATATTTAACTTATCAGTGTGTCAATCCTTGTCACCAGGAGGTACTCCTAACTAAAGAGGAGCTCAAGGGAAGGCAGAAGGACTTGGAGGACGTTATGACAAGGCTAATGGGGAGCAAGCCGGCGATCGTTAATTTGTTTGGATCAAGTGGAGAAGGAAAAACGACTCTGGGTAAAGAAATCTGCCAAAAGTGGCCAGGGAAACATCACATTTGGGTCGATTTAAGGGAGGTAACGGAAATGAAAGACGTCTACTTTCATATCATGCTCGCATTGGACACCAATAAAACAATAATCACATATGATGAAAATCCAGTCATTGAACAACTGCGAACGTTAAGGGAGGAGGAGCGGGGCGATGTACTCTTGGTCCTTGACAACGTAGACAACTTTTCTGGAGGAGATGAAGAAGCTGAGGGGTTGAGAACGGACTTCATGGTTTTCCTAGGTAGGCTTTTTTCTAAGAAGGACGGCAAAGAGAAGGCACAGATAAAGGTCCTGCTGATATCTAGAAGAAGTTTTCGAAGTGATGGACAAAGGCAGGAATGTAAAAAGAAAGAGCAGAGTCTCGATGAAATCACGGAGTACAAGGAACTTGAAATTTTAGAGAAAAAAATTTCCATGGAGATTTTTCAAAAGGCCAGTGGAATTACCCTAACAGCAAACATTGAAATGGAGCAACTTGTTGAGATGTGTAAGAGAAAACCTCTCCTTCTGCATGGTATGGCCGCCATTCTCAGGCAAGAGATAGCCGATACTGAAAAACTTCTCAAAGCAATTGAACAGGGCTTAACCGAGGCAGAAAATGAAGAAAGAGCAGCCCCAACGACAGAGGAGAGCTTAGATGACAGAAACGTTTGGGACTTTCGTGCTGAAGGCATTGACGAAAGGCAGCTGTCATGCATAAGGAAGATGTTCTTTCTGCTTCCAAGTGACACCCTCAGATACTCTGCAGTGGCCGTGTCCTTATTTTGTCGACCATTTTCAGTAGAAGCAGCTGCTTTTGTTCTTGATAAAGACACTGCAGAGGCGGTCATCCTTCTGGAGGGATTAAGGAACAGCGAGCTTCTGTCTGCTGATCCCGAAGCGAAGGAGGTTGTCTATGATATCCATCCCTTGATACGAAGCTTTATCAGAAGTGTTGGCAGCAGCCCTGTTTTCAAGGATATCTATTTGAAAGCCGAACGCAGATTTTGCGATCTTTACATGGAGAAGATGAAAGACATAGCTTTAATAATGGACAAGGACTTTTTGAGTGCTTTCGATCAGTTTGATCTGGACAAACCTAACTTTGAGCTTGCTTTGGATATTTCTTTCAATCTGGACTACCTCCATATTTCAAACAAATATAAGGAAAGTATCATGATGTGTTATCTCTTTGAAGCCATGTTCGATGCTAGCCAAAGACAAAAGATTTTCAATTCATGGGCAGAAGTAGCTTTGGACGATGGCAAGGAAGGTAAGAGAAAGTCAACTGGTTTGCAGTGTGACAATTTATTTCATTTTATTTTATTTTTGGAAATTTTATTGACTACTTGCCAGCCATACCAAGGGCATGAGTAAACGATCCTAACGGATTACGTATTACTGTAGTTGCTGAGAAGGCAAGAATAATATATATTCTGTGGAGATATTCTCCAAATTTTTCGTCCTCAAATGAGGGAACAAAACTCGCAATCTTGAATTATTCCTTTTATTTTCGTAGGCTCATTATTTCGCGCGGCAATGAAATGCCAAGAGACACTGCAAGTTCTTGAAATACAAGGATGGCGCAATGCAAAAGATGTACTGAGGTCCGCAGAAAATTCGCTGAACAGAGTTTGCAAGGAATACAAGAACAGTGAACTTTACAGACTCGCTAGGAGTTCGTTTCTCTATGCTGAGGGAGAGATCAATTACAGGAAAGAAAATATATCAATTGCACTTAAAAGTTTGTCGGATTCTCTAGGAATTTTGGAAGAGATCCTGAAAAACCACACTAGCACTACAAGATGTTTAAACGCAATTGGAAATTGCCACAACCACGTTGGCAACTTCGAGGAAGCATTGAAGTTCTATAAAAGAGCGTACGAGATGAGAAAGACGATCTCAGGTTCGAAGAATCATTTGGATCTGCCGTTGTTCGTTGGTCAAATTGGAACAGTTTATGATGGTCTCAAACAATATGAAAAAGCCATTACATGCTATGGAGAGGCCATAGAACTATATAAAGAACTAAAACGCTCGGGTATCCTTCATTTAGCCCTTTTTTACAGAAACATCGCAAATTCATACGCTTTGCAAAAAGATTTTGAAAAAGCTTACAAGTGGGCAATGGCTGCGTACGAGATGAGAAAAAACATTTTGGGCAACCATCCCCACACGGCAAGAAGTGCTTTTCAAGTGGGAGAAATTTGTAAGGCTCTAGAGGAATATGATGAAGCTGAAGAGTTTTTGGCCGAGGCATGGCAACTTGAGAAATCTCTTGGAAATGCCAACCATAGTGCTGTGAGGGACAGAATCGTGAAGAGCTATGAAGCAATCCTCCAAGGGGAAACCAAGAAACAGTTTCAAAGAGAGGCCTTGGAATTTTATCAACGTTTCTGGGATGAAGAAGCAGAGTTCACCTACGCGAACAAATCTGTCATTGACGAGATAAACAAACGTCTAGCTAATTCTGGAGACCGGAAGATGATTCGGAAGTATGAGGAAGAGGCCCTGAAGTTTTATGAGGAGGCTTGGAATTCACCAGACCTTCAGCAACAGCCCGATTATCAGAGAGAAGATATCCTGCAAAATGTCTTACACCTCTCGAAATCACTTCGCAAGAAAGAAATGCACACAAAATATCAACAGGAGGCTCTTAAATTTTACGAGAGGCAACTGCTGGAGAAGACAAGTATGACATCACAGGACAGAAAAGACCTTCTTTACCGACTGCAACACCTAGCTAAGTCGCAGGATGATAAAGAAAAGGAGTGCAAGTACAAGGAATTGTACGAGGTAAGCTCGATGGTTTATCTTTAGAGCGGTATTTGGATGATCACAACAGGGAAGGTAACATTCGATTTTAGATTACTTTAGTATGCGAAAAGACTTCTTACTTGTGAAGGGAGAACCTTTTTTCTAGCCCCAAGATGCCAGTCTAACTTTGTATTCATCTCATATACACACATGTTAGTCTCCAAGTTAGACTGTAAGCACACGGTTTTATAGCACTAAGACTAGTGTTGTCCTTGAGGAATAGTTCTCTCTATATACCCGTAATTATAACGGGAACGAAAGAGAGTGAAAGAGGTTCCTGGTGCGCACGCTGCTTACCCAAATCATGCGCCTTAAAATTTCGAGGAGTGGGTACTCTGTTTTATGTACAATATACAATGTGCCCCAGAGAGCACTGGTGCTATTTGAGCCCTTTTGGTCTGAAACCGATAATAGATTTTAACCATCTGGGTCTATTATATAGTAGAAGAGTAAATTAGACCCTGTGGAGGATACACCATCTACAAAGTGTACTGGTTCATAGTCCGAGCTAAAATGACTGTCACTGATATTTTGCCAGATACTTATTATCAGTCAAGTCATAATAAGTATGCAACAAGTTTCTCTATACTTAGCATTCTTTAAATAGATAACCTTAATGACCACTAAATCTTAACATCCCAAAATTCAACTGATTGTATGGCACGGACATGTGTACATTGACCCACTTCAATTCAACTAGTCAAACTAGTTTTAATTTAGGATATCATGTGAAAGGGGTACCTACTATGGACCTCAACTGGATGGTAGGTAAATGCGCCAACCAAAGAGTTAACTCAATGTTTCGTAGCTTCCGTGGCAGGCAACCAAAGAGGACGTAAAGGGGAAAAGGAATCTCTTGATTCCTTTGTCCTTTCGTTCGCTCCCGACGTCCCCCATACCTTTTTCTTCCGTCCACAATCACTAGCATTTCTATGACTCAGGAAAAAGTTAACCCCCCCTTGCACAACCAGTCGTCGAAAAATAAAACTAAAATAAGTAAATGTATCAACGGCAGATACAAACAAAAGTTAGTAAGTTATCTTAAATAAAAACATATCTTAATTAAGAATTTTAAAATTAAACGAGTGATCTTCCACCTAGCTAATGTCCTTCCATTATTTTTTATAGTTACATGTAAAGGCCCAACTAACAACCGCTGTAGAAGTCATTAAGGCCCCGGTAAGAGACCAAGAACTGCAACCTAGCGGCATTTCCAATTCAGGGGTTTATGAAAGAAATGATACTTCAAAACTGAAGGTTGAACCACCGTTTTACATACGCAGCACTCCCGAAATATCAGGGACACCACAAGGCTCGATTTTCACCACTCTCTCGGATTCAGTCCTATCCCCACCCATAACGTCGGGCGTGGGCTCATTTTCCGAACGGCAGCCACGGATATTACCGATTGCTAGGCCGATCACGCCACCATTACGACATACACCGAAAAGTTCAGGTAAGAAACTGACTTTTATTTAAAAACGAAGTAAATCGTAAAATGTACATTTATTTGCCAGTTAAACACTCACATCAGTTCCGTAGAGCAAAGGGGACACCTTAATATAATTGTATTTAATTTATTCATATTATATCTTGATAAACGTAAAAATACCGGAATAATCTAGAAACCCCTCACAACCTGCATTCAGAAACTTTATATATTGCCATTTGATAAAAGATTGGGGTACTTACAGATAGACGCAACAACTCCCAACAACATGTAACAGGGTGTTCAAACGGATGCAGCATGTAACATCCAACCACGTTGGGAGTTGCTGGCCAACAATGTTGCGTTCGTTTGCACGGGGCTTAAGAAGCACATAACTTGACCCTCCTAGAAGTTAGGACTAGTGTGGCCAAGAATTCATTCATTCAAGTTTTCAGCAGTTAGGAGCTGAAACGAACTCCCGAGAGATATCAATGAAGCTCAGTCGATCATTGCATTTTTCGCTGAAACTGATGAAAACGTGGTCTTAACATTTGTTATTGGTAATAAACATAATCACTGTAAATATATAATATATATCACCTATCTGTCTGTCTGTCTGTCTGTCTGTCTGTCTATCTGTCTGTCTGTCCATCTATCTATCTATCTATCTATCTATCTATCTATCTATCTATCTATCTATCTATCTATCTAGCTCTTCACGTCACGTTCGATGCAATTTTGGTATCAGAGGATGAAGATTATGAGATTTCAGAGACAGTTTCTTTTAAAGGTAACAGTTACTTTGTTGACTTTCTATTCCAAGTTTATTTCAGAGTAAATGCCTAGTTCTGATTTAGAGGTTAACTTATCCAAAGTATCTTGGCTTGAAATCAGAAATTTAAGCCGACTTTAAAACATCTCGGCTTAACTCTTTAACTCCCGATAGTTTAGTATTTTTCAGAAAAATTTGGACTCTTATCCATAAAGCTAAGACAATGGAACCTCTGGACATCAATAAACGTGATGAACTGTAAATATATAGAGCATATCTTTTGTTTTTTTGTTATCTTGTCTTTTTAAAGTAGCCACACCATACCACGTCATATTATGTAATTTCCGGTCATTATTTTACTTCATTTATATTTCTGTAAATTCGTGATATCTCAGTAAACCTGATGAAGACTGGGATTGGCCAGTGGAAATATCGCAACCAAACTCTATTTCGCATTGTTTGGTCAGTCCCTGCAAAAGTCTTCTAGACTGTAACGTTTTCAATTTGATATATTTTGACTGATCACGATCTTTCTGGATCCGACGTTGAGCAAGATTGATCGTAAACGGTTTTTGCAGTGGTTTTTTTTACCTTAATTCAACATCCTAAAGAACATTGTAACAAAATGTCTTTGTCCATTGTTAGGGTCTCTTTTAGGGGTCAAAAAACGGTTTGGCCACGCCCAGATTGTCCTCCTTTTGGGCTTTAATTCAAAATCTCCGACGGGCATCTCCTCCCCTTTCACATGGGAGTACTCCCCACCACCAGACGCGACTTATTAATTACTTCATTATTAATTTTAAATGAATCTCTTTCGTACTTCTGGTATAAGCATTTCAGTGTTTCTTCCAATAGACCGAGATGTGTCTGGCAAGAACAAAAGTTCTCAGCTACAGACGGAGAATCTCGCACGTATCATCACTAGTGAAGGCGGCGTAGTTTCTGGGGAGGATGTCCTTTTGAAGATTCCCCCTGAAGCAGTTGGCCGGCCGGTGTATATACAGGTGACGAAGGAAGATGCTTCCAAATACTATGGTCCAATACTTCAAAAGGATCTCGAGAATGATGTCAGAGTTTGTGCACCCATCTTAAGGCTTCAACCCAGCGGCTATCGGTTCATAAAACCTGTGAAGTTGTCAGCCACTTACAGAATTAATGATTGCAAGGGTGAAGATTTTCTTATTTTGCATGGCACGGAAAAAAGGGACGGAAAGATCACTTGGCACGATGTGACTCAAAATTCAAGTATAGAGAGAACTTTTACAAGTGTAGTGGTAACCACTGAGATTAGAGGTTTCTCAATGATTGCAGCTTTGTTGAGATTGTCTGTGATCCGCACTAAAGACATCGTAACAAGACTTAATTTGTTTGCATTCAGCTACACGATGGCAGCGTTGGTAAGTGCGCAGAAAAATGAACTTGTTCTTCTGTTCGTGAGCCAAGACGTCTACAACGAAACTTTCTACAGAAATCACGAGAGCTCTGCTTTGGTGCAGTTGAAGGCTCAGGGATTCACAGAAGTCCAAGTGCGTTCCATCGGTGAACAGGATGAAAAGCGCATCTACAACAGTGAGAGCCTTCAAGTTTCTATTTGCCTTGGGGAAGACTATAAATTTCTTGACAGTGAAAGTTGTAATTTTCATTTTACTGTCGAGTCATATGTCTGGTGGAACACTGGACACGTTATTAAACTTCAGCTTGAAAACACAAAAGATATCAGAATTCTGTGCGGAAAGATCAGTGTAACAGGACAATACGGGCATAGAAGCGAGAGGCATTTCTGCGAATCGGGTAAGTAATTTCAATACTTACTTTTCTTTAAACGAAGTCGGCAACGACAATGATTTAATAATCATTACAATTAGTAATTACCGTCTGAGTGATGACGGTAACGATAAAGACAATGATTATCCGTCCATGTCCATATCTTCATCATCACCATTTCAAGTCTCCTTGGGCAATATCGCGCCACACACTAACAAAACTGTCCACAACTGTCCAAAACTGTGAAAAAATGAGGAGTAGTCTATCTTTCATAGCTTTTGTGGTAGCAGCGTGAATCTTCGTTACTTTGCGCCAATTCGGTTATCATACAATATGCAAATGAGGACATGTGACCCATCACAACTAACAAAGCTGTTTATTAAAATGGGTACTCTTTTTCTTGTGTCCTTATTTGTTTTTCTAATAGCAAAAATTTAAGGCCATTAGGTATATCATGTCTGTGCTTAAAATGTTAAAATATTGTAAAGGAAGGGTGGGTACTAGTCAAAAAATCCGTTTAACTAAAAAAGCAGGTACAAAAGTAATGAGTATGAAATGTTGCAAATGTCTTTATATTGTAAGTTGTCCTATACCAATTAAGTACGCGCTCTCATTGGTTACTTCGAGGTCACATGACATCTAACAATGAAACTGTTTCCCGCCAAAATCTCTGAGCGGGCAGCATTGCAAAATCTATGACGTCAGAGGGTAACAGTGCACTGTTACCTGCGAATGTTAGCCGACGACCGCCATTTATAGCTTTACGATAAGTACTTACGAACATGGATCACCCCCTCAGTTTTCAACGAAACTAGTTTTTGACCCACGCCTTAATTTACTTGAGATTGAGGTCAACGTTCCAAAAAAACAACGCGGTCCCTTCACGTAACATTCATATGACAGACGTCAAGCAAGTGATACACGGATACCAACTCACGGAAATCCACGGCCTGGACAGTACCTAACGCATGCGCACAGCAATATCACTCGGGTAGTGGCAGCCATGGCCTACTTTTTCGCCCTTAATAGCTAAGGGCTCATCAGCATACCATAGCCGTGTGATATCACATAGCTGTTTCATATGGCTGATATGGCCGTTTGGTATGTTTTGCATGCGTCATGCGCAAGGTAGTGGCTAGGCCTTGGGTTGGTATCCGTGTGTCACTTACTTTAAAATTGTGAATGAATTTGTCTGTTACTGAATTCGAGTGAATAAGCCATCGACTTGAGATTCGTTCTGTAACTAACGACCCACTGCGACCCACCTCAATAGTGCGAATAGCCTGCTAGTAAGATACTAGAGGTGGAGGTACGCGGAGAGAAATAGCTTCCTAGCTCTCTCCCCCCCCCCCCCCCCCCCCCAAACACACACACACACCTCCGCCCATGAGAACTTGCTAAGAAGCTAGGATCAGGGCCCAGTTGTTCGAAAGGTGGATAACGCTATCCAGTGGATAACGGAATTGATTTCTCTAATACTTCTCTACTGGATAGGGATTTATTCGGTGGGTAGCGCTATCCAGCGTTTGAACAACCGGAGCCAGAAGTGTTGTGAATCCAGATAAGGTATATGATCCTGTGCCAAAAATTAAATAGTTCAAACAAGGCCTATCTGCATGGAGAAATGCATGGGAAATTAAGGCACGTTTGCAAAGTCAAGTAAATAATTGCACAATATGCTGCTTTTATTTCTTACTTCTAGAATTTATAATATTTATTGTTCCAGATCTGAATGGATATGTGATGGAACTAATGGGAGCAAAGGGTGAAATTTGTAACTTCCTACCGATTGCCCACAAGTTAATGATGCCTAAAAGGCTAGTTGATCAAGTTCTGAGGTCCTGGAAGAACGAAGACCAACAGCTGGAGTTAATGCTGCAATACTGGATGAATGAAAACGAAGTTTTGGACGATCATCAGGCTTTAAGAAAAGATCTTGAAGGTCTACAGCACGGTTAGTTGGCCTAAACTTAGTTTCTTCTTTATATGCTTGTTAATTGATTGTTTAAGTCTTCTCTAACCTGAGATCAGGCCCAGTTTGAGCGGTTCTCATACATTCTCTCTAACGGCTGATCCAAACTCATTCACGTGTGTGCTCGTTACGGCCAGATTTTGGCCGTAACGCTGATTGGCTGTTAGAACAATGCCACAAGATCTGATTGGCTGTCGGAAACGCCGGAAGTTGAAAGCGCTTATTCCTCGCGTAGTTATTTTCGTGAATGATCCGTCGTCGTCGGAGAGAAGGATCGATTTTGCTGTCTTTTTTATTGTTTTATGATCTTATGGTAGAAAAATATGCCTTAATATGTGCCATGGAAATTCAGAAAATTCATATGGTTGTTCATATCTTCTCAGGATTTGCTTTATTTACGGAAAGTGAGTGAAAATCGGGGGAAATTGCCGAGGAAAATATTAAGGTGACTCGACCCAGTTTATTTGGGGGGATACCATCCTACTTTGAAGCTCTCTGGTATGCCCGCCTTTACTTTTATCGTAAGTCTAACACATAGAATGCATAACATATAGATCAATCTACAATATAACACAAAAGTTTTGGCGATCGGAGTAAATGTCACGTGGTTATAATGCCACGCCCCTTTGAGGTCTGAGTCGAAAATCTGCTGTGGCCGGACTTTTTTCGTGAAAATCTCTCGGCTACACATAGTGCGCATTAGTGCCTTGAGCTGAACAGAGTTTCACCAAAATGGCAGAGACCCAATTCGAGAAATTCAGTGGTTTCCAAATTTAGGTAAATAACAACTTAACTTAACGTTATTATTCCATCGCTCATATAGTACAAATTCAGTAAAGCCAAAGCCGGGGGCTTATACGGCCTGTGGTCAGAATGACAGAAATTATTTTACATAGAAATGAAGACTGTAGGCTAAACTACAAAACTAAAACAAGATACAAAACTGAAATTAAATAAGTTTACATGCATGCAGTCCTATAACAGTCCTATAACAGTCCATAACTAGTGACAAATAAACTAACAATAAACTATGAGAATCCTGCGCTACTTCAATTTAGGCTTAAAAAGTGAAGTTTTACTTTCTTTTTGAAGTTAGTAGTGGTAAGGCTGTCACGGACAGTCAAGGGGACATCGTTCCAAATAGTCGGGGCTTGAGAACTAATCGCAAATTGATACCTGAGGGACATTTTATGCAAGTTGAAACGAGAACGAGTTAGATAATCATGAAAATCACGATTAAAGTGGAGGAGGGAGGAAAGAGAGGCAGGTAAAAGGCGATTAAATTGTGACAATACAAAACAAGAAACATGAAATTTATAAAGTGAATGGAGAGAAAGAATATTAAGCTTCGAGAAAACAGGCTTAGAACGAGTTCTTGGGGGAGAAAAGGTGATAATTCGAATGGCTTTCTTTTGGAGTAGATAGAGGGGTTCAAGGAAGGAGGCATATGTAGCTGCCCAGATGAGGTTACAATAGTTGATATAAGGTAGAAAGAGGGAATTATATAAGGTTTTTATAGTGACCGAAGGTAAGTATTGTCTCGATTTCGACAAAATTCCTATAACCTTAGCGACTTTATCGTAGATGGACGTGTTGTGCGGTTTCCATGAAAGGTTTTCGTGAATAATTATTCCAAGAAATTTATGTTCCTGTACCTGCGCTATAAGGGTGTTATTTATTAAGATGTTTAATTCTGAAGGATTGATCTGTTTACCATTTGAGAACCAGGGTTTTGAAGAGCGGTGAGGTTTAGAACATGTGGGTTGAAGAGGAAATGACATACTGTATGCCGAAGTAAGAAGACTAGAGAATGTGTCATAAGATTCATTTACAGAATTAATGGAATAGACTGAAGACCAGTCGACACCTTCCAGTTTAGACCTGAATGCTGACATAGTTGTTGAGTTAATAAGACGTAAAAATCTCTTTTGGCGTGGTGGCTCAACAATCATTTTCAAGTGGGTAATTTGAAAAACTGGGAGGTGATCAGATAAGTCAGTGTAAAGAATGCCACTTTTCATGTTAAGTTCAAGATTGTATGTAAATATGTTGTCAATCAGAGTTGCAGTTGAGGAAGTTATGCGAGTTGGTTTGGAGATCAAAGGATAGAGGCTATTAGATGTCATAAGATTAATCAACTCATTTGTAGGTTGATGAGAATGAGAGTTGAGGATGTTGATATTAAAATCACCCATAATATAAGATAGCTTATTCTCAAAACTGATGGCTGACAAGATATCTTGAACAGACCTGTTAAAGTCAGTAAGAGAGGCATCGGGAGGTCTATAGAGGCAGCCAACAATGATATTTTTACCATGAGGTCGCAGGATTTCCACAAAGACTGATTCGTACAATGAATTGTCAGAAGATTGAAGATCAATCCTAGGCTTAAAATTCATATCAGACTGAATGTAAAGACCAACTCCACTACCTAATTTATGTTCTCTTGAATTGGAGATAAAATGGTAGCCAGGAATATTAAAGAGATCAGAATTAGACTTATGTAACCAGGTTTCAGAAACGGCAACAACAGAGAACAACATATTAAGTGAAAGAAGATATTCTGACAGGTCGTCAAAGTGTTTAGGGAGGCTCCGGATATTAATATGAAAAGCAGAAAATGCATCAGGAGGAAAAGGAATGTTGTTAAATTATGAAGAGGTTAGATATATGCAGTTCGAAAGTAATTCTGAATTTGCGGTAAAAAAAATTGGGGTTAGGATCAAGGTTAGAGTTCATTAGCAGATGAGATGTCTCAGGGTCATCAAAAAAGGGATTAAACACTTTTTGCTTAAGAAGTTCAGGATCAAAATTTCCTTCAAAATTATTAAAAAGTCCAACAATGCAAAGAAGAAATCAGTATCATCTTCAAAATGGTTAAATGGAAATAGAGTGGCAAGACAAACTGAGCAGAACCAATCTTCTTTAGTATTAGATAAAGCTATGTATTCCTCACATGTAAAAGGAGTGCACTTTAAATGAGTCCAGTTCTGACATATGTCACATAAAATGGCTTTGTGACTATTACGGATGCTAAATTTACACACAGTACATGGGTACTTAATAGGCATAGGACTACTACTACTACTACTAGAATTAATGCTATGTCATTATTAACAAACAAGTGTCTGAATAAGTAAGCAAGAAATACACAAACAAGTAAATAATATGAACTAATAAATAAAAGTAAGCAACAAGGCAGCAATTATGCAGAGAGCGAAACAATCATAATCTTGATACCTCAAGATATCAACTAGAGTACATTGCGTGACAAAACAAAGTTAGCTTCTGCAAAGAGTACCTGCGTGACAAAGCAGAGTTAGCTTCAGAATCAGTGGCTGATTAGCTGTACTTGTTCACAATCTCGCGGCATTTAGAAAGAGTAGTCATAATTTATGCGAAAATGATAAGCAAACTTTACACGATTATATCTAATATTTAATGAACTATGAGATTCATTCATAATTTTGGTACAGTGAGACAGGCCATCGCGTGATACATAGAGGTTTAACTCACAATTTTTATTCAATTATCGTGCTTCTTGTGCCTTTGCAAATAAATCAAGAAGTGTTACACACTAAATCTACTTACTATTAAAAAAATATATCATTTTTTCATAGGTTTAATGCAAGTCAATAATTAAGGTGGCTCGATACAGTTTTTCAGGGTCAATACCTCCCAAGTTTGAGCATAAACTACGTCGCGATAAACAAAGTTTTGAAAAATTGCCACCACAGTTGTATTAGATAAGGATGAAAATTTGTTATGATCAGGTTTGCAACGGCATCAGAGTTGTCATAGCAACGGAATGACGCTATTACCTATTTTACTTGTAGCAGTATATCTAGGCACTAGGAACTGTTCTTCGAAAATCATTCACGGGAGCTTTTTCCTCCAATAACAGCCTCGATGTTCGTGAAGTTTAAGCGAAATCTGTAAGAGCGTTATCGAGATATTTTGGGATAAAGTTTTTATTGTTAGGAACAAAGTAAAAAAATGGACAATATTGTTGTTTGGCCGTTATCTGTAGCAAATGAAGCGATTTTGACATGCAATTTCACGTCATAGTAGTTTCAATCTTTTTAAAAGCGTGCGTGAAAGATCATGGGAGATAGCTCCAGCCGATTGCTAGAAAGAAGGGTTTAATTAGTGTGTATGGAAGCGCTCTTGTTAGCGGTTTTGTAAACATTTTCGTCTTCTTTGACAAATTAGCGAATAATTTTTAAACCGCTCGATAGATTTTTTTGAAAATTTAAGATTCTTGAGATTAACCTTCCTTTTATATGACCTTTTAGTTTCAAGATTATTGATATATTGTAAGGCAGTAAAATAAGGGCTGCAATTCGTTACTTTTTTATCAAAAGTTTCGTCATTACAAGTAGAAGCCTCTAATTATTCAAGGCATTGTCTCCAAGTTTCATTTTCACGTGAACAGTAGTAACTAACAATGCATTTGGAATATGCAAAAATGCTAGCTATTGTTGTGCACGAAAATATGAAACTTGGACACAATACCTTGAATAATTAGAGGCTCACACTTGTAAACACAAAATTTCTGCCAAAATATTAGCGAATTGTAGCCCTTATTTTACTGCCTTACAATATATCAATAATCTTGAAACTAAAAGGTCATATAAAAGGAAGGTTAATCTCAAGGATCTTAAATTTTTTAAAAAATCTATCGAGCGGTTTAAAAATTATTCGCTAATTTGTTAAAGTAGACCAAAATGTTCAAGAAACCGCTAACAAGAGCGCCTCGATACATACTAATCAAATCCTTCTTTCTAGCAATCGGCTGGAGCTATCTCCTTGATCTTTCACACACGCTTTTGAAAAGATTCAAACTACTATGACGTGATATTGCATGTCAAAAGCGCTTCGTTTTCTACAGATAACAGCCGAACACCAAGATTGTCCATTTTTTACCGTATTTCTAACCACAAAATCTTACAGATTACGCTTAAACTTCACGAACATCGAGGCTGCTATTGGAGGAAAAAGCTCCCATGAATGATTTTCGAAGAACAGTTCCCAGTGTCGAGATATATTGCTGCAAGTAAAATAGGTAATAGCGTTATTTCGTTGCTATGACAACTCCGATGCCGTTGCAACCTTGATCATAACAAATTTTCATCTTTATCTAATACAACTGTGGTGGCAATTTTTCCAAAACTTTGTTTATGGCGACGAGTTTTATGCTCAAACTTGGGAGGTATTGGCCCTGGAAAACTGTATCGAGCCACCTTAAACCAACTCGTGACGGGAATCCCTTCTATTTTCTCATACCAAATTATCATATCTCGGTGAGCATTCGGAAGTCAGCCAAGCGAGGTCATTGCACGCGTGCTGAACAAGAATGCTGTATAATGACAGACTAGAAACAATAGACAACTCCCAAAGCACAAACTCAGCCAAAACGCTAAAACTCTTCAATGTTTACTCAAGTTTGGGCTTATAGAAGATAATGTCACAGTTTTTCAATGACCATGAAATTCAGGGTCCGGGTAGTAGTTAATCAATTGTGGCCCTGAAAAAATTTGAAGGAAAAAAAACTCCGAATTTTTAAGAAAATACTTTTTTCGTGAGAAGGACTCTTACACGCTGACAAGCGTCAACAAATAGCGAAAACTATAATTTCTATATATTTGCTTTGCTCGAAATCGCGCGCATTTACAAGGCCCTGAAGCGTTTTGCTGACTTGCAAGGACTCATCTGTTATAACGATGCCCAAAATACAGGGATGAATCTCATAGTTTATAAGATATAATCGTGTCAAGTTTGCTTATCATTTTCGCATAAATTATGACCTAAATTTGGAAACCACTGAATTTCTCGAATTGGGTCTTTGCCATTTTGGTGAAACTCTATTCAGCGCAAGGCACTAATGCACACTATGTGTAGCCGAGAGATTTTCACGAAAAAATGCCGGCCACAGCAGATTTTCGACTCAGACCTCAAAGGGGCGTGGCATTATAACCACGTGACATTTACTCCGATCGCCCAAAATTTTATGTTATATTGTACATTGATCTATATGTTATCCATTCTATGTGTTAGTCTTACGATAAAAGTAAAGGTGGGGATACCAGAGAGCTTCCAAGTAGGATGGTACCCCCTCACCTTAAGGCAACGGAAAAATAGACATTTCAGTATTTTGAATTCGAGCGCGCCTAACCAAAATAATAAAACTGGTAGAACATCGCGTCGCCGTCTTTTCGAAAACTTTTTACCTTCTACGCCAACAGAAATAACCTTCGAGATCTCCCTTAATCTCGCAAGAAGTTAAGTGTGATTGTGCCGACTGTTTTACTTTTAGCTGAAAAAATTAACAGATAAAAGCTATTTTTTAAGTTACTGTCTGCATTTGTCCCACACGTGAAAAATTTGCATACTGGAAAAACAAGCAACGGAAGTAATTTTGGTTGGCTGATTCAGCAAATGTCAATCAATCAAAAAAGTGGGCAGCAGACGTTTCGTAGAAGGTTGGCATCAGGCTCTCTTTTCGTTTCGTCATGCCCGCCGGAATGTTATTTACAAAGCGAAACGAAAATAGAGCCTGATCTCAGGTTAGTCTTTCTTCTTCGCTTAACAGAAGAATCAAATTCGACGCAATCCGTTTGCCTCGTCACTTACGCATACTCTTATAATTAGGAGATGCTGTGGAGACTGCTGGGTGTCAATTGACGTCACATCTCGCCAGGCTGGAGCGTTCGGAAAATAACTAAGGTCTATTCGATAAAACAAGGATAAGTTCCTTCCTCAGAGGTTTCGTTTTTTACAACAAAACTAAGAGTAAAGTGCATGTTTGCAGGTAATGGGTACGAAAATAACTAAAGGTCCTTTTAGTATACAGAAAAGTTGACCCAGGAAAGAGGGTCACCTTCCCAGCCGGGTGAACTTCAGGGAGCGTTTATGTGACAAAAAAGCTGACCCTTTTCCCAAGCCAACTGCGCTCGCGCATGCTCTGATTGTCTCGCTTTGACCGACATGACTGAGCTGACCCTGCTGGGCGAGTGTTTATGGACAAAAAGTTTGCCTAGGAGGGTGTCTCTAGTATCGAAAAAGGGTGAACCGGCTAGGCGGGTCAGCCTTCTAGCCGAGCTAAATTTTTATTCGCATGTAAACGGTTCGCCACGTTTTGTAAGGAAATGTGGGTGAAGTTGGCTCGCTTAGGGTAGCTCCGGAAGGTAAGTAACCCTTTTACTGAGGCAAGTTAACGGGGTCTAAAATGTAATGTTCCACTTTCTTCACCATGCGTACATTGCACCATAAATGTTCACCCTACATTAGGCGTTTGAACATTAAAGACTTTAATAGGGAGATGTTAGGCGTACATAGTGTGTCATAGTCAGGGATGGTTATCAAATTTGATGACCACGTTACGTCACAGTGGAATCTCGATAAGATGAAGTCCTGTCTCGACTTCTCACTGCACAATAATGTTTCCTCGCTCTTAACATTTGAAATATCACACAATAACTTATATTTAAGTTACATTTCACTTGCAATTTCATTAGTTTGCAGAGTCACACAAAGAGGTCAGATGCATGTTAGACATTTGAGAGAACTTGCAACCAAGATTTCGGGCTTACAACAGGAAAATTCTGATCTGGCGAAGAATCTTGAGTGCAAAATTCAAAATCTTTGCAAGTCGATATTTCGGGACTGCTGCATCGAGTTGGAACATCTCTCGGACAAGATAGAACGAGCGGCCTCTTCTATAAACCATATTGATTATCTGGAAAAGCATGGTGCCTTAACCAAAGATGTTGCGCTAATTTATAAACGGATATGCTCTTCGGCGACTGGAGTGCCTCAATTCATAATTGAAAATTTTCTTTCAGTAGTTCCACAACTGATTCAAACCATGAAAGAAGTGTATGTTCATGAAGAGATCTCACAAGTTCAAAATGGCCTAAGAGGCCTTCCAGATAAAGATTTGGAACATTTTGTGTCAAATGTTCGATATGCTGAGAGGAAAAACAAAGTTTGGCCGTTAGTAGGTCAGATGTGCAAAGTTCTTGAAGATTTGTGTCTTCAAAATTGTGGAAAGAAGTCTACCGCTGAAATTGAAAAGTGGGCCAACGGCTTAGCTCTTCTTTCCATGCTGGAATTTCTCAAGCCTTTCTTCCAGCAATGCCCCCAAGATATTAGGTTGCACACGAGGTTAGAGCTGTTTTCATGCAATCTCAGAAACATCATGTTAGGATTGATGGATGTTGCAGAGGAAGCGTTCGTGCGAGATCTTTCTGATGTGGTTCTTAGCCTAATTGCATTTGCTAAATTTGAGCCATCGAAGCTGGTTAGGTTTGAACTCTTCGACATAACAGGTGCGCTTCTGGACTGTAACGCGATTGAGAATTTGAAGTACGACAGGCATCACGACTCTTACTCTCAGCATTTTTATATAAGGAACGAATCGGATGGCGAGCTACAGGTTCATGCCCTTGCATGTGTCCTCATCGATGGCCTTATTTGTAAAATTGGAGCCTTTCAGTCAGTGGTTTTGCTTCATCCTTCTGGGGAATCTGTGTTTGACAAATGCATGACGCGTTTTTGTGGGGTCGCCGTGGCAAGGCAGAAAGACAAAGATTCAGAAAATTTTCGGATGGCACTTTGTTCAACCCAAAAGGAGAAACTTTCTGACGCACTAGACGTACTACGGGGAGAATTGAGTGAAGACTTGATAGATTTCAAGAAATCGGTAATCACTCCTTGCCACCTTACAATGCGCTCTGTTCCTGGGAGGAGGGATGCAGTTTTGAGTCTCCGCCTGGTGTACAAGTGGGGATCCGAGGCAGTCTCTGTAGACAGCAGTGATTTTTTACCTTTTGCAGATTCCACCGCTGATGGCGCCTGGATACCAGAAGTACAAATTAAGGGTAATATTTTTTTATATATATCTAAAGGACAATGTACATTCATAGACATATGCTGTAGGCGGACTTTGTAGAGCTTCTGGTAAAACTACGCTAAATGTTCGTCATAGTACAATGTTGCATCTTTTCTGGCTTTGCAATTGCTAATTAAACAGGTCGCCTTTTCCTTCTTAAAGGTTGATTGGTAAACAGTTCTAGGGATGATATTTCCTAGAGTGGATTCATTTTTAAGCTTCAAGGAGCTATGTCACGATTTTTATCTAATAATTAAAACCCCAGCAAAAACAAACTGGAAAAAAAATAACCTTGAAATAATGACTCAGTTTTAAAATTATTGTACATTTATACCTCAACTAGAAGTGTATGTCTTTGGCTTTTAATGGCCAGGATGGAAAAGGATCGCAACTTGAAAAAATTGGGCAACCTCACCCTTTCCAAGTTAAGCTTGACTAATGAACAAAAAAACGATCATGCTTTGTTTTCCCTTTGACTGAATCATTTAATGTCTATCTTAAGAGAAAAGATGACTGAGAATACTTAGTAATATTTTCAGCTCAGTTTAGACCAACTCGCCATGACAGAACCCCTTTAATTTTAACCAATTCACATTCTCCAGACTGATCCCATACATTTTCTTAAAGAAAAAGTTGAGAGAATTTGATAAAAGATTAAACTATTTTCTCCTTGTTGATCATTTTATTCATCCTCATGGCCTTTTTTCTAGCTGATATATTGATTTTTAGGTGAAAATTGATGTTTGCTCACTTTTGGGACTTCACGGCTTGAATGCATTGCAAATTTCATTGGGCTATACGTTTATGTTTCACATGAATCCACCCGGAATTTTCTGATTGGAAATCGGTGTGCTGTGCCTGATACAGTTCTTACATGTACACGCTTCTTTAAGGTATAAAGAAGTTATAGTAAGAAGGATTGCTTCTTTGCTTTTTATCAGGTTTGACAGGTCCAGATGAACTGGCTCAAGAGGCACGCTCAGCTCTCGCTCAGGCCAGCGGTGTTGGAAATACCTTTCCCTTGGATACTTTTGATACACAGGGGATGCGAAAGCACACAGTAATAAATTGCGAGAAAATAGGTGAGAATTGTCAAAGGAATCGTTTATGTGTAATCAAGGATTATGCTGAAGACTTGCTACATTTCGCTTTAGCACGATTCCTCTATCCATGGCGATGGAATTCCTGAAGAACTTAAATAAAGCTCTCTTCATATAATCACTCAAAAGTCTTTGCACGCCGCCCTGATTTTGTAGCTAAGTGAAGAAAAATAACTTCCATTGCATGCAGTTAATTTTCACGTCCTTTTTCTTCTGTGAGGGTATATTTTCTCCTTTCAAGACATATAACATTTTTAGAAAAACAAACAAGCGTGCAGTTGCAAAGCAGTTAGTTGAACGTAGCCGAAATGATTTCGACACCGAGGGATTTACAGACAACGCGTGTAGCTCGGGTTGGTTGAAAAATGGTTAACTTTTACCTACATGCACCAGTCGTTACCCTCATAAATTTCAAGCAAAACTTTCCCGTCTGGAAATGTGTGACTGAGGCTTAATATATCAAGTATTGCTTGCTCTGAATTTTCAGAGACCAGGTTATGACCAGTTACGTTAACCCAAAATAACAATGCAAGATATTAAAAAAGAAAGAACCATGCCTCGGAAAAAAACAATTGATCCGGTTGACAAGCATTACCTGGCCTTCGAGTACGGAGCTGGAGAAGGCTTGGGATTTAGGTAACAAGGCAGGTTTTTATGTTTTTAAAAGGGAGGGATGTCAAACTTATAACCGCAAGATGGGCAGCCTCATTGACGTGTTTTTTTGCCTACTAGCACTCTATTGCATTTTAGGAGTCGAATAATTCAGTCAGCATCCTCGGAGACCCAGGGGCTGTCAATCGGCTCGGGAAAAACGGAGGCAAAAACCCAACTGCCCCCCTCCTCGCCGGGTCTCCGACAATACTTAGCCACTTGTTAGTGTGATTGGTAGAAAACACAGCCCACTAAGCTTAATTAACGGCTAAACAGATACAGTGGAGCCTCAATAAACGAAACCCTATATAACGAAGTCCTCGGTATGACGAACGATTTTCTTTACCCCATTAACAGTAAAATATATGAATAAGAACCTCGAAGTAAGGAATCCTCGTTACAGCGAACAAATTTTGCCATTCCAATGGCCATTCCTTATATCGAGGTTCCACTGTAGTACTAGCTGATACATCTTGTCACTTTTATTTCTTGTTCCAGAGTACCACTTTCACAAAACCGACAACTACATGAAAGGCCACGTTTGTGTCGTTGGAGACCAAACCACCTTGAACGACCAGTCATCCAGTCAACGGTATAAGCTGCTTGCATAATTAAAAGTACCATGTGAAAGTACTGTTGAAAAGGCTTCATTTGACTGGTAGTACCTCAGGATTTTATCCACAGACTCAAAAGTTAGAACTACATACTAAATAAATAGTACCATGTGAAAGTACACTGAAGAGGCTTCATTTGAATGGTCGCAACGTACGATTTGGTCCGCAAACTAAAAAGTCACGACTATGTTACATGTTTCTTTCCGACGCATAACTATAAATAGCACATCTGAACATTTTTCAGTGTGAGTGAAAATAAAAATAAAACCTTTTTCATGTTTTGTTTATTTTTAGGGCTCTTCAAGAAGGAACGGCATCTGATCCAATGAGGCATATTACCGATGGGCGAAGATAAACAAAACGAAAAAAACTGTTTTAGAACCCTGAAAGGTCGATCTTCATTGGAAAAACCACAGGGTTGGATTTTATCCGCAGCATTATATACAGCACAACAAGATAGCACGACTGAAGAGGTCCCTTTTGAATTGTCAAGCCTTTTTCATCCATAGGATCATAAGTTTAAAAATTCGTGCACAACTTTAATTATAGACAGTACCACAGAAAATTACTGTTAAGCAGCTTTCATCTGAATTGTCTAACTTCGGTGTTTCGTACACTGTTCGAACCACCTTGTACAGCATAGTAAACAGCACCATAGGAAAGTACATCTCAGTAACTTTCATTTGAATGGCTACACCTAGCAAGTAGCGATTTCATTTAGAAACTCAGACGTTAGGTACAGGTTTGGGTTTTGCTTTAGGAAAGCAGACAAATAAAATCGTCTTAAAGAACAAGGGCAAAAAGTTGTCTTTGTAAAGTGTGCTTTGTTCGATTCAGGAAAGGTTCCTTTCAATCAAGGAGTCCTTTGTTGAATATCGTAAACAAGTGATCAAAACAGCGTTCAGTGCTCTCAACAAGCAATAACACGTATTCGTGGAGAATTAAACATCAATCTTGCGTATGAAAGCTCTGTTATCATGTGAGTCTTTGGCATCAGTACAGCATCAGTTGCAAACTTTCATTTGTAACTTCCTTGCACTTCTCGCGTGAATTGTCCCAAATGAGGCCGTCAACATGCAGGTCACAAAAAGGCAGTGAAATTCAAGTCAGCCTTATGATGGCCGCCATATGGTCCAAGCCACAGCTTATCTCTATTACTTCACCAGGTAATGAAACCTGAAAAAAGAAAGTCATGACATCTTTATTTGGCGAAAGAAGGGGACTGGCTCGCGAGAAACCGCTACTGCCTGTATATATCAATTGATAAATTCTGGTGCGATGCAGACAGCGTAAAGCAGCAACTTCTAGCTGCAGGCAGGTCCACAATAAGATTCAGTACAAAAGTGACTTCAAATTCAACTCGGCATTGATGAAGAATGACACGGAGAAAGAGCTGCTACAATAAACATGACCTGAGTAACTCACTAAGTCACCTTGTGTTCAAGGGAAAGAAAGTAGCGGTGCATCAAGTACGTTTATGTATTTTGCCCCTCTCTTCTACCCCCCCCCGCCTCACCCTACACACACATCGCGGTACAAAAAGGACTGTGATGGTTTAATTTAGGTACGAAAGACCAAACACACCTTTTTAGGAATCCACTGATCTTCTGTAGAACCAAGCCCGAGTCTGCCGAAGGACCCTCTTCCCCAGGTGTACAGTGATCCAGAATCTGGGAACAAAATCATAGTCAAACTTCAAGAAAACGAAACCACTGTTGCTCGACACATTCCACCAGTCATTTCGGCCTCCTAACTAACGCTTTAAGTGACATACATGAGTAGCCAGGGGGGTCCGTTTTGGGTCATGACCAATCAGAAGCCAGAATTTAGGTAATGTGACCAAAGTCTGCACATTAATGAACTACGTCATTTAGGCAACACGAATTGACCCGTACTTTATGAGACCTGAGGCAGCAAATTCAAGGATGACGTCATTTCCGACCAATTCATCTTTAAACTACCCCAAATATAGGCCAGTGGGTAGTTCGGGGACACCTGGCCGCCGCTTGTAAATGATACTGTCGGCGTCCATGTATATCACTTCTTCAGGGTTGAGCACGGAGAGGCCTAGCCAGTATAGCCTGAGGAAAGCGTGACAGGTAGTGAACAAAGCAATGAAGATATTGGGCTGTATGGCTTTGCCTCATCGATGTTGTTGTAGACTACCTCCAGCATTTCAGGATTGACCTCTCTCACGCCGTGGATTTGAATTACGTCATTGTCGAGAAGTTGTTAAAACTTGGCGGGGAAAGTGAAGGTTTCCACTTGAGATTTGTTGGACTGCTAGCCGAATTTTCCCCAGAAGCTCTTTAACATGAGTTTGGCTAAAGTGCATTTGGCAGGATTTTCGTTCAATTTTGTGAGGGATTCCATCCAGCCGTGACCATGTCGAATAGTCCAGCGGGGACCCTTTCTTGGGCTTCATAATTTCCGATGTACTCCCGGCGTCATCCCCCACGTCAGCGGGCTAGCTGTCTGCTAGTTTGATTTTGAGGAAGGTGTTGAACAAGGTGGTAGAAGATTGTGGCAAGTGCCATATTTCATGAACTTTTAGGATTTCATAGCCTTAAGTTAGAAAAAATAACTGAACGCGGGCGTATTTCTCGCATACCCATGATCTACCTTTCCCGCCTAGCGCAGTCCGCTCGCAGTTTGACGCGTTCCCACTGGTTTTCGTTGGGAAAATTGATTGGAGGCAAAGAGTTGGCTTCTTCGTTTACCCACAAAATACCTTAGAGCTGTTAAAAACTCGTTGTTGGTTTTTCAGAAGACGAAACCACGGGAGTATGGGGGAAAAAATTGCTAAACCAAGAAAGATTCCCTGTCCAACAACAGACTTAGCCCACAAAACAAAGGGTGGAGTCAAACGCGGTCGGCATGGGTGGAAAGAGTGAAATCTCTATAGCGGACGTTTTTCTACAATATAAAAACTTGCCACACTTCTTTTGAAATTCGGACCTTAATCGAAACGTACTTTTTACCTGACTACTCTAGAAGGACTCAAAGAACGCAAACAATTACAACTTCTTAACTGAAAGATAAACAGAGACGAGGACAGTTTACAAGCTCCATGTAATTGTTGCGTTGTGACTATTTTTTGGAATAAATGGATGCAAAGGTCACCAACCTGTAATAACAGTCATGTAGTCCGGGCCACAGCATACTCGAGCAACAGGTTCGTCTATGTTATCAAACTCTTGTATCTTCTTGGGTGTCTTAGTAAATGAAACCTCTCTGCCGTGACCAAGGACACCGTACCCCCAACTGTAGACTTCTCCTGATTCTGAAAAACATCAACAACAAATCAACAAACAAACAAACAAGAATGCAGGGTTCAAAGTTAATCTTCATTACGTTTCAGTAAAGTGTTGTTACAGTGAAGATTGTGATACCTTTACCACTAGTCTTACTCGACAAATCTTTGAGAAGGAATTTGATCAACACGTACAAATTATACAGAGCCAGTTATAATCCAAGAACGGATTGGGATCCTGGGCATCCCAAAGGAGTACAAATGCAACTATAGAGTCCCATGATTAGCTTAGCCTGCGAAAACATCCGTTTCTCCTCGCTCTTCGTCGCTGGGGACGTTTCGCGCGGAGGAACGTCTGCGACTCAGGGACAGAAATTCCATACTGATGACGTAAAAACTGTCCGGAATCCGGTCAGAAGCGCTGATTGGTCGACGCAGCAGTTACATTGTTTTAGCTATTGTTTATGAATGACAGACAAAAGACAAAAGGCCACAAAGGTCAAATGTAAACGCGAAGAATCTCTAACAAAACAGTCAATATTTGTGGAATATAGCCTTCTATAGAAGAAGCATTTGAGTTTTGATGGAGCTCGTGGGCAGATCAACACAACACTTTACCAAAACCGACCAGAAGACATGCAAAATTAGACAAATTTATATTTGGAATCCCATGACTACCGGATTTATTATGTAAACATTGATTTGCGTCATCAGTATGGAATTTCTGTCCCTGAGTTGCAGACGCTCCTCCTCGCGAAACGTCCCCAGAGACGAAGAGCGAGGAGAAACGGATGTTTTCGCAGGCTATGACTAGCTCCGCCTTCCAACGACATCTTGGATTTTGATTGGAAATGCCTTACTTGGCAATAAATCAAAACTGTCCCAAATATTGAAATCAATCATGTAAACAACGTTTTTTAACTTTCTTGAGCACCCTGTGATAAAGTATCAAAACACTGTGTTTTACCCACCAGTGACAACAGCGCAGTTTGAACCACCAGCAGAAACTTGTTTAATTTGCGGTAAATTTTTCAATAATTTAGCTCTTGTGGGGACAGCAATCTGAAATAAACAGCAATAGAGAGGTTCAGAAATACAGTGGCCAAAAAGGGCAGACATAATAATGAATTTGAAATGATTCCGAGAGAGATGGTCACATTTTTCTATTTTTCTCTGCCGTTTGCTATTAACGCAGTGCCCCACTAAATATACTTATGTCCCACGAAATCCTGCCAGCGGTCGTACATGATGACTTGAAAGATCAATATCACTAAAGACTCATTTTGCAGCTAAAGATAGCACCGCAATTAAAGGGGCTATTCCATGCTATTTGCTATCTTTTCAGAAAACTTCAATTCAATTGAACTCCAAAAATAATGGTCCAGCTTTGTTATCTGTTGCCATCGATGGCAAAAAGTTGCGCCAACGTTTACAAGTTTTAATGCTATGCGGGCAAAATCACAAAAAAAATATTATTATGGTTAGTGCTTAGTGATGAAATTTGTTAAGCTCTTCCTCACAACTCTACAAGAGCACTTTGTGCATGGGAAAACACACAAAGTATCATCGTAACATATCTCCTTTAAAGAGATTGTTTAGCCCCGTTTATACTAGTCCGGACAAACTTTGAACGGAAAAAACGTGCACGGATCCGCCTTTCGTTTACACGGGACTCGAGGAACAAAGCAAATTTTTGAACGGCAAACAGTTCTGCAATGTGTAACCGCAGAATTTGAACAGTTCCGTGTAAACGGGTTGCACAGGTAGAAAATTCAGTCTTACTCAGCAAAATGTATTTCCTAAAACTTTTCTAGTTTGTCCGACTGAAACGTTAACATTGTTGGACATATGTTCCTTTTAACTCTTTAACGAAGATTAGAAGAAGGGCTTAAACAGGAATGGCGAGTAAAGCAAGACCGGCTCGCGAAATTTGCAGTAGGCGACTTGAAAGTTGCATGTACCTACCTGTTCTTCATCACTTCCCGTTGCCAGTTGCTGATACTCGTTGTTTCCCCAAGAAAAAGCTTCTCCTTCAACTAAAATATGTATTTACAATTATAGGAACATAAAACGTTATCTTGGGGTCCCTCATACTACAGACACTAGTTTAGTTTTGAAAGCAACATTTATTTCCATATCTCAGTTCTTTAAGTCTACTAAATACATGTTGTTTATCAATTACTGAATGAGGCTGAGTATGATACGAATTATTAGATCTCGGAGGCTGTTATCCACCTCGGCCTTCAGCCTCGCAGATAACAAACTCCGAGATGTGCATATATCATACAGGCCAATTTCTATAATCTTGTTATCATTCATTCAAAAATTTCTAAGTTCTTAACATTCTTACCTCCTCGTAGACTTTCTACAAAACAATTGCTGTTTTATCAGAATATGAACGGGTGTTTTTTCCTATTTTTTGATATATCCCTCAAAAGCAGATGAAATCCATCGAACAATATTAATTTTTTGCGTGTTTCTTGCATTCACTCTGCTTATTTTTAGTCAGTAATTCGGTTATTTATACTATTTGCTCTATTAAAACACCGCTATGAATCCTTTCGCCATTTTTCTTACTTCTGTAGTCGTCTATGACGTCAATGTTTGAATAGTGCCAATACACACCAATGACATGAGTGTGACTGACGTTAATGGTTGCATACTAATTTCTCGCATCTTCCAAATTTAAGTCAGTGTCCGTTGGTTATGCGGAATTAACCAGGGAATTAACCAATCAGAAATGGCGAAATATTTTTAGAGCAAAATGATGTTTAGTATTATACTGAGGTTAATACCTGACAGAGCCAAACAGCAGTCCGCTGAAGTGGCGATTTGTTTTATCCTAACATCTTTCAGTGCTCCCTGGATTGGTTTAAATGTTGCCTCATTTTGGAAGTGACCCAAACCTGCAACAAGGAACTTAAATTACTAACTTCAACAAAAAAATTACTAACTTTCTTTGTGAAAGCCCTGCCATCGACAATAAGTTTGTTTCTGTTACCTGTACTTTCATAGACAAGAGCTCTTGATCAGAAAGCACAGAAAAAAACAGCTAGCATTGTAAACAGCAAGTTGGATGAAACAAGCAGGTCGAAACATGATTACTTTAATATAACTATGAGTATCACGGATTATATGGAAATTGTCAAATAGTATTAACCAATTCCACCCAACCAGCAAGCTACTAACTATTATTAGTCAGTTTTCACAAACCCATTATCCCGGCAAATACTAACCAGTTTGTCCATCGGCACCCCAACCACAAGTGAACACTTCTCCCTCATCTGATAACAACAGGGTGTGGTCCATACCACATGCTATCTGTAGATAGACAATAGCACAAAGATAATTAGCAATAAAAAGGTTCATGCAACTGAACCCGTGTTCAAATGAGAATCTGCGGTTGTCTGACACCATATCCATCACCTTGGCAGGGACCCAAGGGGTATAATGGTCTATTTTTTTATTTTTATATGGGGAGGCTCCATCCAAAAGGGGCCTAAGGTATAGGAAAGGGTAGGGAAATCTGTCATCTGGGTTGTAAAATGGCCCCATAAAGGGCTAAAAGATGCATTTTAGGGCTGCACAAAAGCCCGGAAAAAGTTCTGGTTTTGTGATTTATTCAATATTAAATAGAAAGTGCATATACAGCAGTTAAAAGGGGTGCAAAGTTCTGAACGAGCTGTTTAAAAGGGGTACCATTTGTCATTAGAAGGTATATGAAAGGGGTACCAGGGCTCGAACTTAACTTTTGAACTGAATAGTCATATGGCTAGTACATGCTCAGGCTTTACTAGCCATAAACGTGTTTCTACTAGTCTAGGCACTTCTGTACAGCATAAAAGGAAAAAAATGTCAAAAATCCTGTTGTCATCAAACGTTAATAAAAATTGCAACATAAGAAAAATTTAAATGCATCTTGTCTTGTATGTTTAGTTACCATACAATAATAAATTTTACTGAACTCTACAAACAAGAACCCAACAGCACTTGTACTGGTCTGCATAAAGTCCAACATTTCGTTTGCTTCAACATCGTATATGTGAGCCATGGAAAGTCTTTCAGCCAGGTCCGTTCAAATTTTCGTTTTGATGAAGATTTACATGTAGACGTGCTGCCTCCAGCAGAATCATCGCTTGCTCTCTTTAGGCATTTGACAACAGAAATGCCCTAATATCCATAACAATCACGCGTGGACTGTGATCGTAGATTTGTATTCAAGATGGCGGACATTTGTTTTTTGGCTAGCTTTGCATCATGGGTACTGCTTGGCCCATGCTCCCTGGTCATACAAAATTTCAAGATGGCAGCGAATAAACGCGATACTGAAAACCGAATTAACAAATATTATTCTTATGTAGAATTACTTTGAATCTTTCTTTTATTCATGCCAGTTGTTAATGGGGGAATGAAATAAGGGGTTACCAGAAGGTGCAGATAATGTTGAAAACATTTCAAGGCTTATGTTTTTTACAGGGGCGAAAATTAACTAGCCAAGATGGCTAGTAAATGAGCTAAATCCACTAGCCAAAAATCAAAATCTACTGGTATTTGGCTAGTAGACCACCGCCAAGTTCGAGCCCTGGGTACCTTTTTTGCCAAAAATGGTATTTAAAAGGGGTAAGGAGTTGGACCTTAATTGGGGCAGAGCCTTCCAAGCTCAGAGATTTAATTCATATATAAATGCATGCATATTATTTCATAGTACCTGTACAATCTTTCCTGGAATGTCTGGTATCTTTGTAAAATGTCTGATCAACTTTGAAGCCAGATCTCCAACTCCACACTGACCATGATAGTTACCTCCACAACTCAGAACTGCATGTATATAAATCATTCACTTCATTTTTTTATTTAGAATATTTTCCAAGCATAGATTTTAATATTTGCTATAATATTAATATCAAGTAATTTATTACCAACCAGCATAACTATGTGTGTTAATAGACAAGCTAAAATCTATCACAAAATTGTTGAGACAATTTAAAAAATAACTTTTAATAATTCTTCAATCTGCTCTCTGACTCGTCACTCAAATCTGTGCGTTACAAACGAAAGACAGAAGAATAGTTCTCTACTGGTATAGATAGTAGTGATGCTATAGTTATTGCAGCAGTAAGTATTTACCTTCGCCATCACTAAATAAGACAACAGAATGTGATCTTCCACAGGATATCTGATCAACTATGGATGGCGATGTTCCTACATGGATGTTGACAGCAGCTGGTTTTTCGTCAGATTCTGGAAAATAACAGTCTAACAATTATAACTTGTAACGTTGTGTCTTTTCACTACGAACTACTGTACAAGATCGCAAGCACATGTAAAATCTAGCATCTTACTGAATAGAAACTACCGGTATCAAGTGACGTCCCTAAACTCTCGTTCAATTCATAACCCATATTAATGCAGTGAAATAGCAAAAGTAAAAATAAAAAAATTCCATATTATTATTAGGTTTGGGGAGCAGGGTGATGCAGTTGGTTTTTTCCCTTGGTCCAAGAGGTTTTTCTCTGGGTACTATGGTTTTCCCCTCTCTTTAAAACCAACACTTTCAAATTCCGATTCGACCTGGAATGCACAGACTTACACAAGTTCAACGAGTTCTTAATAACTCCTAAGTGCTCTGTGGGTAAATAATATTATTATTACAAATTAAAAATTACAAAAGTCTGTGGAAAAAAATCAAGGATCAACTTAGCTCCAGGTGACAGTAGTATTCAGGTGTTTCTCTTGAATGGTCAACACTGGATTTTGTCTACAACTCTAAATTAATGTTGTACATGTAACTACAGGGTATTGATGAAGTCCTATCTCAAAAAAATAATTCCTTGTTTTTTTGCCAGTCCCATTTAAACACTCTATTGTCTTCCAATTGTTTTCATTATTATTGTTTTACATTTTTTAATACTAACTTATACATTGCTGGATAATTAGATGCTTGCAGGAAAAAGAAAAAAAAATAATTGGGAGATATCACCTTTTAAGTTGTTACAAGTGAGTTGTCTTCCAAGCTGTCCAAATGTATTCAAACCAGTAGTCCAAATACAAGAACTGCTTGTATCAGCCGCCAAAGTGAAGCCACAGCCACATCCTATGTGTGAAACCTGATTGCATTGTACTAAATTATTATGTCATTTTTGCACATTGTATTCATAAATTTTTGTCACTAGATACAGTTTCATCCATACCATGCCAGTAAAATTAATTAATATTTGTACTCAGAGAGCTCTTTGCCAATGAACATAATGACATGGATTTAATTCCCTAGGTGTGGCCAGTCCTGAGAACTGACGAGTAACTATGATCAAAGTATTGTAGAATGTCATGCTATTAATATTCGGGGTTATATGCTTCTGACCATATGCATGTGCGTACTTATTTTTGCGTAAAAAGACACCACCTGTTCGAATGGTCTCATAACATTACTGTGAGTAGAAACTGCTAGTGTGAGTTTAGTCATTTACATGGATATCTGTTAGTGTACGAAATCCTGTGAAAGTTCACAAAATGACTGTACTCGTACACCTAGATCTAAGCTTTTTCGTGAAAAGACACCAACTGTTCGATAGTTTGTTAAAATAAAAACTTACTTTATTAACAAGGCTTGTTAATATCATAACTTTTTATTTTAACTAACTAATAAAATAATAATGAACCTACTTCTTCAGAAACAGGAAATTTGATTGGCAGGAGACTATCTTCCTGGGTTCCAGTGCCTAACTGTCCACCATCCCCAGCTCCCCAAATATAAGCAACTGAGGAAAACTGGAGAGAAGGACCTAGTGAGAAAGAGACAAATGAATATTGTAGCAAAGGAAACACTTACAATGTAGAACTTGTGACATCATTCAAGCACTAACCTTTCTCCATTTGACCACTGACAAGACGCAGACATTGTGTCAAGCAATTTCGTGATCGAATGACCAGCCTTTGATATACTGAGCTCATTTAAGTGCACTGATGTCAAAAAACAGCATGGAAAAGGTTATCACCAATCCATTTTTGTTTCCCTGAAAGAAAAAAAATGTTGTCAAGAAAACCCTTTTCCGAAGTCAAACACCTCTAGGGCTCTGCCCGGGGGGCCCTGCATGATAATGCTCCAAGGTTGCATGGGGGAATGGGCGCAGTACTGCCTGCTGAAATTGACCCAGAGATCGATCTATTCAATATTTGCTTTGTATATTGCACACATTTTTAATAGGCATCCTACTGATGATGATGATCCTGCTGATCTACTAGATGTATTTTTTAGCAACTACTACTATAATTTGCAGTCTATCCACTTTGAATAATATAAACTACTCGCCTTGGAATATAATAGCTATCTCTTTTAATGAAACCTTTTGCAATTTATTTGATGGAACTCATGTCGTTTCTATGTGACACATTTCGTCTTTACCCATTGTTTCAAAACACTAGTACTCGGAAATGGCCTGACCGCGGCTGTCAGATGATAAAACAGGAGTACGAGTGCACGTGTAAGCTAGCTTAAAATTTTGAAAATCAAATATCATGCGACTGTAAACATCGTTAACTGCTACAGTTATATCCAAAAGTATACAAGAAGGGACAGTTTGGGTTTAACTTAGAGTACTTCACAAAAAAAGTGAAAAATACCTCGTAGATTGTATCTCACAACATCGTTCACTTAGTGCCTTGCGCCACTTTGCGCGAAAATGACTAACACCACCCCACCCCCGCTCTCCTCCAGTGAGAACTTACCCTGAAGAATGATAAATTTGCATTCACCCCTTGAGGACTTAAGGCAAAGATTGCATGAATTATTAGTCTTTTTACCTTCACACCCAAATTCCAACTTTTTTTCACTCCACCACTGAAAACTTATTTGATTATAATTTACCCCTCCCCAAGAGGAATTTCCCCTCAACCAAGGCGCGGGGGTGGTGGGGGAAGGTGGCGCTTGCAATGATTTGTGGATCTTGTGACGTCACGCACATTCGATTTTGTTAAAAAAGGAAAAAGTACAGCTCTCTGTGGTTGAGTTTGGCGATTACTAGTGTTTATAGTTTCCAGGTAGGTACCTGTCGGTCAATAACAAGTGTTTTTATCATTCATGTTGTTGAAACATGTTTCAAATGTGGCCAGCGTGACTGAAAAGTTGTAAATATCAGTACGCTTTCTGCGGCTCGTGGTTTGAGATCAAACCGGTCGATATTCCAAATTCATGCTAAAAATTGCCGAATGAGTCGACGTATCGAAATGAAACTTGTTCTTGAGTGAAAACGTTTTATAAAAATGACCAATATATTTCGAATTTTCTATTGCTCGATAGAGTTCTCGTTATTGTTAGATGTTAAGATGTAGGATCTTCAACGCCGTCATTGTATGCAATATTACACATTCATATCCAGACCTCCTCTTGCATGTGAAAGTTTGTACAGGTTTTGATGTTCGTTAAAACTTATGGTTTGAAATCCACTTTATGTCACATTGATGAAGCTGTGTACACTGTACATTCTGATCAATCACTACAAAAACCCTCTTCTAAATAGCTTCGTGAATAATTTTCTATTTGTGAACGTGATTGTATTTTTACAAGGGAGAAAATCTAAGATTTCCTGAATTTGACTGTTTGTTTATGAATGAGAGTGTGCATGACTTGACCAGTGAAAGAAGCTTTTGGCCGGTCACTGAACCATTGTGGCCAGACATTGTCTGTTGACCCGCTGTTAATTTGAGCCATACAAAAGCTACTTAGCCTTATTTACCAGGGTTTTGGTAGCATTTAGAAGTACTGGATGAAGAGGTTCAGCTGGTGGACTTGTACAACAAATGTTGAGTTTCGGTAGACTGCAAGTAGGCTCACTTGTGTGAGTTCTGGAAAATTTCACGCAATGAAAAGGCGACTCCGTTGCCAAAATTTTCTGTGAAGGCTATGTGCTGGAGGCACCAACTTCAAGGCTGGGGGTCCGGGGGCATGCCTCCCTGGGAAATTTTTAAACTTGGACTCTCTAAAAGGCAATTTCCTACATTCCCTGGACTGGAATTGGAAATATTTGATTTGGCATCGTAATTTTTGGTTTGTAGTTGTTCATTTTTAAGTGGATTCCAAGGCAAAACAAATTCCAGTCGGAAAGAGTGTGTGAATCCCAGGTGACAGAATACTGATGATTAACAGATAGTAACTTGCATGTCCAGTCCAGTAGTGGTGATGCTTCTAAGACCCTGTCCACATGTATCTGGATATTTTTGAAAATTAAAAAAAATACACATCCACACAAAGTGTATTCAAATCATTTTCGCTTATCCACATGAAAACGCTATTAAGAACGATGGAAATATGATTGATGATGTATTTATGGTGTATGACATCATTGTATTTGAAAACCTCTGTTTTCATCTGTCCACTTGCAAACAAAAGGCTGGTGTTTTCAAAGATTTCAACCTTGGAGAGCATTTTTGAAAAGATGTGTTTTTGGTGATCATGTACGAGTGGACAGTAGACCAAACTGAAGAAAAAGTAATGTCTTTTTTCAAACAAAACAGATGCGTGTGGACAGGGCCTATTATTATTTATTGTGTGAACTACCAGACGTTATAAAATTATGTCAAACAACCAGACGTTGTGTCCGGCGCTGGCGGTCAGAAATGAAACCCCTGTTATTCACGGTTAGCATATTGTACTGATTTACACAGTAGACTTTCATATATTATATAAAAAGAGAGATCTCCTCATGACCAAAAGCATTTGTTCTGGGAAATATGTGTATCTACTTAATGTTCTGATAACCAATGCTTTGTGTATTTTACATAATTATACAGTGTAACTACATGCACTGTTTATCTATGTTGCAGTCTTGTTAACAATGGCTCGTGGTCATCAAAAATTTCAATCACAGCAAAAAAATCAACAGAAGCAGGAGAAGTTAAAAAAGGCTCAAAGTCATGATCAAAAAGGCGCTGCACAGAAGGCCTTGATCTTCACTTGTAGTGTTTGCAAGGTATGTCAGGGCTCTACAGAAAGTTCCTGTAGAAGAGGAAAATAATTAATTCAAGTAGGGTACAGCTGATTGCATTATTTTTCACTAATGAAACAGTCATGTTTTGAGGGCCAAAGATTGTACAACTTGGCAAAGACTTTGTGGAAATAGACCCTTCCAGGTTTTTTTCAACTGTTGATGGGGTACAAAAAAATATGATTCTACAGAAACCATTATGAGGTGGGGGAGGGGGTACAAACTTACTCCCCTGCTTACTGTGAAACTTGGCAACTTTTAAGAGCCATATCTTGGCCTCCTTCAAACACTTTGAGAGTTTACTAATATTTTAAGGAATTATTCCCAGTAGTCAAAATAGTGACCTGAATTCTAGTTTTGTCTTGGTAGTACCACTACAGGAGACAAAACCACTACAAAGTAACTTTAGGCTGGGGTTCTCATTAAGTGCCAGCAACCAGGTAAAAACCTTGCTACTTTGAATTTTGAGCCATATGCAGTACTTTGTGTGCGAAAAGGGGTGAGGAGCTATAACCCTGGCAGTGAGCAGAGGTTTTTCTCTCTTGCATCACTTTGAGCATTTACGAAGTCATTTGTGTCACTTGTCAATCGCGTAGTTGGTTTGTACAAAAGACAGGCAATGCAAATGAACGTGTAAACGCTAAAAGCCATTCAAGAGATCCCTCTGTTTGCAGGGTAGTGAGAAGTAAAAGGCAAAATTGCCTGATCAGCACTTAATTGCCAAGCTACCATAACGTTCTTAAATTACATCCTAGCTGTCTACTTTAGAGCGGTGACCTTTCTAAATAATGGATTGCTGACTTAATATATTTTCATGTTTAATCATTCTTTGCTGTAATGTGGTTGAATTACAGTGTTGTTATCGCTAAATGATTTTTTCAGTCTCAGATGCCTGACCCAAAGACATACAAACAGCATTTTGAGAGCAAGCATCCCAAAGCGACTCTTCCAGCAGAAATAGCTAGTGCTTAATGTTAAATGGTAAGTTGCTTTTTAAACATGCAGACTTTGTTTAGTGCTAATATATTATGTTCTCATGATTGTTTGTTTGCTTAACTGTACATACCTGTACATGACATGTACTTGGCCAGTCAGTAAGAAACATTAAACGCCATAATTTAGATGTGACTTTTTTAACATTTCATGCAAACAGTTGCCTGAAATCCAGTAAAACTACAAATAGAATGTAGATTAAAATCATCTTAAAACTGAATGCATTAATTTTAACTGCAACAGAATATGGTACTGTACTTTACAGTATGCAAAGAAAGTACTGTTCAATAGCCTGTGGCTGGTGGACTTTGCTATCGGGCTGGTGTATTCTGTTCTTAACTTGTCCAACGGGCAAGTGAAGTGTTTTGAAGGAATTCAAATTACAGAAGAACTGTAGTTAATGCTCATCTTAAACTTAACTGCAGGCTAGCTGAAATGACTTTTAGTCAAGTACATGCTAGCTACACTGTACAGCTCGCCCAAATGGCAAGCTGTAACTGACTGCTTTCCATGCCATACTTGTACATGTAAGTGGTCAATATTAACTAAGTTAGCTAAGTTATTATCGTGAACTTAAAGATTTGATCTTCTTTTATAAATGCCTTTACTGTACTAGTACTGATTTAGATGTTTGGAATTATGTATCTTTTGTTTCCCATGATCGTACAAGACTAAGTAACTCCTTTAATCTTTGCACTCCTTTTTGCAAAACATCAACTTTTCAGGCCTCGTACTTTAACCGTATCCTTAAACTATGGAACTATGTTTGTAAGGTAGCACCCCCAACCAGTTTTTCCTCACCTACTGCCTTTCAACTTGTTGTTTGCAAATTAATGAGCACTCACCTTTCGTGGGTATAATTATGAAATCAATTACCCCTGCATGTGGACACTAGTCCCTACGTGCCCATGCCACTCATAATTTATTTGATTTTTTATTTTTTTGTACGAATGTTTGAGTATTTATTTTATTTTATCTTAACCTAGGTCTTAATCTAGGGGCAGTGCCTCGCATGGGACGTTAGTCCCATTGCACCTTTTGGGCTTTTTGTTTTTGTTTTTTTTTTTTTTTTTCTGTGTTGTATTGTATATTACAAGAGGAGTAGCCAATAAAGCTGTGAAAAAAAAAAGTTAACATGGATTTTTTGTTTCCTTTTCAGTTTCTTTTTTTTGTTATCCAACATAGATGTAAGATTTAGAAGTCAAATGACACTGCTGCTTGCTGAGAACATCATGAAATACATGTACTTTGTAGAGCTGGAACAAACTTCAGAATGGCTTAGATTCGTTCAGGCATACATAATTATCTAAGATGATTTTCCTCTCAGCTCAGTCGGCTACATGTATGGGGCAAGTTATTAACAACTGAAGTGTCAAGCTCTTTTTCTGGAGAAAGCTGCATAACTCAGGACAAGACTGTCATATAATTATCTAAGATGATTTTGCTCTTAGCTCCCTCAGCTACATGTATGGGGCAATTTATTAACAACTGAAGTGTCAAGCTCTTTATCTGGAGAAAGCTGCATAAACTCAGGACAAGAGTCATATATACACATTATCTGTCCAATTCCAGTTCTGTGGATAACAACCTTGTTTCTTTTAACCCTACCCGCTACCCCCTTGCTTTCACGTGAGAAAGCTGATTATTGACATTACTCTTTGTACATGTTATGATAAATCCACAAAATTTATGTAATATTTTCAACTCTGAATACGATACGATGTGGTGTGCCAAGAACTTTTCAGTGATGTTTCCTGAAACTTTCTTTTATATACACATACTTAAATTTTGTTGGGGTTTCAGGGTAGGTTATTGTCAGATGACTTTTTATTGTTCTGTAGAATAGAGATCTAGATTGATGATCATTTGTATAGGTAATAGCATGATTTGTAGCGATATTTGGCATAAATACCACGAGTGATATTTCAAAATTGTTATACTTAATTTCACAAGCCATTAGGCGAGTGAAATTTGAGGCAATTTTGAAATATCTCGAGCGGTATTTATGCCTAACATCACGTTTATTTTACTACAAATCATGCTATTATTTGTTTATGCTATTACCTTCAAAGGTTTTGTAATTTTCACATGTAGGTATTTCAAATTAAGCTGAAATACCACTGCTCTAAGCCAATCAAATTGCAGAAATTTCTCAAGTAGTAGTATAACAGCTGTAATATTCAGGGTTCATACAGAGTCTTGAATTCTTGAAAAAGTCTTAAAAGATGCAAACTATTTTTCCAGACCTGAAAAAAGTCTAGTCTAGTCTTTAATAGTGCATCCAGAAAACTAGATGAACCCTGAATATTTTGTGATGCATTAAGAATTTAAGTTAAGGTCTATTCGCCTATTAAACCATAAAAGTATTCCGTGTAACATGAATTCTGGAAAGGTGATCAATTTATTGTACAGCTGTATATGTTAAATCTGTGAACAACTATATTAACAAATACTTACTTACACATAATTACAAAATTAATTGCTTTGAAGACATTTACATCAAATTCAAGGAAACTGAGTGGGTAGAAATTTCATAACTACCTCACGTGTGAATTCACAACTCATTACACATGCGAGAATGCAGAGATGAATCTGAAATCTTCAACAACCACAGATTCAACTTTCGAGTAATTGATTCATTAATGTAATCTTGGGGTACCCCTTCCTATACATTGCTAAGAAGAACATTTTGTGTATAAAAATCATTACTGTATCTCAGAGTAAAGGCTCAACAGTATTTTGTAAGCTTGAGTTATATGCTCTTAGCAAGAAAACTGCGCTTAAAATTTTGCTCAATCCTGGGTTAAACTTAACCATCTTTCCAGGAACTGGGCCCTGTACTTTAAATCCTTACTAAGCACAAACTTCCTTCTCATAATGTACGTGTTTTTGGCATTGATGATGCACAATGTACAATAACTTTACAACCATGTTAGAGTGACAAAGAAAAAAGTTCCCTAAAGACTTCCAACATTGTGTGTGTCAAAAAGGGGTAAGGCCTTCCCACATACATGTATACAGTCAAATCTCTCAGTTATTTTCAGTTCAGCTTTAACCAAAAAACGTTGAACTCTCCATGACATAGCCTCATTGAGGCACTAAGTGACCTTTGACACAATATCAAAATTAATTTTCCAAATGCTTTACAAACTGATACAATGTAATAATATCTACAGTCAGGCCAGGTCAAGGTAACTACAAAAAGTGGAACAAAATCTTAATCCTGAATAAGTGCTAGTCAGCCTTTAGGAACTGGGCCCTGGCCTGTAGCCAGATAAAATTCTTACCAAGGCAACAGTCATGTATCAAAAAAGAAAGTACTGAAGCAAATTTATTGACAATGCAAGGGCATAAAATGTGACCTACATGTACAGTATTGTAAAGAAAACACTGTACACTAAGGATTACATTCAAGTGAAAGTTAATTAAACATAATTATATTTTATTTTCAAGAATTCAATAAAGGTTGTGGTTATAAAGTGGCATGTTTCTTCCTTAGGGTTACATGGGTCAATTTTTTCATGATGCTGGCCTCTCAGAACCCCTACCCCATTATAGTCTGTTCTGTGGTCAATAGAAATTTATTATAGATCCCATCTTAGTTGCTTTTAGGCAAATGTAATTTTTTTGCAATCCCAACTGAGTCAATTTCTGTGTATGCATCTTCCCTATAAAGCCTTTTAACTGAAACGACACATTTGTTTTCTCATTTCACTGCACTAGCCACACACAACAAAAGCTGATTTCCAAACTGGGTGTAGGCTAACACATATTACAAAAAATAGAAGCAACATGGTGTTCACAATAGTTACAAAAATTTCAGAGAATAATTTATTACGTAAAGATTTACACCACATAGCAAGTTTTTAGCGATCCAGCAGAAGGCAAAGAGGCAATTTTGCTTTTAAATTTGTAAAGCAATTGTGCTGTTTTTGCCCAATTCTAGGAAGTACTCCCCTCCCCTGGGATTCAATGATACTTAAAAAGAAAGATAATAAAAAACAGTGCTTTTCATGCTCTGCACACGCTTTTTTCCGAGAAAAATTGAAGGAAGCCCAGTGCTCTGAACATGTGAAATCTAGGGTGCCCAGCATATGATTTCTATGAAAAAAAGAATTTCTAGTCTCCCAGTTAGGTACCAGGGGCCATTGGATGTGCTCCTTTATCTAATCTGTCTCCTCATGAAAGTGCACCACCCCATTTGCCAATAGGCCATTTCTGGTGTGAGTTACCCCAAGATTCTGTTTCAAAGTGAGGCTAAATGTAAAACCATTGTTATGATAATCTTTTTTTAAAATTATTTCATGCACATAAAACTCATCTTCAACTGAAAGGCTTGCACATAGTCTCATTTCGAAAGTGAGAGTTTTTGGAACTCTCATATATAAATGGCCTATCCAAGAAATGTCATTGAGTGATTTGCATTTTTCAGTGCTGTAGGTCCAGGTTGTCATAGCAACTGCCTGTCATTTTTCTTGAAGCTTGACGAGTGAGTCTGCATACTGAAACTCATTACTCTGCTCGTATTTATACATATCAAGTGCGACAACACAGCTCTCCTGCAATAAAATACAATTTCCCATTAGCTGTGGGATTTCCACTTGTAAGTGCCTCTAAACTGCAATACTTTTTTTGTTCAATATTATTAGAGGGAGAGACAAGCAGTCATCCCCCTTCTTGGCTTTTTGAATTAGTTGGTCACATGATCATCCTACTGCAATTTTAGCAAGAAAAAATTAAGTATAAACCGGCAAATTTTCAGCTGTATAAACTCAAAAGTAGAAATTGAAATAGCAGCCGGAAATGAAAAGGATTTGCATATTATATACTATGTGAGGAGAAATAACTCTTTCCACCCACAATTACACATTAAGGGAGCTCAAATATTGTAAACTTCAGCTTATATAATAAGCCCCTCACCCCCTGAAGTTATCATCCCATTTACCCGTAAACGAAATGAAAAAAAATTCTAGAGGGGGCCTAATATCCCCCATGGACATAAGCCTCACTCTAGATAAGCTTGTATTGAAATGTATCTGTTATCATGATGTTTTTAAGCCTAATTAAAACCCAGTATTAAAATATAAAACATATTTTGATCAGCACATGCCATAGCTTGTTTGTTGTAATTAAAGCGCTTTTGCTAGTCTGGTTAAAAGCCCCCTTCAATATTAATCAAAGCCCCTCTGCTTAACCCTTTATTAAGTCCCAATAGTGATCAACAACAATTTTCTCCTAACAATATTCATACAATGTCAAGAGATTAGGTTGTGAGAATTAAAAAAAATGATCACCTAAGGGAAAATGCTTTGATGTTTTATCAAATTCTCTCAACTAATTGTTAAAGGAGAAGTATGGAGATCAGTTTGGAGAAATTTTGTATGTGGATATTGGGGCTTAAAGGGTAAAAGCTAAGATATAAGCCCAGGGCTTATAAGCGGCAGTCTACAGAATCCCTTTTGTTAATAAACTACAAAAGTGTACCTTGACAACCCTTTCTTGATCTTTTGAATATTTCTCCAGTGCAGTTAAGCATTGATCCTGGAAACAAATATAAATTATACAAGTTTATATTAGATGGTGATCAGCAAAAAGGAATACATGTAATAAAAGGGGTTTAGAATGGTTTCTCGAAAAACATGGGTCCATAAAATTTTAGCGCCTATCTCAAAATCTTGGAAGCACTTGTGATAAGTTATGAAGTCTCGTTTTTGGGTGATTTTGCTTCACAGAGTCTCAAATATATTTTTTTAGGTCTTCGGCTCGAATTTTTAAACCAGGGAATGGTTTTTCTCTTCTGCTTCTACTAATAAGGTGACTCTGGTATTCACTAGATCACAACCTACCAAAAATTTTATAAGAAACATCAGAAAATTTGATGCCTATACAAATTTGATTTAAAGTATCACTTTTATAGGCACTATTTATATGACACGGTCCCCACTCCATCTTCATACGCCTCTGTCTGCACACTATCTCTAGTGAACCAGCCTTAATTATGCAGCAAAATCCCTAGAAAATTGGAAATACTAACCTTAGCTATGGAACCAAGAGCCTCTGCACATTCATGGCGCACCATTGGGTTTTCTTTCAAATCTTGAAGATTCTAAATTATCAAATAGATACCAAATAAATTTATATTCTTATCATTTTTTATAGGCAAATAACAGCATAAGGAGAATATCATTTACTAATGAAGGCAAAAAGCACCATAATTCTCAAGTTGGCACTATTTTATTTTTGGACATGAAAGTGGTGAGAGGGCAGTTTTTAAAAGAGGGGGACATGGCTGGGGTACACCATGAAAATTGATGTTGGTCACTCTTGGGAGCTAAAGGGTTAAACCTGATAAATTTCCGTACATAAAATTGATAAAATCTAGGACACGGTTACATAATACCGGCATTTTTGACATAAAGTACCTCTATAAGCTGTGGAATGGCTGCCTCATGCTGAATCTGTCCTAGGACATATGCTATGTAAAAAGTTAGACAACTAGTTGATGCTGACAACAACTTGAGCAAAGATTTGTACACTGTATACATGTACGAAAAATTCTCATTAAGATATTGTTCAAATTTAACAGAAGGTTAAGATTTTCTCCACTACTAAGCTGTCTAAGCACTCTCATGTGCACTTTCAGAAATAATAAGACATTTGGTTTTCCAGTTTTGTGACGTCAAAATGGTTTGAAAAATAATTATTTCAAAATTACATTTCATTTATATTACTAGCAGCTAGGGCTTGTTTCCTCAAAAGAGACACTGGGCTTACTCATCTGTGAAATCCAATCATATGAGCTTATTACAGTAGCTACATGTACAGCAAACAAACAACAGTAACGCACCAATCTCATGTCTGAATAATGCACTGCTACACTTAAGTCCTTCTGCTAAGGCCTGTCAAATTCAAATTAAAGTTTATTTTTACACTTACACTGTATCATGTACAGTTTAACTATCAGTGGCAGATCTAAGGGCAGGGATGGGGGACTTATCCCCACCCCCCTCATATTTGCAACAAAACAAAGGGCCATGGCACAGAGCTGAGGCTCCAACAACTTTGTACTGGCCAGAGAGTGTCCCCCCTCCCTTTAAATGGATCTGAAATTAAGGTCTGGATTAGCCACTAATAAACACCTGGGCCCATTACTGTTCAAAGGCCAATTGGCAATAACCCAGGTTTCTTCTTCAGCTCTTCAAGAAAATTTCCTTGGATACCGGTGAAATAAAATTTATTTTATTGTTATAGAGCATCAAATCATTAAATTGTACACGAAGATAATTCAACTGAAGTTGCCTGTTTAGCTTTAACTATAGATTTGAATTTTGCACTAACCCTTGGTTAAAATGTTTCTAACCCAACTTTGAAAAACTTGGCCCAGGAGTAATGTTATATATCTATCCTTACAAGACTTCAAGGGAGTATCAAAAATATCAATTAAGTGTGAATTGAATTAGAAGTCGTAATCAACTTACCAACACTGATTTTTCATCTCCCTCATTACGTAATGAAAACATTGCCCTATAGTTGAAAGAATGAGTCAAAAAAGGGATGAGACCTAGATGCAAGAAAGAACTTACATGTATAACCTGTAACCTGGAGCAAAACAGTAACATTTTAAACATTACATTCAATAATTTTTCCACTGTATATACACAGCAACATGCCATCAATATTATTTGGATGTAGTACTAGGGGTGGTAATTTAATAAACGAAATGTGAATTCCAAAATAGGAACATCTTGACATGCTCACAAGTTGACGACCCCTGCCTGCTTAGCTTAGCTGGATAAGGGCCAGTCTGCCACGCGGGATGGTTCAAACTCCACCTGGATCAACACTCAGGGTCTTAAAATAACTGAGAAGAAACTGCCGCCTTCGTAAAGACATCTGCAAACAGTTATTAGACTTTCCAGCCTTCTCGGATAAGGACGATAAACCGTATAGGCACCCTCTCACAACCCTTGCAGTCATATAAATTTTGTGGGACATTAGAGAACCCACACACTGTTCATACAGAGTAAGGGATGTAGTCTCACGGGGCTAGGGACTGTGATGGACCTGCCATTATTGGTGCCACTTGGGTTGTGGTGACCCTGCCAGCATTGATGAACCTAAGTGAAAAAAATGTCGTTTTTACCAGGTTGCACCTTTTCTCTGTATCTATTGAGAAAAGGTGTTAACAGTTAAACCTTAGTAAAATTAATTCTAGCTAACCACATATTGTGCAATACCTGTATCTTTCAAACAGCGGACGTGATTCATCAAGCAGTGTGTTCTTTAACATCCATGTGTCCTGTACAGTGGAAGGTGGGGCAGGATCAACTGACTTATATGGGTTTGCACTATAAAGAGAGATAATAATATTACATTATGAAGTTAAAGGGTGTGCCAGTAGATTAAGCACCAATCAAATATTAAGGCACTCTGCAAGGACCTAGCCCTTACAGGGCTTGACATTATTTTTATGTCCAAATTTTTAGACTTTGAAGATGCCTGAACCCAGATGAAAGACTACGACTGCATCTCAGTATTTTGAAAATGTGGTCAAAGTGAGAGATGGTACACGTATGACTGAGAAAAATTCTCCAGATACAGCTGAACCTGTTCCATGCATCTTGACTAAAGAAGGCTAAATCTGAGGAGATAAGGAAATGTTATCCCCCAGCATAGTCTCTCACACCATCCTCTTCTTCCTGCATGGGTATGTACATGTAATATTCTATTGACAAGGGACTTGAACTTTTAGTGTCACAATTTTCACTGAAGAAAACAAGAGACATGCGTGCACTTAAATATTTGGCAAATGGGAACTGCAAGTTTTGCATTTAAGGGAGTATAATTTCTACGAAGGGATGATTGACAATCAGTGAGCAAAGGTTTACCAACAATATCATTAATTTTGGTTTAACTCTCCTGTTCCTTTTCAGCAAGGAAAAAAATATTATTGAGCATATAATTATTTGTTATCTATCTGTCAGTTTTTAGAAGGAATATAATTAACCTCAGGCTTTCACTTTCTTGGGAACTTTGTTCTTTCAGCCACTCTATTCTCTGTACTGCAAGTTCACATGTTTCTGCAACCTGTTATTAAGAAGAAACCTGGATATTTAGAGCATTACCAGCAGGATGACAAACCAAGCTTACTCAGTCAAGTTGTATCATAATGTGTTCAGGACCTGTTTTAATTACTTTGATGAGCAGACACAATATTGAATTTTATCCTGTAAAAGAAATTTTTAAAATGGATGACAAATATGCCTGATACATGTCTAATGTACATGATGACTGTTAAGGTATTTGACTTCAAATAAAAATTCCAGTGGAAAAATGCCCTTTTTTTAATTTTGCCTTATAAGATTTATTATATTTGCAAAAAGAGCCTGCACATGAAACTTTTCAAGTGTTTGAGCAACTTTTAATTTATTTTCAATAAAATTTGTCACCAAAGCCATTTTTCCACTGTGCTCTTCAATTACAACTTTTTACAGTTTTACTTTGCACCTCTGTCTGGGGATCTTTTGCATATTCTCTTAAGACATCAAGCACCTCAGAAGAACCAATAGCACCAAGTGCCTCTCCTGCCTGAATATTACAATAACATTATAATCAAAATGCAATAATCTGAACTATAATGCACATTCAGTACAACAGTCCAAGTGATAAAACACAGAAACCTTCTTGAAATCAGATAACAGTGACCTATAATAAATCATAACTACAAGGCTATACAATCAACTATAATATAGCAACTGCTACACATTCAGGAAATTCAAGAAATCTTACATTACCTCATGTCGCACCATGGGTTCCTGAGTTTTGTCTTTAAGAACGCTAAATGGTAAAACAAATTTAATACTTGCATCTTAAAAGTTTACAAAAAAATGCAACAACAATAATAACGACAGTGAAAATTACAAAGACTGAGTCCAAAGACAGACTGTAACTGTATTTCAGACATGGGTGCAGTCAATGAAAATAATTGAAATTCACATGCGTGCTGGAAAACTACTAGAGGAAAAGCAGCACTGACATTAACCAGGGTTCTCAACAGATTTTTAAATAGGAGGTGATCTCTGATAAAGTAGGAGGCTCTTCAGCAAAGCCAGAGGTGTCAAAACAAAGCAAAGAAAAGCGACTTAAACACAAATTAAGCGGCTATAAATCCCAAAGTAAGCGGCGATCAATCGCCGGGTGCCGCCTTCTATTGAGAACCCTGCATTAACGCTTTGAAGTACACGGAGTCATGTACATGTTCCTGGACCTGTAATAATAAATTATAGGTGGGGAGTTGCATTTCTATCAACTGGAGTAGTCATGAAAATCCCCAGGCACAAAAAAGACTTTTAGAAAGCACATTACCTCACTAATGCGGGAATGGCATACTCATCCTAACAAAGATAAGACATGAAGAGTTATTTACACAAGAACAGTGACTGTTAACAACAAAAAACATTTACTGTACCAACTAAGGAAAACTATACATGGAACACTTTGAACAAGACAAGATTTTGTCAACACTTGATGATTGTGAAGTTCGTAATGATCAAATACTTAAAATAATAATAATAAAGAATTGACTGTTCCTGTTTAGTCCAGTGGGGAAAGGGATTAATAACAATCAATAATTATTAATATACAATGTAAATAATAATTATTATTATTGAACTCTAGTGCACAGATGAGATATACCTGCATTTGTCCCAGACAATATGCTAACTCATGTTTTAATAAAGCTGATGGATCATCAAAACCTAAAAAAAGGAGGCAATAAGTATCACCAAGAATTGTATGGGACTTACAGATGAAGAAACTTTGAAAAGAAGTTAAATAGTTAAACTCACAATGTTTATGTAATCAAAAAACTCATTTCTTGGGTAAATAACAACCTGTCAAACCCCTGAGCTCTCGGAAGGGGAGGGAGGAAAAGTGGGAGAGAGAGAAAGAATGTGAGGGGGGAGGGAGAGAGGGAAGAAAAGATGGAAGGAAGGGAAACAAAGAAGTTTTAAATGTAAACTTCTAAGCACCTTCATTCAAATCACAACTGTTCTCTACATGTTTTTTCATCTGGATTTCACAAGGAATGTATCTTTTGTAGTATATTATCTAGAAAGCGCCTTTGTCCAACTTACACTTTGAAATACAGTCAATGGCCTCATGTCCACCAAGATTTCTCAGTGTGAACAGTGCACGAAACCTGTCAGTTAATGACCTGAAAGAATGTATCAAATGGGGCACCAACATCATAACACACTGCTACCACACACAAACACCATGATTACTGTAATTTGATTCACTTATTAAACTTATGTTTCTTGAACATATCATCATGTTATTTGATATGACAATATTCAGAACTATCATTAAATGTGACCTTCTTTGGGAAAACGTACACTAACGATATTTCGTTATCGTTAGAAAACTAACGGATAGCTAACGGATAGCTAACGGCTTTTCTAACGTTCTAACGGTTTGTCCAAACGTTCTAACGGTTTGTTCTGACGTTCTAACGATTTGTCCAAACGCTCTAACGATTTGTTCTAACGCTCTAACGGTTCGTTCTAACGCTCTAACGATTTGTTCTAACGCTCTAACAGTTGAATTGGTGGAAGTAATTGAGCGCTATTCCCTATTAAGCAATCTATTAACGGCTGGTTAGTTCATCTTGTTGTTATCAATGTATTGAGCGAAAGTTTTAAGTACAGCTGTCGATCGATAAACGGCTGAAAATTGAAAGCATCAAAATCACTAGTGATGTGATCAACGAGTAAAATAATAATCGAAATCGACTTGCTCTCGAAACGACTGCGCTTCAAAACAGGCCGTCCAATTTCTCCTGGAATGAAACTTCTACTGCATCGTATGGACAAGAACTACTGTTTGCAAACACGTATCTTGACTTGGGACTGTAATGTTTCCAAAAACTATATCAAGCAAGCCCCTCGATGTCTGATGAAAGTTTTTCAACAAGATGCCGTATCGGTTTCGTAAACAACTTTATGCAAATTTCGCTTGAAATTTGACTCCCGGGAATTTGAATACGCAGTGAAGCGTTGTGTGACGGACAACACATGAATAAAAGCTGTATTGAATGATTGTAGACTTTTTTAATTACTAGAGAGCCTCAGTTATTTAGGTTTTCCTGCAACCATTCAATTCATTCGAGATCAATTAGCGGAAGTCTGCAGAGACGCGGATTTCAAGACGTGTGCTTGTTTGTTTACTTCTTATCGTCGGTATCTTTTGCCTACAGCCGACGACCAAGCATTTTGATATTAATTTTTCGTTTCAAAAGCGTAGAACGGGTAGGGAATTGTGTCGTTCGTTCACTGGACGTTGGGAAACGGGTTTGGCAAGAATCACTAGTTTCAGGTGCCCGATGCGGGCTCCTTGTTTATAATTTCGGTCGGCCGCGGGCGAATAAAATTAATCGTAGAAACCTCTGATGACAGGGCGCCCATAAGGCAGCGTCCTTGATCAGCAAAGCAATAGAATCGTCAGTTAACGCTTTAGTTTCCTGGACTAACGCTCTAACGGATATACATGAGTTGCTAACGAATTGACTAACACCTCTAACGGATACAACTAACGCTCTAACGGCTACGGATGAGTTGCTAACGAATTGCCTAACGCCTCTAACGATTTTCATTGAATCATCTAACGGATGACTAACGGACAGCTAACGGTCTAACCGTTTAACGAAATATCGTTAGTGTACGTTTTCCCAAAGAAGGTCACAAATCCTCAAATATCCCCCCTCTTAAATAAGCTCCCCTCACTTTTTAGAGTAAGAAATTCATTAAGTCCTCCCCCTCCCCAACTCCAAATTTATTCTTTACGACCAAACAATTAAGTGATAGATAGTACTATTAATCAATCATGGCTTTAACGCTTCATGCAGAGTGATCTTGTACTGTTTGTTCGCCAGCTGGAAGTTCAGATTTCTTTTTCATCTTCAGCTGCATGACCTTACTAGTAGGCAGTTCCAGACATTCAGAAAGTAGTGCGCAGTGTTCAGATGGTGGGGAGAAAGTTAAATCATACGCAGGGAAAACAAGGAGAAAAAACGATTCTCCCCATTTTTTTTTTTCTCGTCATATTTTTTCTTCCCTGCTCTACTATCTGAACGTCTGGAACTGGCTAGCATGAGCTTTTGCTCTTTGCATTCTAAACTCTTTATGGAGAATTGCGTTTTGCTGTCATCATATAATCCCTTGCCCCTGGCCTAGTAGATAGAAGATTTTCCGGTTACATTGTGCAGAGTATGTCAGGTACACGGGCGAGTTTTTTTTAACAATAATTTTATATAAGTAATGAGGGCCTAAAAACGGCCTTTTTTATTGCACGCGCGAGATCTCGTCGATTGTTCCGCCATAGTCTGTAGACAGGCGGCGGAATCTGCTAAACATGGTCAGTAATAGCGTACAGGCATAACTTGTTCCATAAAAATATCTTAAAATAAAGATTAAAATCCAAGTCCCAAGGACTGAAAGAGGCAAACAGTGGACAAGTAAACCTTATGCGCGTAACCACATTTCTAAAGCTAGTTCTCAGCTGTTGTCTCGTTGACGAAGGGCACGTTTAACTTACTGTTTTTGATCTGCAAGTTGGATTCCTATTTGTTCCACAGTGGAAGGGTTCACCATAGTTTAACCAAAGTATCATAAAAGGTAACAGGCACCAAAAATACTGCTTTTAGTCGCCGATTACCTGACGAACAATCACATGGGCAGCTTTCTTTATAAGATAACAACGAGTCCATACACGACGTACCTATCGACACCTGTTATACAACCGCTGAGCAAAGTGATTTTGTGCCCGCAAGAGAATGGCGGGAAACTCGACGGCCGCAGGAGAAATTCCCGCGCTTCCCCGCGCTTAAACTGGTGCTGGAATCCGGTGGAAACCATGAATGTTTTATCGTTACTTGCTTTCTTTTCCCAAACAGTTTTTTTGAAAGTTTTCTGTCCTCAAAGCCGAAAAATATGAATAACGTTTTGGGCTCTATTGGCTCTCCAAACTTTAGAATCGATGTCATCTTCAACTCGCTTCGCGAGCTGCAACAGGGTTAGTTTTCGTTGACTTTTGACTCAATCTTAAGCTTAAAGCAATAAGCCAGCTTAAATAAGACTTTAAATATTTCTCTCTTATTTTACTAAGATATTGCCTGCAATCTACAACTTGCATCTTAGTAAATATCATTTAACCCTATGCATTTATTGGGATAAATAGAAAAGGAGCGTTTACAACAGCACTTTAATGAAGAGAAAGCTCGCTGCAAGACCTTGGAAATGAAGCTCGAAGCCTGTAAGTTAGTACGAAGTTTTTGGATATTTCTATCATTAAATATTAGGAGTTTTAAATCATCTCGACAATTTCTGGTGCGGTTATCTTATTTTTTTACAGACCAGGCAAAATTCCTACAAAGCAGCGAAAGACATTGTAAAATGCAAGGTGCGTGTTAATTTAACTGTAAGCTTAAGCTTAAGTCTTATTTGGCTTAGATCTTTCGATCGACTTTTTGACTAGTGAGGAGCAGCTGACCCTTTATATAAGCTTATATATCTTATTTATGATTGCTTATTTATAATCTAGGCCTACAAAAAGTGGCTGATAAAAATGTATGTCCTTTTTTCAGAAACTGTAAATGCTGCAAAACAGAAAGTTCTACAAACACAGATGCAAGCAAACAGGTTTTATTCCTTTAATGTCTGTTAATTTTCAGCATAAGGTTAATTGTCATCCTTTTGCCTTTTACCTAAAGACTCTTTAAGTCGACTTTATTCATTGTGTGATCTACAGGCTCAAAGAACTAAACGACATAAAGGGAGCAAAAATTGAAGAACTTCGCAGACAAATTGACGAAGAAGTGGGAAAAGAGCAAATGGAATCGTGAGTTTCAATCATGGGCAGATTGAGCCGTGGGGCTAACCTCGCCTCCAGGGCCGAGTTGTTCAAAGCTGGGTTAAGATAACCCAGGTTAATGCGAGATTTGAATTCAGATTTGAAAGCTTAAAAAGTATTTCAGTTTTACTTCTTTTTGTCTACAGGTTGATGAATGGAAGCTCTAAAAACAGCAGAGAAAATTATCCAACAAAATGCTTTTGAGCACAAGAAAAAGAAACCAGGGTTAAATTTAACCCCAGGTTAAGTGCCAATCGGCCTTCGAACAACTGGGCCCAGACCTTTACCTTTAGAAAATAGGGAGGGCTTTGTCGAAGGGACTGCGCCGGCCTCGCTCAGTTCTCCTTTGAAATTTTCTATTATTTTTAGAGAATTCTTTACCAATGGTCCTTTTTTCATATACCAGTGCTTTCGTGTATACTTTACCGTTTATTGCTAACAGAAGATTAATAAAGGATGAAATAAAGTACGGTCCCATAGAAAAGGGGTTTGTCCAGTGGTACGAAAGAAAAGGAATTTCTGATGCCAATTATATGGAATCAAAGGGATCTCATTTTAGTGACTTCCCACCGATGTAAAGAGCGAACTCTTTTGGAGTTACTTGATATTTATGGCCGGGGACGCTGGTGCATGAAGACATGAGAGTTTGACTCCTGGTTTTATAACCTGTTGACAGAGGCCTAGCCAGGATTTTTCAAAGAGGGGGTCACAGCAAGGAACACCATCCGGGGATCGCCGACTATATATGGTTTATACCGCTGCTCTCCCTCGTGTATCGGCGGGCTCAGCCGTATTATCGCGGCATGAAGGCCCATATTAACTTAAGACAAGAGCCGTTGACAAAAATACTTTACAAAAAAACAAATTTTAAAAAGGTGGGCTTTTCTACAATGACTTTTACGGCCAAGATATTGTCATGGCTTTTTCGCCACCTGGATATTGTAGGTTGTTTGCTCAAAAGAAGGCCTACCAAGGGGGTCACAGGCACCCCAGGACCCCCCGCCCCTCCAGCTACGCCCCTGGTTGATCAGTCATTCTTTAAGGGTTAGGTTTACCTAAAACACTTTTAATGTGGGAAACTGGCATTTTTCTCATTATATCAGACAGGAGTTTGAAAAACATCTCGGAGAACTGACGAACAATTTTAGAGATGCAAGATACTACTATGTAAGTTATGGCTAACCTAAACATTATGTTCAATATGAGGCCATGCATTTTTGCACTCGCCACAAAAAAACCCTCTTTTATACAATAGTTCTGCGAAACAAGATTTTGGCTGCGTTTAATGCACAATAACTGCGATGTTAGTTGTAAAAACCTTTTTGATTTTTCTTTACGCGGAA